CACCACTTCGAATACCAAGTAAAAACTGAATTGCGTTGATTTCACGACGACGAAGCTCTTCAAGACGTGATAGGAATGACTTCTCCCAGCCAAAGTACTTGACGAAACGAACACCCATTAGAATTTCCTGCGTTAGGGCTACTCGTTTGTCAGTGATCTTTGTCATTTTGCGGCGCCGCTTGGCGAGGGTCTTGACAACCATGGAGAGGATGGGAACCCCGCAGCAGAGAAGGGCAAACCCGGCAAGTGCTGAGTATGACAAATTGATGATAAGGAGAACGAGCGTGATAATAATTTGGATAGGTGAAGTCCACATAATATGAAACCAAGCAGCGCATTGATCGATTCTGTATGTATCCGTACTCATCAAATTCATGACCTTTCCATTAGACCAACCAATCTCATCATCACGGGTCTTCTCCTTCTTCATTGCCTTGAGCTCCTTTGCAGTCGGGGTTACGACCGGCTTGCTCGGGTCAATGCCACCAGCACGAGCTCGACCGGAGATCCTGAGAGACTTTGAATAGACCATCGCAATTATTCCTGCACGAGCTTGGCCGCCCACCATCATACTGTGATACATGAACTGGTTTACTGAAAGTGAGGCAACACATTGCATAAGTGCGATACCGAAAGCAAGGCCGACACCTTTTCCGATGTGGGGCCCAGCTGTTCCAGTTTCTTTAGCGACATAGGCATCGACAGCAAAACGAATGAGATATCTATGTCAAATTTAGAATATAGGTTTCTTAAATCTCGGGATAATGACTTACTTTAGGACAAACGGTGCAAGAACTAAGATGATATCTGCCATCATTCTACAAACTCCGGCAAACCAAAACTCTCGCCTGAAGACATCGTTGAGGGACCAGAGGAGGGGGTATTTGTCACCTCTCTCCCGTCGTCTGTTGAATGAAGCCGTAAGTTTCTCTGTAAGTATCGCCGATGACCTATCCGGCGCAACATGTGGGATATCCGTAGGTTCAAGAGGTCGTAGATATCCAACCTAAACACCAACGTCAGCAACCATTAAAACAAAATTTCAGTTCGAAACAGAGATCAAACCTTCATCAACGGCCCAATCCAGCTTAACGTAAGCTTACTGAAAAAGCCGGCAGCTGCCTCCCTGCTCACACTCTGCTTCTCTGGCACCGGAGGTACTTTTTGCCATCGCAGCGGGTTCAACTGCCTTTTCTTTCTCCACGCGCTGTCCTTCTTCGCCGCACCAGCGCCCTCTACATCATCCGCCGACGCGGGTGGAAGCCCAGCTATCTCCTTGTCATATGCATTTTTGCTCCATTCGTTGGAAGAATTCAGAGAAGAGCTATCGGGGGATCTGGTGGTTCCCGCGACATGAGCCTCTTTATTTTCTGGTGGTGGGATGTTGAAAGTGTTACCGGCGGAAGTAAGAGTATTGTCAGCTGGGGGAGCCACAGCTTCCGCGTGTGAAGTTGGTAATGACGCCAGTTTGTCGATTTTCACTAGTAGTGATCCGGAGCCGGAGGTCGGAATATGTTGGTACCGAAGAGCTTAAACAAGTGAGGCGAATACGAACTTTATCATGAAAAAGCGACAAAGTTACACTCTGGTATCCGCGGCGATGAGGGGCAAGAGGACAGCTAGAATTGATGTCGAGGGAGGAGGACAGTTTATTTTTCCTATCGACGTTGGTGGCGCCCCCGATGTTTTTATCTTGGCTATGATGATATAAACTCTCTTGATCTAAGGCGAGACAAGACTCAGATCTGCCTCGGCTAGCTTGCCAGGATCTGTATTGCTTTGCTATGTAAGCTTTTTTTGCGGTACGGGCAAGGGTTTGACCGCTTGCTATCGGCCGATAGAGGATCTGGCTTGTATAATTGTATCCTATTCGTTGAAGTTTTGTGTCAGACCCTCGCTCGGTGGATTATACTTGCCAGTAGCTAGGGTGGTAATTAATGAATCGTGACGAATTGTACACACCTACTAGTAGATATATAATCTTGATATATTGACGACGCAAATATCCTGATACCTTTCTGAACCCCTTATGACTCAAATACACGATCTGCTGAATCTCTTGAAGTACGCTGGCCTTGACTCACTGGTTGATGGAGCAATTAACTGGAGGAGAAGAACGGTTTTTTAAAGAATATAGAACACGTCCAAGATTGACTCAAAAGTCTATAAAACAGACAGGCAGAACCTAGTGCATGACCGCCCCCCTCTCTCGAATAAGGCTGCATGGGATCCAAATGAAGAGTACATACGACTGAGCATGATGGTTTGTCCTTCTCGATCATTCCCACCGGATAACACGGCAACACAATCGAATGCCAAGTTAAGTTGTTGCTTGCTTGCATCTTGAAGAAGGGGCCTCGGAGTCCGGACAAGGGGGCTCGGAGTCCGGACAAAGCATTCCGGGAGAGCGAGTGGCTTGAACCGAACGACATGGCTGGCTGGTGTGCGGTGCTCGCTCTCGCTATGACCGCCGTTCGATGAGGTGAACAAAATTGATTCCGGTACATACATGTAGTTATGTATGGACACACTCCGTCATGTTGGAAAATAAAGTATTGGGCTGGGCTTGGAAGCCCGTTTATTCGGCATTCTAGCGAACAGATGTAAGCTTATTTCATCAGATTGGTTCGTGGGCCTACACTTTGAACGTTTTGAATAGATCTTTTTACACTTTTTGAGTATTTTACTCTTGGTACTGCATGTACTACTAGAGTAGGTACCGAGATTGTGACGAGATTAATCTTTTTTGCCTACTCTACACTCCTCATAAATGACCATTGGCAGGGAATAAACGTACGGAAGCGCTCCCGCGACGCGGATATGCAGTGGCGTTTTGAGTGCTCTTTGTAGCCAATAAATAGAGCAGGTCCATTCGGCCTGCGAGTATCGGATCTGAGCCGAGTTTCGCCAGCATGAGTTGGCTGGTTCAGTTCGTAGAGTTTCACTGATTAAGTATGTACCGCTGCTTATCTCTGCAATTCCAACTAGATGGGTGGACGGAGTGGTAGAGGGAGGTACGGTTACAAGTGCACATAGGTTGAAGTTGGGGAATTCGCAATGTCAGGGAGGTTGGAGAGAAACTTGTAAGTACTTAGGTACTCTACCACAGGAAAAGAAAAGACCCGATGTAACGGCACTGGATCAACGGATATGACCGATCGAGGCTTGGTATCCGAACCCCGGGATTGGTAGAGCACCGCAACGAATGTGACAGGTTACATTGTGTACGGTATTCACCGCTCTACATGTGCATTTTTGAACATGATGAGCCGGTATCTCGGAATAACGAATTGGTAGTACATACATAGGTGAGAGAGAGTTTATTGGGGGGTCAAATCAAGCTGGGGAGTCTATATGCATTCTCGCAATCTAGAACTATTACATGTATGCATCAACCCGCCAAAAGCTGTTCCCCGAGTAGAGAGAGATACACACTACCTTGCGACTAGAATTATGAAAACGACATGTGAATTTCAAAATTGAGTAAATATATGTATATATCCCGATACTCACGCCGGTAAATGCGAAAACAAGGACAATTCGTAGATATTGAAGTTCAAGCATCGTATTTACCCCAATCATGAATTCTGATTGTCCCGATAATATACTTGATGAGTTGATAGATTTCGGGTGCGGATAGAAAAATTAAATCAACCAATGACTTCTGTTTATAAATGTGGCTGAATTTCATTGCTTTACACTGCCCATAATGCGGCTATTCGGCTTCGACAAAGATCAAGTTGAACGGGTCTGTATCACGAGGTCGTCGCGTCACTATATCATCTGTTGACCGCTAAACCGCCATTGACCGCAATCTCTGGCTCGAAAAAATTAAAGACTTTTCTAGATCGTGGGGGCCTTTAATTGGATTGAGTAGATGAAGTTCTTTGACTCCGGTTATAAGAAGGTGTATATACGATCGGTTTTAGAGGTTAATTCCGTGAGGAACGTGAGTGAGAGTTCATGATTTATGCTGGATGATGTAATCCAGGTAGGTGGGCTTGAAAGTGGACTAAGCCAGTTGCGGATGGAACTGATTCTTGTAGTGGGAAGTGCATGTACTCTACCTATCCTCCACTTGGCACTAAGGACCACAGCTCATGTGTTTAACCATCCTTCTCATCTGCTAAACCATCGTTAAAACTCAGCAGAGCAGACTAACACGCGGTTTGGCTGAAGACACCCAGCCGTTTGTGATTTATTGAGGTACGTAGCACCCAATCCATCATATCATGCACAACATTCCAGTGCTGCCTCAATCTTCTTGCTTATGCTGACAAGTACCTGTAGAGGACCTTCCGTCAATGACTTCACATGTCACAGTTCAGTTAAAGCGTGCGCAAAGCCTTTTATTTTATAATAAGTGCGGAGAGCCCATGAGCATGGCAACTGGATTCTTGCCAACTATGTCTATTTAAATTGCGGAACGCAAGTACTCGATCGACCTATGAAGAATTCATCTCCAATACGGGGCATCCTCGACACGCGTTGATTCGGGAATCCCTTACCTCTGAGTATATCTCCACCTCCAGAAGGACAGGCTTGGCAACACTGAGGACTCTGCAAGGCACGAGTCTATGATGATTGTTCCTTGCATAGCGGACGACGATCACCAACTCCCATAAGGGGAATTCACATTCTTCACATAGATTTGTCACAGGCTTCCCTTACTATTACAGAGAAACATGCCGAATGAAAACAACACATGCCGTGTTTTTCAGAACCCATAAATGTCGCACTATTCCGCACATCCTCTGTTGCAATCCCCTCTCATCCTATCGAACAGGCACTGGCAATTGCATTCTCTTTTAGTTTTTCTTCATAGTCACTCTTTACCTTTGCTCTGCAATAACTACACTCACTCATTACTCCAGAATCCTCCTCTCGATTCAAGATGCATTCTTCAATCATTACGCTCCTCGCGGTATTAACTGCTGCTGTCACCGTCACTGCCACCGCTGCGGAACCCGAAGTTGGTTATCCTTATAGTGAGGAGGACTATGACTATGGCTACGGTCTCCCGTATGCACCCCCGCGTACTGTAACCTCCCCCGGTAAAACCGTCACCCTCGATGGTAAAACCGTCATCATTGAGGCCACTAGAACTGCCTACTACCCAACCACAGTGCCAGTGCCAACCTACTACCCAACCAGTGTCCCATACACCACCAGTATCCCGTACACCACAAGCGTTCCGTACACCACAAGCGTTCCGTACACCACGAGTGTCCCGTACACTGTAAACTACACCAACACTTACAGCTACAGTTCATTGCCTTACACTGCGTGCTACACTACGGTCTACGATGCGATCTGTAAGACCGGGATGTGTCACAGCACATACACAGTCACGGAGCACTGTGCAACAGCCTGCCCGACGTACCGCGCAACTACGTCTATTCCGAAGGGCTTCACGACCACTGTGACAGTGTGTAAACACTGCGGGCCACAGCCAACCACTGTGACGCTTACTTACTGCCCTACCACTTACCCCACAGTATCGCCGAGCTACACGACAACCCCATCGTACACGACTATGACACACGTGCCGACCCACACTCCATGCCACAACTGCACTTACCACACAAGCATGACGATGACTCCGTCATATACTCGCCCAACTGTGAACACGACTACTCCATACGCAACACCATCGCAGCCAATGTTTACTGGTGGAGCTGCGGTCGTGGGTGTCAATAGTGCAGCAGCTGGTCTTATGGCGCTGGCCGCTTTCTTCTTGTAGGTGTGTATCTTGCATGGGGGGGGATTAGTATACTAGTGGTGGCAGGGGTAGAAGAGAAGAGGACTGTTTATTTTTCGTTTTAATTTTATTTTTTTCCTTCTTTTTATAAAGTACATGTGTCAGATGTTTTCATCATATTTTTGTTGGTGCTGTCCGGATTCTCACGGGCACGGTTCAAGCTTATAATTTTTTTTCTCTTCTTGCTAGTGAGTTGCGTGCTCAGCGGTAATTAAATGCAGATAATAATATAAGAACACGCCGCCAAGTAGATGAAGACTGGACATGGCGTTTCGCTTATTTTCTCTTCCTCATTGTTACTACAGTCATAACTGGTTTTCAGAATCTATGATATGGTCCAGCGAACTATTGGTGGGAAGTTCAAAGCAGTCCTGTGATTTACTAGTAGTGTCAGCGAGCTTAATGGGTGCCGATAGCACTGCCCATATAATGGTGATTAGTCTGGTGAGACACTATTCATGAAATATCACTCGAATGTCAAATTCCGCAGATCAGCAGAACCACAGGGTCTACCGTTGAAATTGCGGGACACGAGTGATCGGTTATACCGATATAGTCGACCTTGTTGTATTTTGGGTTCATATACAAGTGCATACCGCTGCTCAAGTCGCCAACCCAAGGAGTACATTCAAGAATCAAGAATCAAGAATGATGAACAATCTACCTTCAGTATCGCTAGACGTAGGGGATGAAAGTTTCTTCAAGCTAACTATCAACATCATCTTGATACCACAACACCCGTTAAAATGTCAATCTCCTCCAACAACTGAGAACCTAATCATACACCTACAATCACCACATCATCACTACAACCACAGCATCTCCATCAAAACATCCAACCACCAACTACAACCAAAAACTAACCCACAATGTCGCCCCTTGAGATCCTCCAAAAAGAGCTCCGAAAGCTCCACCACAAGCTCCACACCTGCCGCGAAGAGCACGCCAGGCTTTGCGCCATAGTCCCTGGCGAGCACCTCAGCCCCGAGGCCGCCGCGCTGTTTAGGCCGGGCACCGTTGCGCGCCCAGAGGAATGGAGGAGATTTAAGGAGGATCAGAAGAAATATGAAGAATGGGCAAGAGAGTATGAATGCACTATTGCGGCGGTTGAGGCGTTGATTCGTGAGTTGAGCGCGGCGCCGCGACACGTGAGGTGGGATACGACGGTGACTGAGTATGATTATTAAGCTAGTGTCGGATTTAGTATTAACCAGCTAGGTGACAGTTTGAAGACGCTGTTGGTGCAAGGGGGAAAAGGAGATTAGATCTGGCGCTTATGTTTGACCGTTTATGAAAATTAATGAGAAAAAAAATGGTGGAATAGCTTGACCAGGCGTGACGAAGCACGAGTGATAGGCCATGAAGGAATTATCCCCGCGGTTATTCATATAACTTTTAAAGCCATTCAACTCTAGGGCTGTAAAAGCACATAACTACAAAGCGAAAATCTCACAAAATGACGACGCAGAACGAAGTAATGTTGATTCGTAGTAGCCCCCATGCCACTAGTAAGACTAAAACCCTCCTTATTTTGGGTTTTTGGTAAATCGTCAAGATATATATTACGGACGCCCATGTCTACAGAATAATTACTTCACTTCTCAATAGTCTTCCTTACGATTGCCCTTCTAATATATACTGCCTCCTCTTGCTGGTGTTGATTTCATATATGATATTTTATTAATTTATTTCTTCATTGATTGTACCCGTGAAGCTGGCAATACCCACCGTTGCCTTGTTAAGTATATAGTACACCGCCCTAAAGATTTCTCTCAATATTTGTTGAGTCCTCTCAATATTTGTTGAGTCCTCTCAACAAACGCCTCAATTCTGCGGATTCAGTCACACTCTGCTCTCTCCTGTTAGCGTATTTCCAACTTCCTCAGGATACCGGTTTCTATGCGTACTTTTACTTATATAATTAATTCATTATCCGCATGGCATCGTTCTTGCTTAATCACGTGAAAAACTTCAGGGGAAATGGGTTAGCCTCTAAAAGAACATAAAAGAGCATATGGCCGGTTGGACAACGGTACCTACCCTATCGGAGGTAACATTTCCCGAGGTGGTGTTCCAGGTAACAGGCAGCAACCATATTAATCTATAATGGACGTCAGTGTACGTTTTTTCAATCTTTTCTAACCAGTCTCTGAACTAGATAGTAGTAGAGAATACTAACTTCATCTTGGCTGTCCGCCTTCTCAAAACGAGAACTAACAAAAATATGAGGGGATTATGCCATTAATGGCTATGTTTGCTTCGGCGATCGTGCAAAATTGTACGAGCCGTAGAGTTCGGGAAGCTTGAAACCTAGAGAGTACTCCCATGATTCAAAAAGACCCCGGCTCCGAGGACTCCCCTATGAAGGAAAAAAACCCGGTGATTCCCTTATGAGGGTGACTGATGATTGAATTCCCGAATGAATCGCTGAGGTTCAGGAGAAAAAGAGGGAGTAAGGTGGCAGTAATAATTACCTTGGTACTTGCGGCCGATGGTAGTATCATAGTCTACGCCTTGACCCTTTGGGATCTCTAAAACATCATTAATCCGGAATCGGTGCGGATAAGACCTTCAGGACTCTCTTATAAATGGGAAGAACCCCGAACCCCTTATGAATGACAGGTACCCTAACAATTCTCTTATGAATAATGCAACATTTAGGCTTGGGAGAGGTGGGGTTATACCTTGGTGGTGGCTATGTTTTGCTTGAAAATGATGCAAAATGGGCATCCCGCAGGGCTTCGGGGGACGTATCGGTATGTGAAAATCGAAGCTCCCCGCCAGCTCTGGAATAAGAAAATCGTGAGGGCAGCGGTTGAGGAAGGCCGAGAGGGGAGCTCCGGTAAAGACCCCGCTCTTTGATACCAGTGGAAGCTATGGTCAAACTTAAGTCTGCCCCCTCAAAATGAATCAGTTAAATCCATAAACCATAAACCAAAATCCTCCTACAAACTATCATGGAGATCGTATTGTTTCTTCGACTATCTGGGCTAACGCTGGGGGGAAGGGGGGGGGGGGGGGGGAGTGATGGTTGATATTCACCTGTAATTACAGACAAGCTGTTAACCGTGAAACTTTGTCTACTACTTAGGCTAAGAGTTGGTATCCCAACAGGCAGACGCCCAGAACCTATGGGGCCGTGGGCATGGTGATGTCTGTAGGGCGAATTCAAAGACGAATGTGATTGTCTTCGATCGGTACCGTTGGCCTAGTCCTGGTTTGGTTGTAGTAGCTGACGTGCAGCTGTTTCGGCAAGGGCAGCTCTTCTAGCTGGTCTATTTCTTTCCCCTGGGTTCCTATGATTCCAGCGGATATTGTCCATGTAGGGGAGAGAATGGGAATAGGGAGGAGAATATATGCGTTGATTGATGAGTAATTATCGAGCAGGAATTTGCTGGTCCCGAATTTTGCCTTTGTACGCTGTTTTTTTCGAAAAAATTTGCAGTACAATCGCCCTAAAAGAGATTGGCCAATCTCAGACCCCAAGAAATGGGTGTTGGAGATGTAATGATTAGATGGAAAGAATTAGGTTGAAAGTGAACCTATGATGCGAGTATATGAAAAGAAGGATGGGAATATGCAGAGAGTGGATGAACAAACCCCAGAGTTAGTGACTAAGATTGCTTTACTTGGCATGTTCGATAACAAAATGCACTAATTCGAGAGTTGTGTACCCTTATTATTGTTTGTACATACGCTAATTACATGTATGCAAGCGAACTGGTGCTGCTGCTTTCATTCTGAGCTGAGCAGATTTTATGTATTCATACGCTGATACAGGCCGCAACGTTTCCCGACAGTACGTGGTAGAAATCACAGCCCTATATATGCTATCTCAATCAATTAATCGATAATCATTAATCTATAATCATCAATCTATAATCATCAACCAGCCCTATGCTACCTTGACTACATGTATCTGATGGCTTTAATTAGCTCCATTTGTGCCTTGTACACGAGTAGTAGCAGGTTCGGGCGCGCGTATCTTTTTTTCATGTTACTTACTTACAAGTAAAGACTATCCCCATCTAATTTGCATATGTATTAACGCTAAAAGCAAATACTATATGGGAGTTTGTTTCACAAGATATCACTCGACCTATGAAGAACTGTCCATATCAATTCTAGCGGGATTCTATCATCTGCCATGGTACTAGAGATTTGCGAAATTTGGAGTAGCTGAAAATGCAGATGGGGAACCTTGATATTGCCTGTTGCTAAGCTACATATCAAATCCATGGCCAAACAACAATAGGTTCGGCGGCTATAAATGCCGATCCGACAATAAAAACCAATGACAAACTCTCTTCAGCCCAGCCTCTTTCAGTCTAAGATACGCGGTCGCTGTGGGGTAGAAGCACATTTCTGGAGTACATATATACAGGTAGATCGCAGGTTCTTGGTCTAATAGTGCGCTGCGGCTGGATGTATCGGATACATGTTACTTGTAGACCGATCATTTAAGTAATTATGCGAGAGGTAAGACTCATATCACCCCTTTTCGGTTCATCTGGAATAATTGAGTTCCATCATTTGGGGGGTGATTAGAGTATATACGCGTTAGATTAATTGTGTTATTGCAATCAACTTCTTATTACACGGGTAGTCGTGATTTGATATGCGAGGGCTTGGCGAGCCAAGTTCTAATGTATGGCATGATCCATTGTCCCCTTTCCTCTAATGGCTCTAATGGCCAAAGATCTAGATAGGTAGAGTCTTTCATGGCCATGCATAAGTCCTATGGACGCTGGGGGGATTTTGTCGGTATCTAACAGTCAGTATAAGCTGCTGGTAGAGTTGTCCGCAGTACGTAAGTACTACTTAGCTACTTCGTGCGTGTCTCTAAACTTATGGTTAATCCTTGTGTTGATGTTCGTCTATGACCAGCTGTATCCACAGATCGCACGTCCTGTTATATCCTGTTTCCCTGGAACGCCTATTAGCTACATCTCCCCAGATGTGTAAAATCCGGTACGACGAGTCCGGAATGTAGGGAAAACGTGTACGATGCAACAACACCAGCCAGATCATCCGCCCCCACGTAACCGCCGAATTAGTGGGCGTAATAAGAATAATCACTCTCTCATTTCCCAGGTATGTAGCTAGGATGGAGTCACCCAAAGTTAAGCTCAATAAGGCGCCAACGGCTATGTCGGCAGCTTTGTACCTTGTACTCGTTGAGAAAGCACATTTTCGGGCTCGGTTGGTATGATCCGGAGTCGAACGAAGCATGGTAAGAACTCAAATCATGAAGACAGCGGTGAAATTAATCCATCCGATGTTCTTACTTACTGCACCACCACCACCACCACCCACCACAGAGAGCAGAGCCTCAACTCCAAACCTTTGTCAGCCAACGTCTCTACTACTCCACCGTAACCGACCAACTGCAAGTGCTTGTGAGGGCTACCAACAACAACTTCCATATTTGTGCAGAGTAGAGTACTCTAATTGGCGGATATTGTGCACCATGGAGACTCCAAGGGCCGCCCTCACACCCGAAGCACAGCCGTTCGAAGCGAAGGTTTATTTTAATCCGCGAACCCCAAACCGGTTAAACCCTGTCGGGTTGAAACGCCAATAGCGTAAAGACACCGAAAATAATAAGGCTAATCTCTATCTGACATCTTGGGATGCGATAAGTGTCTTATGGGGGAAAGCTTAAGTGAAGGCACAGAGGACTGGGCTGCAGAGTTCAAGCGCTACATCTCGTCTATATCCCAGGTATCAAACATCAATCCGTTCTAGCAGAAGACGATGTGCGCGAGATACTTACCTACTCTAGGTGGTTGGGAGTGTGATTCTTCTGTAATGCATAATGCTGAAGCAAGACTAATACTACTCTGGCGTAGTAAGTAAAACGCACCTCTTCATGGGTTACAAATCAGGAATCTCATGTTTCATGCCTGATATAACTTACTAATAAACTGTCAGGACGTATTTGATCATGAAGAAAACCCCACAAATCTGCTGTGCCGGTTGATCTTGAGGGGGCTGGGGTCTAAAGGATATTTTTATCGACATCTAGCAGAGTATCTACACCCAGCACCGAAGAACCTGCTTCTGAAAAGATTTTATTGGACATGGATATGCATACGGTATAATGGAGGGGGTGGACTCAAGGCTCCCGGTGTCCAGTTACACATCACGTATTTATTTCGTATCGATCCTCAAACAAATCCGCTGATCGTTACCCACCTCATCATAGGATAGCTTCCATGCAGGAGCAGCAGTGTGCCTTGATGGCAAGGATACAGCAATATAGGGGCCCCAAGTAGCGGTATATCATCACAGCCCCTCGCTCGCTCGCTCGCACCATGTTTTTCCTCTGAGGATTTCCCCTACAGCCTTTAATTTGGATACCACCATCCTATCCGGCCAGCTTAGTCCCCGGTAAAAATTTGCCATATAATAATAATCGGTCCACACGTACCACTGGCCACCGCTTTATATTCTTACCATTGACTGGGGCTGCAACACTGCAACCAGCTGCCCATCAAGCAATAATAAACCCGTCTCTCCCAGGCGCTTTTATTCACGGTTCGCCCACCTCCCACAACATCATCAATGTCGCATTACGCCCAGAACGGAGAGGGGATGGAGGTCGATCTGACAAAGACTAGTCTTGGTCGATCGTCAAGTGTCAACCAGAAGATTCACTATGTTGGTGGCGAAAATGCACCAGAGGTGGTACCTCAAATGGAGCAGCAGCATGGAATGTACCAGGAGGGGGTTTATGATAATGTCTCAGCGCCGTCGTATGGGCAAGAACAGGTGGCGGAGAAGAGTGGGAAGGGGAGCACAATTTGTGGAATGCGGAAGAAATTGTTCTGGATACTACTAGGAGTACTGGCGTTGGTGGTTATAGTAGTGGTGGTGGTGGTTGCGGTAGTGGTGACGAAGAATAACTCAAACTCGAATGATGGATCAACCTCGTCGGGATCATCATTGGGATCAGGGTAGGCATATATACTATGAATGTGTAATGTGATCTATTCCATATACTGATATAAGTACTTAACCTATAGATCTGGCACATCAACAGCAACAGCAACCGCAACATCTAGTGGAAGTTCACCTTCAGCAACTGCAGGCGACATTATATCCGATGGGTCCGAATTCGCGGCAATAAAATCCGGAAATTCAATGCAATTTTTCTACCAAACTAATAACGGAAGTGTCTTCTATGAAGTCCAGACGGGAGAAAAGATCACCAGTGGGCCTAGTATCGTGCCCGGACTTACGGGGGCCAAGAGTGGGACACCGTTGGCGACTGTCAGTTGGAATGATGGAGCTGCGGTATGTGAATTTAAAATCTATATGTATATAGATTATAGAAGTACGGTTTTGCTGATTCTCGGGAATATGCACAGATCCGACTATACTATCTCAACAGCGACAATGAAATCCAGGAATATGCATACGATAACAGCACTGGCTGGTATAGTGGCTCCCTGTCAGGAGAGGGTATCCGTGCTGTCGACACCAGTCGGCTCGCAGCGATAAAGTATGGCGACAACCTTGAGATTAGGCTTTATTTCCAAGTCTCCGGAGGAGTAGTCCAAGAGTACACCTGGAAGGACGAAAGCTGGTCGATATCACAATCTCTACCAGTCGGAATCACTGGAACGGGCCTGGCAGCACTGTATTATCCGGACAATAACATTAGAGTTTACTACCAAACGAACGAGACAAGTAAGGTAATTCACGAAATATCATATGGATGGCCGAATTTAAAGGGATGGGATGAAAGTAAGCCTCCCCCCCAATTGAAGAATGAGATATTGCACGCGTACTGATATCTCCGCCTTTTAGCTGGTTTTGGGCCTGATAGAAACGCGGTTGCGACGGTAGGGAGCATAGCAGCTGTTTCATGGGGCGACACGTCCGATTGGCAGATGCGCATGTTTTACCACCCTCTCGATACACCAAGCTCGATAGCGACTTGGGCATGGAAGAATACGACGTGGGTAGGCCCAAAAACTATAGTTTCAGATACGACAATCGACAATGGGTCAATAAGCGTAATGAGCCCAGCAATCGACCAGTACAGGATTGTGTACCAGGATTCATCCAACTCATCCACAGATTTGCTGGTTCAAGAGTGATTTTACGTGATGGGAGTTGGGGTGAAGGGCTGCTTGCGGGCTACTTTTCGGTACATACATTCCTTCGTCATAGACATTTTTCTTTTGGCACTGGATCTTTTATAAGATTATTTTTTCTTTCTTTACCATCTTAATTTATGAAGACGAGAACGGACACCCTGGGGGTTGTGAACTATGTATACCATACCTATTTACTTAAGAGAGGTGAAAAATGTATGCAGGGACTCTGTTTGTATATGTGACTGTGAGCTCGATATGTACAAGGCTCTGGCATTAAGTGAGTGAACTAAATGGGGTGTTGACTGGTGAGGATCCATTCACTCACTTAATCCCAGAGCCTTGTACTAGATGGCCTACGCTTTATTTAGAAATCCCGCACAAACTTTGGAACCTTCTCAGTTTCATAAATGCGCGCATATTTCAAGTTTTATCGTGTGTACCACCTTACTCTAGGTATAAGAGAGGATTTGAAAACCCGAGCTTCCCCGAGTCCCCCGTCCCCGTCCCGGTCCCCCTTGAAGTGGGAAAAGTGAGAAAGATGAAGCCGAAAGTCTCTATAGAGAAACCTCCATGTTTTTCCTTGCGCCCTGCAGCCGTACCCTCGCGAATGGAATCTCAGTTGTGTACTACATGTAGTTGATAGCACTTTCTAGTAGCTTGTCGAGGTGTTTTAAAGACACCTGGGTACCTAATTTATGTTGATGTGAGTACATATATTAAGGTTTTCATGATGTGAGGACTTGTGCCGGCATGCGCGCTGCTCTGTAGCGGCCACGAAATAAGGTTTAATAGGTGCCTGAACTAAACTGCTTTCTGTTCGTAGTGTCGTGCCCTCTTTGCCAGCAATTGACAAATATTTAGTTACATGCGCACGTCACAATTCGAAAAAATACATGGCGCTAGCTGTCTCAGGTCGAGTATTGGGTAGATTACCGCCAAATCTCGGAGGGTTGCCAAGGGAAAAGCTGAGGATCTTCACAAAGAGAAGCGATCTTCAGGAAAACAACCCTCTTCTGCAGGATCTAAACTAAATGTGGTTTAGCAGGTGGCCTTGGCAACCCTCCGAATAACTCGTTGGGGTTCATTGTCCAGGGGCGCTCCGCCAGTAATTAACCTTTAGCGATTACATATTAAATTTAAACCTCACAGGTGCGAGGACAGATTGAGTTGGGATGGTCGCGTATCCCGAGCTTAATACCTCTAATTGCATCATTTGTAGAGCACACAGGATAAAATTATAAAGCACTTGATGACACAACATGGAGACAGGGCAGAACCGCTTCTAAAAACAATCATAATTACTTAAAATGACTTGGTCCAACTCGCAACATAAGAAATACACATGAACTTGGACACGAATAGTTTTATTTCCTCATCCCTTCGCTGGCAGCCAGGAGACAATGAAAAAAAGATATTCGCGTCAACTGGAGGCAGTGTAATACCAGTGACACAGTGGGACCATAGATGTGCAAGCACAGAGCTGTGGTCCCGAGGCAAACAAAAATAAGTATAATCAATAAATGGTTCCATAGAACCGTTTCAGAGATTAAACTGAAAAGAACAGATACTACACTTGATCTAAGCCACTGTGAGGGGGTTAGCAAGCATTCACGAGACATGATACATGGTGTTGAAAAGCCAAATGTTGGGGGTAAACTTACAAAGGCAAAGAGAGCTGGGGATCCAAGAGGGTGCGGGGACGAGGGGTATATATACCCCCATAGGACTTGGCGCCCAGCGAAAATTTGGCCGATGATTATGAATCGTGTTCCCTGTCATGCATGGGAACCAAGTGGTTGGATGACATAAGTACATGTATGTACTTACATGTATGTGCGTGTGCTGAGACACACACTGGCAACATTCAGCATTCGGAAGCGTTGGTTATTTAGAGCTGACAGCTGTCGATAAACTTGATCCACTGCGAGTATAATTCTTATTGCTTCGTATGCCAGATACGTATAGTAATTTGGATAGTTTTGCTCTGCCAAGTGCCAGGTGCCTAGGTAGAGTACATACACATACATCATGATCATAAGCACTTTATTATCTTGCCGGCATCATCAGCCGTTTCTCCAGACTAGCATGTGGGAAATCGACACCACTTCCCCGCAATCCTAACCTTCTTCCTTCCTAGATGACTTCGGTTGGCAGTTTTGTGAAGGGACGGCATGCACGCTGGACGTTCCGAGATAATAGCCACTACAATCATAGCCTAAGCAGTTGCTTAGGACGCCACTCCCGTACTTGGCTTCGAAATGATCGGCCGTGGAGCACGACGAACTTTGAAGAGGTCAGGATGAAAATACAGCCATTGAAAGGCGAGGGAGTATTGTCCTGCCTGAGCTTGCACGGTGTTCAACCTGGAGTTTGTCTGGTGGTACGTCTTGAGTGTAATCAACAATTGTTAATAATAACAGAGTAAGAATTAGGTTGGCTAACCTCCACCGACTTCGTTTTCGGGGACAGAGTAATTGCACTCGAAAATCAGCCCTTTTGAATCGTAGGAAGGAACGGGGATCGAGTCTATTCATCCTCTGGGTGTATCAGCTATCCCCGGTTCAAGTGGGAGCATTGACAACGAATATCGTACAACCCGATACTATAAAACCGGGGAAATCCTGTATTGGGGATATAGCCTGTGGAATAATATCCATTTCACACCTTATTTCCCGTAGATCCCTTTTGCCAAACCGGGATCTGACATTCGGCTAAACAGTGTAACGTGCTACGGTACCCCCGAAGCCTGGAAATGACATTTTTTCCCCGGGCTTGGTAAAGAGATTGATCGATCACCTCGGTGGAATGTTGTGGGGGATAGCGAACGGTTTGAATGGCGATGCGGGGTTTTCTCTATTGATTTTCGGGCTCGCCATTGTCCGAGTAGATATATCGGAAATCATTCAAATTGCCTTCAAGGTGGCAGTATAAAGTCTGTTGTTGACTCCATCACTTTAAGGTTTCCAATCTTCCCGAGCACGGTACTGTCGGTGCTGTCTTTATTGGTGAAAATGAAACTCTCAATGCGGAGTCTATACACCGCGGGATGCCTTTTGGCTCTCACTTTGGCCACGGTTGTGATTGCTTCTCCCACTGGTCATTCAAAGAGTCTTTTTGGAAGGAAGCCGAGTGATTATATCATTCAGAGAGATGACAATAACCTACAAACTATGGTAGGTGTCGATCAATGTTTCGAAATTGATCGAATTGTCTGCTGATAATTAGCTTGCTATAAAAAGGTGACATGGGACGAGCATTCTCTTCTCTTGAATGGCGAAAGAATCATGATCTTCTCCGGCGAGGTTCATCCTTGGAGGTAATTAAGAAGGGCTACCCGTGTCATGCAAGATTCGATATTGATCAATCCCTCAGATTACCAGTTGCTTCGCTCTGGCTCGATGTCTTCGAAAAGATCAAAGCCCTCGGCTTCAACGCCGTATCCTTTTATGTGCACTGGGGTCTTGTTGAATACAAGAAAGGCGATTTCAACTTCGACGGCATCCGTTCATACACCCCATTCTTCGAAGCTGCTCGCAAGGCCGGTATCTACCTTATAGCTCGCCCAGGGCCATACATCAATGCCGAGACCACCGGCGGTGGTTTCCCCGGATGGGGAATCCGAGTTGAAGGTGCTTGGAGATCTGAGAACGCAACATACCTGGCAGCCATGGAAGACTATGTGCGCGTGATTAGTGAGATTATCGCACCGGAACAAATTACGAACGGTGGACCTGTTATTCTGTTGCAGCCAGAAAACGAGTTTTCAGTCGGGAGTCCGTGGATCCCATGGCCCCAGTCGAAGTATATGCAAGTTCTACAAGATTGGTTCAGGGATTCTGGGATTGTGGTACCAATGATCTCCAACGATGTATGGGGTGGGTTCGCAAATTATGTTCCAGGCTCTGGAGAGGGTCAGGTTGATATTTACGGTTACGATTCGTACCCCCAAGGTGTGTCGTATGTCCTTAATCTTGAATGCGCATGCAGAAGCTGACCCTGTTAAGGTTTCGATTGCGCAAACCCCTACACATGGGTGGACGGCAAGATCCCAACGGACTTCTATGAAACCCACATGCGTGTTTCTCCAAACACGCCAAACTCGATCCTGGAGTTCCAGGGTGGTGCTTTCGACCCATGGGGAGGCCCTGGTTACGAAGCGTGCGCAATCCTTCTGAACCACGAATTTGAAAGAGTGTTCTACAAGAATAAGATCTCATTTTCAACCACCATCTTTAACATCTACATGGTGTGTTCTAGAAACCCTAACCCTATGGCGTCGAATAATCTCTAATCTCATTTCTTTAGACTTTTGGAGGTACCAACTGGGGAGGAGTTGCGTACCCTGGAGTATACACGAGTTACGACTACGCAAGTGCCATTTCCGAGAACCGTCGCATAAACCGCGAGAAATACAGCGAATTGAAGCTTCAGGCCAACTTCCTCAAAGTCTCGCCAGCTTACCTCACCACTGTCCCTCAGAACTTGATTCCAAACACCATTAACGGGTCCTTTACCAACAACCCCGCACTTGCTGTTACAGAAACCAAGGACGTCGTCGGAAACAAGACCGTTTTCTGGATTGTGCGACATGGAGCGTATAACTCACTCGAGAAATCAACCTACAAGCTCACTGTACCGACGAGTCTTGGAAACCTCTCCATCCCGCAGCTGGGCGGAAGCCTTACTCTTGATGGGCGCGATTCTAAAATCCATGTTACTGACTATACGTTTGGTGATAAGACGATTCTTTACTCATCTGGCGAGATTTTCACCTGGTAAGTCTTTTATTAACCCCGACTTTACTAATAATTGAAAGAGCGCAACTGACCATCTATATCATAGGAAAAAATTCGGCTCTAAGCATGTTCTCGTTCTATACGGCGCTTCAGGAGAAACCCATGAAACAGCTATCGCATACAAAGGAACAGCACCCACAATCAAGGTTGCCGATAAGAAGTCCCTCAACAAGACTCAAGCCAAGGACGGTGTACTCATCTTAAACTATGTGACCACCGGTCAAACTGTTGTGGAGATTGGAGACGATTTGCTTGTATACTTGGTTGATCGAAATGTGGCTTATAGACTGTGGGTTCCGGATCTCCCATCAGACAAGGGTGTTCCGGGTCCGGCGTTCAGCACGGATGATGCAGTTATTATCAAAGGGACCTACTTGATCCGTTCAGCGGACATTGATGGTAGCACTTTGCAGATTAGAGGAGACATCAATGTTACCGAGACTATCGAGGTAGTAGCCGGGTTAGATGTAAAGAAGGTCAAGTTCAACGGCGAGGATGTGAAGGTTGAAAAGAGTTCATACGGAACATTGTTAGGAAAATTGGTTTACAAAGAGCCTAAAGCAACATTACCAGCTTTGAGCAAACTTACCTGGGTACGAGTTTTGCTTTTCTTCTTTTCTGCTGGATTCTTGCGCTAATATCATGTTTGTAGAAATATGCGGATAGTTTACCAGAGATTGGCGACAAATACGATGACAGCAAATGGACAAATGCGGATAAGAAGAACACTACCTCTAGAGCGTTGACTACACCCGAGAACTTGTATGCAAGCGAGTATGGTTACCATACCGGAAATATCCTCTGGAGAGGACACTTTACCGCAACCGGAAAGGAAAACAGTTTTAATGCTTCTCTCATTGGTAGTTCACCGGTCATGAAATTTTATCTATTAAGCAAAATATTAATTGGTTCAATTTATAGGTGGTAATGCATTCGGATTCAGTGTCTGGCTGAACTCTGACCTTCTTGGATCGTGGTATGGATACGACTCTGGGGTTTTTGGAAATAAGACCTTCACTTTCCCCACACTCAAGAAAGGAAGCAAGAACATCATCACTATCTTGCAAGACCATCAAGGGTTGAGCGGTGACTGGAATGCCGGCACGGATGAGTTTAGGACCCCAAGAGGAATTTTGTACTATGACTTCAAAGGAAGCCCAGATACCACTGTCTCCTGGAAATTGACCGGAAACTTGGGAGGTGAAACTGTAAGTATTGATCAAAAATAGGTATGGTTGAGCTACACAGGCTAACAGACTTCAGTATATCGATCGCGCCAGAGGACCTTTGAACGAAGGCGGTCTTTATGCGGAACGTCAAGGATGGCATTACCCAGGATTCAACACCGATAAGTGGACCAAGAAGTCCCCCCTTGAGGGCATCGACAAGGCTGGTGTTGGGTTTTTCAGGTAAGCTCCTAATAGACTTTCTCAGTGTGTACAAGTACTGACACCCATCCCAGGACCGAATTTGACCTCAACCTGCCTAAGGACTATGATATCCCACTTTCGTTCAAGTTCTCCAATTCAACCTCGACCCCTAATTTCAGAGCCCAAATCTACGTTAACGGGTATCAATTCGGTAAATACGCCAACAACGTCGGTCCACAACTTGAGTTCCCCGTTCCAGAGGGAATCATTAATCATCAAGGAAAAAACACTCTTGGCGTTTCACTCTGGGCGATGGACAAGGAGGGTGCGAAGATTGACAGTTTAGAGCTTGTGGCAACTGCACTTATCCAAAGTGGGTTCGGGGAGGTTGAAGCGAGTGAACAGCCGAGGTGGAAGGAGAGGAAGGGGGCATATTAGACCTAAAAAAAATTTCTTTATGAGCTAGTCTATATATACTTTGAAAATATTTGTGAAACGGACGCCAAGACCTCTTTGTACTAGTTACTAATTCCAAACATAAGTCACGATAGTCATCTTGAAAGTGAGGAAGCTTCTTGGAGTAAGGTCCTTCGTAATATAAGACGGCCATGGCCAGATATCAATATTGAAAAATTCAAATATATCGGCAAATCTCTGGGATCTCTATCAAACCCGAAACAATCTAATAATTACTACTTCGTGATATCACTTCTTACTGAATTACGATGGGCTGCCGCCAGAGCAAAGCTACCTCCTTCTCCCCTCGTATATCAAATTTTACGAGTACTGCCAGACCACGCTTTAATAGTGTTTGGGGAAATAGCCAGTGCTAAGCGATAATTCTGTAGCGTTTAAACTGATGATATTGTAAACCGGGTTCCCTTGACTTGATGGTTGATGATACCCTCAAGTCTTCGGAGAATCAAGCCCTATTTATACATGTTGGAACCTATGCCAAGGCCCGCTTTCTAATACTAACTGATACAACGATAATAGAATAAGATAACGTTCCCGAAGATAACCCAGATAGAAAAGCGCCCCCGCATAGTCCCGTCCTCCATTCTAATTCCGACACGTAACCATGAACCTTGCAATTGCCAGTCATCGGGCTGTACCATACTATTATCCTAGACCTACTTCCCTAAGTAGAACAGCCTACAGCCGTAAGCCCCGCTTCCTATTCTATTTCCGGGTGAGACACCCAATAGCAAGCGTGCCGTCATAATAGTATAACACTAGTGTGGTAACATCGCGTGCTCCCACACTACCCGATACCTTTCTATGCTTGTCCTTTCGTTACCCGACCGTCCTCGCATCACAACCCGTCACTCGTATTCCTCACTGTCTTAAGTATTTAGAACAGTGTTCCGTAGTTCCTGTAACAAATAGGTCCACAGCCGCGGGCCAAAATAGACGAGTCAGCGAATATTCGTTTGCCAGGGAAGAGTGGAGGGAGTACTATAATAAACAGGCTCTAAAAGAGGGATATAGGTCACGCAAAACCACTAGTTTATATAATAATTATAGCTGAGCTTTATGTATCTCACTGGCTTTGGTTGTGTTTCTTTATTATTTATTCCTTTGATTTGGTATGTTGATAGCTGGTTTGGTGAACGGGGATTGTGAATCAATTTCTAATGATACGATTACCAATACTGTCGATAATTTCGGCTTGACTCGAAATCGCGTACTAGATGATTCGCGAAAGAGCTAGGAATTTATATACACTGCAAAATACATATAAATAGAAATCTAAGCGCTTGTCAATTAAGCATTCATTCACTGGTGGCTGCATTTAGTGCATAATCAACCCATTTTACCCCTCTCCAGATACAGTATGTATGCCTGAGTTTTAGTGCGGCCATGGAATATCGTTTGGCTCCTTAGTGAGGAAGGAGCCATTAGTGCCGTTACACTACATATGATATCTTATTAGATTTTCGGTACTTACTACACCCCAGCGCTCTACATGTTACGACTCGAGCGATGCTGACCTCACGCAGTTTAAACATGGGCACAGGGACAACTTCATCAATCTAAAGTATATCTCTCAAGAAGTCTCAGGTATTAGGCGTACCTATTCTACCTCTTAGCTACTCTACTCTATCCATACCTACTAGATCTAAGGTTCTGATCCCATAGAAAAACGCGCCAAGTCCACCATTTCATTCTACATAGTCTCATGCTCAGCGGCTGATCACATAAGACGTTGAAATTTCCCTATTTAGTTACTTTTGTCTTAGACTATACGCCCCCTAATCTTCAAGGCCGGACCCTATTGGGCACCAACCCTGCATAGCGTCAATGGATGATTGGTACCTCGCACTCCAACAACACAAGGCTAGCAACTGCGATGAATATATGTGGTGACCTTGCGCTCGGAACTCCCCGAAGACGAAGTCTATATAATCGTTAAACAACCACCCGAGAAATATATATCCTGCTACCCCCTCTTTCATGCAAAACCTTCAGTATCAGAATCAGAGTCCAGCGACATATACTTGCCCCTTCTCGAAGAATGACGAGTTGGTCGACGACCTAGAAAAATCTAATACTGGCAACACTCCAGTATGGAATGCGCAGAGCGTACGGGGTAAAGAAGCCGGCAACAACGAACCTGCTTTTATCCCAGGCCAACCCCTGTATCCGCTTGAGCACCAGCTGGAGGAAGTCACGAGATTTCTTGACAAGGACCTCAAAACAGAACTACTAGACAGCATGAGCCATATCCTCTGGCTGCTATCTAGTAAGAACAACATCAACCCGTTACACCGGCAAGCGATTAGGAACCGACAGATCCTGATAACGGAAGACCCTACACTCCATCTTGTCTGGTATTATGACCAGATATTTATCAAACCGATCCCTCGTTATCTCCTCAATTATGCCTTTTTCGAGACATATATATCCGGGTGCACTTCTTCAGAGATCCTCAAGGCTGCGAACGGGTTCCTTCGTACCTACTCGCGCCTAATAGTCTACGAGTCTGATTTCGAGATAGCAAAGGAAAAAGGGCTATTACCGAAGGACGAGCGTATCACTTGGCTAAAGTGGTGCAAGTTTATTCGAGAATTCCGAAACTTAGACACCGACAGTGTTACTGGTAGATATATGTATGGCGAGTTGCGACTTAGCAGGCTCAATTTTTATACCAAGGTTTTCGGTTATGGATGGAACTATTTCGATACCTACACGCAGTATTTGCAGTACTTTAGCCGGTTTATGGCGCCGTATTTGTTTTTCTTTGGAAGTATTTCTGTGATCTTGACGGCGATGCAAACATCTCTAGCGGCGGAAGCGTCACCTGAGGATATGAGGTATCATGTATCAGCAGCAACTTTTACAAGTTTTACTATATGGGCTACGGGTATTGGCTTGTTGTTTTTTCCGGCGCTTTATCTGTTCTTCCAGTTACGAGAGTTACTTTTTGCAATTACCACCGGGAATAATAAGAAGGATTGACCGGTTAGGTATTTCTTTCTTGTTTTCTTTTTCCGTTTTTCTCTCGTTTCTCTTTCATTTCGCTGGTTAAATTTAAAGAAGTCAGTTGATTTTCAGTTTTTACAAGTTTTGTTTAGAACTGTAGTCATATATATACTTAGAAATCTCAAATGGTTTTTGGATTATACGTTTTTGTTTAGAAAGGGCTTTAGAGAAAGCCAGGTTATTCATCTGTATTCTCACGCCTGTAAGGGCAAGAGACAAAATATCAATAGTAAGGAGGTTACAATCTGGTCTTTATTTGCGCACTCGAATTACGGTCTCCACGAGACGAGAAGCAAAGACTTTGTTGTGTGGAGCTTTTATTTCGGGCTTGGCTCACAACTACTCACTCGATGTCTCGAGATGAGTGAGACTAGATAAGATTGGGCCTGTAATTCACATGAGAGGGTGGAACTGGACTTGCCTGATGTTTCCTCAAACATTCCTGAAGAATGATATATCAGACCGCCGCCGCCACTGCCACGAATGGCTGCTTGAGAAGTACCCAGAATTGGGAACACTTGAATACAGCAAATTATATTAAACTTGAACCAGATTTCACAGCTTGTCAAGAAGCCCTAACCCTGTAAGCTTATTGCAAAATTTCGAGATGCTAGGGGATTACCACCTGGGCGCCGGGGTCTTTTCCAAAAAACATTTCTACTTTTAGAACATACATATATGTCCTCTGATATTGGCTCTCTTAGCTTAACTTTGTAGTCTCTTGAAGCCTTTTTTCCAATTGTAATAGACTACATCTAGCTTATATATAGCTCCTTTCAATGATCATAATGAGAGCGCCAGGTCTGGGGTTAGAGTTATAATACCGACACACTTCACTTTTCCTGACATATATACATCAAATTTTTTTATATCTATAAATACATGGAGACACGTATTATATACAGCCTCTCAGTCGCTCTTGTTTGTGAGCAAGACCAGTAAAATGACATGGTAATATCTAGATCTTTGTAGGAAGTGCCGAATGATGTCATGTCTTTAGAGAGTCTAGAATAGTGTTGAGTAATTTTCTTTTATCTTTCTTATGACTCTTCTAGCCCAGAGGGGAATGATGGGGAGAGGTTTTGTTTTGGTACTGCCCTGTAATATGTGAAAAGGTAAAGGACTAAAAATTAGTCAAACATAGATATACACCTGGCCGTCCGAAGTGTATCAAGCCATTCGCTGCAGGTTTCATCTGGGGGCAATCGAATGTGTGTATGAGCATTTTAACGAAAAGAACACATGTTCTCTACAGGGTATCGTAATTTATCTATTTATCAGGCGGCGTTAATTTGTGTCTTTGTCTTGACGCTACTTGTCCATTTCGCAGGTTCGTTGATTACGTCATCACTCATGCACCCCAGACTTTGAATTTAGGTGGCCTCATCCACTCTGTTCAGCTTAAGCTCAACACCCGCATTCGACATATAACACCCCCCGCGCTCCCCTTTGATTAAAACATACGAAAATCAATTCATTCGTCTATCATAATCGCATCATGGTTCTCCTCAGAGACGTTACCAGTGTTGTAGCCTTTTTGGCAATGGCACAAAGTGCCAGTGCCTTTTATTCAAAGACAAGTGGAGTCTTGAGTCTTGACCAAAAGGGATTCAAAAACGAGATCCTGCAGTCTGGACATGCTGCTGTAAGTCTTCGTGGAAAATGCAAACTTGGGACCTCAAACTGATCTGTTTTGGCACGCAGGTCGTAGAGTAATATAATTCTCACCCCACATTGTCACCTTATGCAAACCCAGATACAGAGAACTGACTTGTTTGCGATCGGCAAAGGTTCTATGCGCCATGGTGTTAGTGCCCCTCTATTAACTCTACCCCACCAAACTCCTACAATTACTGACCAAGCTCTTTTCTTCAAAAAACAGGCGGACATTGCAAAAATCTCAAGCCCGACTATGAGAAGGTTGCAAAATCACTGAAAGGCCTTGCCAAGGTTGCTGCAGTCAATTGTGACGAGGAGAAGAATAAGAATTTGTGCGCGGAACAGGGAGTTCAGGGTTTCCCTACGCTTAAGATATTTCAGCCTTCGGGGAAGAAGGGGAGTCCGTCTGTTATAGGTTTGTTTATCAGCTCTTTCCCCTTCAATCAAAGTTCTGCTACTAACTAAATTTAGATTACAACGGCCCTCGAACTGCAAAGGCTATTTCTGATGCCGTCGCTGAACGTATACCTAATCATGTTACCCGTGTCACCTCCAGTAAGCTTGACGATTTTTTCGCCAACAAAAATGAGACGGTGAAGGCGATACTATTCACGAACAAGGGCGTTACCAGCCCACTCTGGAAAGCTCTAGCTATTGACTTCTTGGGTTCTATTACTTTCGCTCAAATTCGTGATAAGGAGGCACAAGCTATTGAGGCTTTTGGAATCGACAATTATCCGACTGTAGTGGTTCTCCCCGGAGGAGACAAGGAGGCAATTGTTTACCAAGGGAAGATTTCGAAGGATGATTTGTTCGAGTTTTTCAAACAAATCGCACCTCCTGTGAAGGAGCCTGAAGCTTCTGCCAAACCAAAAAAAGAAAAGAGCAAGAAGACCGAGGAGCAACAGCCGATTGTCGTAGAGGTTAATGATGAAGATGCTCCAGTTAAAAACAAAGTTCCCGAACCGGAAAAGCGTATGAACAATCCTAACTCCTGATTACTCACGTATATTAAGGCTGACAACATTGAGTAGCCAAAGTAGAAGTTCCTGTTCTTGCCGACAAAGCTGCCCTGACTGAGGCATGCCTCTCTCCGAAGTCAAAAACTTGCGTTTTGGCTATTATTCCTGCCGAGTCAGAGTCTGAGACTTTCACTAGCATCTACAATACGCTTTTACACAGGACTGTCAATGCGTTCAACGTTTATAAGCTCGCATCTTCTTCGGAACACGCTCAGGAGCTTTTGGAAAAGCTGAACTTGGACAAGTCGTCCGGTGCTGTCGTTGCCGTGAATGCACGAAGGAACTGGGTTAGAAAATTCGAGGGCGACATTACGAATGAGGTCGAGATCTTGGCGTGGCTCGATGCTGTTAGGCTTGGAGAGGTGAAGAAGGAAAAGTTGCCAGCAGGCTTGGTTGTTGAAGATAAGGAGGAGGAGGAGCACGATGAGTTGTAAAACATTATTTATTCTTTTCCTTCTGCGCGTTTTGAGAAAAGTGTGATGAGAGAAACAAACTTTCTGTGGTTTTGATGCAATTTCCTTATATGATTTCTGCATGTTTCAATTGCAATTGACAAGTGGTGAAAGGAAGGGAATTTCACGAATTGCGACAAGACCTCGATTTAAGTAGGATGCAACAAAATTTCCGAATCACTCTAGTTCTAGTCTTACAATTTATCTACGTTTGCCCTTTAAATATCAAAAATTGTATCTTTGAAGTGACCAAGCTTTTGTAGTTACAGATACCTGTGTAGGCGAACCTTGGCATCGTTTCATCCTTTGCGGCACAGTAGGCACCCTGGTACTCTACTCAGGGCCCCGGGACATATGCAGGTAGGTATTGTAGGTACAGCATACAAATTATCCTTGCCCTGAGCAACTGCATTTTCTGGTTCTTACGCTGGTAAGCGTGTACATGTATATATGTAGGTACTGTCATTCACGGGGTATTGGCGGATACTGGGTGATGGTGGACAGGGCAAAAAAAGAGACAGCCAAGCCAAATTTTACCTGCAATTCGCCAATACCAATACCCCGTGAACGATAGTACTTAAGCCTGTACTACCCTACTTACAAGCCGTCTCCTTAAGAGTCAAGACCACGTTCGGAATCGGAACCCCCACTACTGTCTGCGTGCGTGGTCGTAGGAAGCGCAAGATTTATGGCGCATGTACGTACTTAGCGGCTCAAGGAAATTTATGAGGTATTATTCAAAACTACATGTATAATTAATATCTAACTGCACCTCAACCGCCTTTATTAATTTCAAGTCCTATTTCTTCGGAGTTAGAAGGATCTGGCTGTACTCCTAAAAATTGTCTAAGATACATATATGTAAGCATGTTACTAAATAAACTTCTAAGGTTACAGGGCTGAAAAGGTTACAGGGCTGAAACGGTCAAGGGGTGCAGCGCCCCAATCCCAATCGAGATCTACCTGCCTAGCATTCACTACTATAGAAGCACTTCAACCCACACAGATTGCGTAGAGTATCATAACATCTGCTACTATCACGGACATGGTCTCAGGCACAGGCCGTATCCTAAATCTGTAATCTAGCTAGTGCACTTCCGCAAATACCCTTGACCAATAAATCAGAGTCCCTAGTGTGTTATGCGTGTAACTATGTAGGTACTTAGAGCACTTTGTTTTTTGCACTAAGCAAGTCGATCCTTTCCTTTCTCCTTATCTTAACGAGAGCGTGATTCACTTCGCTGCCATCCTAGGTGTAGGTACTCTAAATTTTAGTTAGTGTGTGGAGTAGATGATTTAAAATACGTCGCCGGTAGGTAGGGAGTTGGACCAGGGTTCCTTGTTGGGTTAAGGTTAAGTCAAGTAGTTTATAGAGTACTACTCTCCCCACATTACTTGCTCTCTGACCGTCTTCCTCCAAAACATCCAGCAAATCTGGACTTCGAACCTATTTCCACATGTACAGCAGAGAGCGATCAGCAAGGTACCAAAGAATTAACCCCACCCCACCCCCCCCCCAAAATGCTAGCTGATCTTTTATTGCTATTAAATTTGATATTCAGGACATGCAGAACTGAACTAACCGGACGATGATTGACAGAGGAACGATGGCCAAACATAATCACACTCCAGTCCCTACAGTCGATACGGATCTACCATTACCACCCCCAAAAGACAATGTTGGCGGGGCCGGGTCTGCGGTGCCAGTGTTTAGAGAACCACGGGTAGCGACCTGGTTGAAGAGGACCGTAAACAAACTCGGCTACTGGCAAATGTCTGTTCTTATTCTCGGAAACATTGCTATCCTCTTTGCAGTCGCTGTTCTTTGCTATCTATGGATTTCGGTTAGTAGAAAGAGCGCGGAAGGAAAATCTGTCTGGGAAATGATCGTGTTCTCAGGCTGGATTTTGCGGGTCATAACTCTGACTTCCATTATCATCCGAACGGCAATGACGATGCAGGCGACGGTCTTTTGCATGGTTCTGGCCTCAATAACACTACAGCGCGGCGGTGTCCTTATACAGAATGCCGCAGCTGTGTCGATATACAGATTCACAAACTCGGGCCCACATAACATGATACTCCCACTGTTTTTTGCCCAGAGAGGATGGAAGTCGGATATTGCGATGGTTATGACCGCTCTGCTGTCCTTAACAACAGTGTGCAGTCAATTCACGTCGACGATTCTACTTATGGATCTTGGTCAGGCACGGATTCAGACACCAACAAGGAAGTTTGATGTAGCTTACGGCGCCAATGAAAACCAAAGTATGCTTTCAGGAGAATTCTACGTCAGCTCTTATACCAACAGTTGGACCGAGAGGCCGTCAAATCTACCGGTTTTTGCAGAGAAGACTAGTGAAAACATTGTTCTTCATAACCGGGACAACGACGGCGGTCTCTATGCAACGGGCTCCACCATTCGTGCATTCTTACCGCTCGACAAGAAAGATCGCGATGCACTCGCCGAATATAAAGGACCAGCGGCGATTATGGATTCAAGAGTTCTCTGCATGTCTCCTTACATTCGGGAGCTGAAATATTATGAAGCGGGGTTAAGTGTGATAAACGAACGTGGCGATAATTATACTTATCCCTTTATTGAAGCAACAGTTGGCATAGACACTTTTCTCGAGCACCAAGATGAACTGTTGTCCAAAGGTTTTCTGACTAGCGGAGTTGATAATCCGGCAAGAGATATCAAATTTTACTGCAAAACACCTCGCATATTGTCCTATCCTCCGCCATTCTATGAATGGCCACTCTCGCTCTGTTCTCCAGTTTACCCCGGGCTTCAAAGCCTCAATAGCTCGGGCGAACGCATCTTCGACGATACGTTTCAATATACCTGGGTAGTATTGAATATGACAGGCTACGACACTCTCTGGGCAAATTCTACAGTTATGAATTCTACCATTGTAAATGCTACAGCTGACGCTCAATCTGGTGGTTACGGCGACAGCGTCGATGGTGAATGGACGAAGTTCTCATTTCCCAGCCCAGACGTTGAGACGGCCGAGACACTAGACATGAGTTTAAGCCTTTGCTTCAGCGCAGTCACTTCTAGAAATGCCCTCATCACAGCAAGGGCTAACTGGAACCTTACTGAGCCGACGCTAGTCAAAGATGCCGACAAGGTCCGCTACAACTCAACTCTAATACGAAGATTCCTCGGCGTGGAAACCGGAACCAAGGATGACCTTGATCACGAAAGCCGTCAAATCGCTGATCTTGTCAACGTAGATGATGACAGTTCACTATTGGTGACCGATAATTGGATTACGCCTTCCCTGGTTGACGAGTTATTAAATCAGTACAACTTTGCTGCTGCAGCGGCTATGATGTGTATCTGGTGTTCACTCGATGTGAGTGTTCATGAAGGCTATATAAATCTTTTCGAAAACACCTTAAGAGCAACTACACATCCAGCACTAGCCATTCAAGCACTCTTGACCAGCCGCGCCCTGCAAATCTACGAAGGCCGCCGAACAGACCTTACGACCCCCGATACTGCTCTGTTGAATATCATTGAACCGTTTCAGGTCCCAATCAGGATATCTGGGCTTTCGTCTATCCTGGCGTTGATTGCTTTCCACATCCTGCTCATGATGTATGTTATAGTACTGTTCTTCAAAATAGAGGGACCTACGTCCTTGGGGCAGTCCTGGCAGGCAGTGGCGCAATTAGAGGGGGAGGAGACAAGGGAGACAATAGAATTTGCCAAGAAGGGGACGGATATAGAGGTTGGAAGCTGGTTGACGGAAAAGGGTATCCATAAGGAGAGGATGGTCATCAAAAAGGGGGCAATTATGAGGAAAAGCCTAGGGCCAACAGGAAGCTACGAAGAATACAGGCGCGCGCCGCATTCTGATAGCATGACGTGATTGCCTGTGGGGCATATATCTTGATGACTGACGAGCTATATAGAGTTTTTCTTTTTTCTTTTCATTTTTTCTATGTTTATTATATACCATATATAGTATACTATTTGTTTATATTTTATAGCAATCCCCTATTCAATCAGATATAATACTCACTGGGCCTTTCAATTTTAGGGTTCGGAACATATGACATAGCTGATCATGGGGACAATCTAATGAATTTATGGGTTGAGCCGGTCAAGTTCCTATGGGGTTGATTAGTACTTTAATAAGCGATCAACTAGAGCCCTGAGAGCCAAGACACATATAGAATGAGCTCAACAAGCTGTCTGCTACATAATACCCCGGGCCCAACTGCTAAAATTAAATTAAACTTTACCGCAACCCACAAAGTCCCACACGATTTACAGGCCAGAAGAGCACCATACACACAAGTGAATACTACCATCCTCCAACTGCACACCCCTCCTCACTATCACAAGCACCCCCACTAAACTCTCTAGATATCACACCAAAACACACCGCCAAGACCGAAACCAAAACACAAATCACTTCCTCCCTCCAACCCTTGCACCCACAACACACTCAATGGAGACAGTCTACACCATCGAGGAGCTCGACCGATTTCGCCTCAGCAACCCCGATTACGTCTACTCCCTCCGGAAGCGCTACACCACGCAGCAGGACCTACTTCTACGCCTCCGCTTGCAGTTGATCAGCAAGAGTCCATTCTACGGCTCGGGGAGCACGGAAGAGCTAAAGGATCTGCTGAAGGGATCAAAAGGTCGAGAGTCCTTGGTGCTACCGCGGAAGGATGATGTGAGGTGGCATACATTTACGACCAAGCAGCATAAAGAGGCGAAGGCGTTGGTTGGGGCTATGAAGGAGGGGGAGAGTGAGATAGAAAAGATTGTGGAGGAGTTGGAAAGGTTTGTGGTGGATTGTGGGTGGGAGGATGAGATCGAGGAGTGGGAGGGGAGTGCTGTGAAGAATTGAGAATTTTCTTCTTTCTCTCTATTCTACTTTTCGTTGGGCTTTATGGTTCGGATTTGGGTGGTTGGTTGGTGCTGATTTTATGCTGGCCTTGTTGACTGGGGCTCTTTGGGTATATTTATTCAATGATTAATGTTCTTTTAGAATTCTATTATAATTCTTGTGTAGCAGTTGGTACTTTTTGGTAATGGAGCTTTAGGCGAGCTATCAGAAATATATGCGGATATTAAAATTGTTGATTCCACTCGCAGACTCTAAATATCAAATTCGTTTTCCTATTTCAAGCTCTTAGTCCTGTTTTACCCCCCGCAAAAGATTAGACTTAGGTCTCATCACCATTGCTTGTTGAAATATAGCCCCCTAGACTAGGATCAACTATGTGGCCAATGTCACTATACATATATATGGTGTCAATAGTAAATGATGTCAACAGCTAGATAGTTCCTTAAGCCGTCGATGCTAACCCCACTATAACAGAAGAATTAGATTTGTATGAGAGATCTGTTATTTGACAAGAGAGATAACGGTAGGTAAAGCCACACCATATTTGCTTTTTGTGAAGGGGGTCAGCATTTTTGCAACAGCTTAGGAGATACCACAAGTAAAATGGTATCTAAGAACACTTATATTGTCACCATAACTCTGCACGCCTCTCTTCATATCTTCAAAGTCAATGAAGCGGTTAAGAAAATCTATGCGCCCCACTCCGGTACCATTTCCTACAATTGCTATAGGAGCCTTCGTCGAGTGATAATCCATGTCCCAAATCCTGAAGCAGTACTGGATCCTCCTCTGAGTGTAGGAATAACTTTTGTGGTCAAACTAAACGAGTTCTGTAAACTATGGAGGGTTTGTCATTCAAAAAGTACATTATCAACGCTCGACTTTGGAGAGAGAAACCTTCCGGATGCGAATGAAGCTGCTGAAAATTTCGAGGAGAGAATCATTATATACACCTAGTGTAGTCGACGAGCCCGATCGAGTCGAGTTTGAGGATTGGCTCGAGGCGCTCGTTGATTTACGAGGCCTGCTCTGCTCGACTCGTGAGATCACCTGTGATCGTGAGGAAACCCGAGTCCCCCAACAAATATGTTTAATACCTACATAATACCTAATCAGTCAAAGTACTGAAAATGATATTTGCGAAAAACAGATCTTCGGTTCCAATTTGACATAGTAGCCTTTGATCTATCAACATATGCTAAGATCCTATATGACTAAAAGGCTCGAGCAACTCGGGTCGGTTTTTATCAAGTGCTCGTGAGAGCTCTGCTCGTGGCCCTTCCTGCTCGTCCTTGCTCGAGTACAAAGCTCGAGCCGTGAACTCGAGCAGACTCGACTCGTCGACCACACTATATACACCCTCTTACTCAAAGCAAAATAGTATTTCTTCTGCATCTCACATGAAGGGCTCTCGGAAAAGGGATGCCAAACCCCAACTCAACCCTCCTCGAACCCAAGCTAGGTTGAGGTAGCTAAACCTGTGTTACGGAATTAGGAGGCTTTTGGCACTTATGACATACATGTTAAGATTTATCGGGGGATTAAGCTCCTGGACTGGGTCAAGAGTCCAACCCTTTATCATTCTCATTACCATCCTCGTATCTTTCCTTTCTCACATCTCGAATATAAAGTAGTAATCAATGTTTGGTCAACGAATTTGTTTTATCATTTCTTTTTACATGGCTTACTATTTAACAAAACTCTCCCCAAAGATTCTAGACAATGCAGCTAACTTAACCAGAGAACACAGCAGGCCCTGGGAAAGTGTAACTGGTGAAGGCATTATAGATGTTAACTGTGATACCAGGGTCAGTTGCAGTGATGTGTCCTGGAATCGAGAAGTAGCTTGGGCTCGCGCTTCCGCCTCCAGTAACCGTAATCTGGCCACAGGAGATGTAAAATTGAGGAGCACCGCCGGGGTTGTGGAGCGCGATTTGCTCAACACGAAGGAGGTAGTCTCCACTAGGGATGGAAGAGGGAATAGAGGCAGAGTATGTCTCTGTATAACACACATTAGCATCTAGCTGTTGTGAAAGCGAATATGGTTTAAGTTAAAGGGGGACGTACGGTACATGGGCCATGTAGCAGAACCACTGCTGAAGGTGGGGCCTTCCTGCTTGATCTTGATCCAGTTTGCACCTGAACCGTCCCAGGTGGCGGCAGTCTGGCCTGAGGGGACCTTTCCAAGATACCAAAGAATGGGGCCCTGGTGGTAGACTGCTTGATCAAGGTCAAAAGTAACCTGGATATAACGACATTAGTAAACATCTGGATAGCAGAGGGAAGGTGGTGGACATACAGTTGATCCAGCGGCGACTGTCTTGATGGTAGTTGCAGACCCAGTGGCGCCGACATTGCAGCGGATATCAGTCGAGGTAGTATCGGTAACTGGAGAGTTGTAGTTGGTGTTCGGACGAATATTTTCATATTCAGCACCCTTGACCCCTCCGGCGGTCAGCCAAGCAAAACGGTCTAGATGTAATTAATGTTAGCATATAGTCCCTATATTGGTATGATGTAGAGAGCGGTATACAATGAGCGGAAGCGACGTCGCTGAAGGCAGCAACGAGCACAGCAAGAGTAAGGGCAGAGAATTTCATTTTGAAGGAATGTAAGAGGCGTCTGATACAAGCTGTAGAATGGCGACTTGAGATTCAGAAAAAGATGGAGGGAATACCACCGTTTTTATACTGAGGATATCTCCATCTTTCTGGTGCCAATATATATTCACACACACCTCATAAAGTTTACTCTTCTCGGAGAAGCCCTTTAGAGTGTGTTCAAACAAGGTTTTAGGTTTATAATATGAACTAAAGGGTGATCCTTATAATTTTTGGGACGTAGTTCCTGCATCATTTATTCTCCGGGATGCCTAGTCTGCACAGGATATCAAAGCCGACGGGTGGGGATCCGATATGACATTAAACGTTCCCCACAGTTAGAAATGATGGTGCGGGGGACCGGGAGAGAATCCGGTCGGGAAGGATTCTCCAAGGGATTGATAGATCTTCTCAATATGCTTACTAGTTTGGGTTTTCTCGCCTTATGACTGAATTTAAACCCCGCGATTATAAGACCGCGTTCTCTTTTCGGAAAAGTAATATATTGTAGCTAGATAGATTATTCCAGGGCCGATAATCCTACTAGGCAAATATTACTGCTATATAGACTGTGCACTCCAACGTATCTTAATCTACCATTCTACAAAGTGTACTGCTTATTCCGACAAATATCGTCAGATACTATTAGCGATAAATCAAAGGTGTTATGCTTAAAACCTACTAGTTTTCATGCCTTAATGAGTTTAATCAACGGGGATAGCCCATTCCCTGTCATTCTCCCCTGATATGGATGAATTTCCGGATATGGGTAGGGTATGGTCTATATACCGGCACCACGGACCGGATGTCATACTATCACAACACCCGTTGACAGCCAATAGTTTCAGTTAAGCTTGTTATGCTCGGGAACAAGTGTAGTCGCGGGGCCGGATTGTGGGAATATCCTTGTTCGGATCCTTCCTTCCTTTGGTGTGTATCGGGAGCAGATCCGAGCGGGGGTAACACAGCGCCCTTTTGTCCGTTGGTAAATATCTTATGATGAAATCTTGGAGAGTTCAAGCGCAATTCTTCATAAATTTCGACTTATGTCTCCAGTGCAGTCTAGGGTTTCGTTATTACAAATGATGGATTATCTTCTGTCGAGGCACCGGGAAAGCCGTAGAATATCAGAGATATAAAGTACTCATAGTTATCATCTTTATTTCTGGTGAGGATGACTTGCGTATTTGATTGGCGTGGTTAGAGAAAGATAGTCTCGTGAGAATGACATCCGTTGCACTAGGCTGACTATGCGAATGAAGGGTAAAGATGTGGACTCTAGATGCGAGGACCCGAATGACGATTAGATATTATCAGGGATGTCTTCCTTGAGTGAAAAGTTCATTTGGAGGTGAGAGGCGTTCTCACGCAGTACGTGGAAACAAACGTTTTAGGGTCACATTTCAGTACCGCATTAATTCGTTCGAACGGCCGGTCACACAAGACGTCGAAGTTGCCTTTTCAAGCTAATATGAGGGAAGATTAGGGGGCGTATTCAAGACAAATAACCAAATACGGGAATCTCAACGTCTTGTGTGACCGGCCGTTCGAACGAATTACTGCGGTATTGCACGCCAAGACTTCAAACGAACGTTTCCGCCTCCAGCTTCGGCATGAAGCCCTGTATGATCCGCCGCTCTCCAGAGGCCCAGACCAGATTTTGCGGTATAATAATGTAATCTACGTATCTGTACGCGTAAGCACGGAAGCTCCAAAGTCAAGAACTGAAGTACTAAACTTTTACTCACGACCTCAGAAATCTACCAAAGAAAAGAATAGAAACATGGTGATGTTACGTATTAATCTGTAGTAAGACCTTACTCTCACTGTTTATATAGGTTAATTGTGAAAAAATTCTGCTTGGTATCCTGATATCTGGTTGCAGATGAAAATAGCTAAACCCCATTGAGCTACAAGATGACTGGTTGAATTAATGAATTAAACAAACAAAAAAAAGTATCTCAAACTCCGAGTGATAATTCATGAATACCACCACCACCAGATCTATACGACCCCACGGCCAGGAACTATGTTTTTCTTAGCAAAAAATTGTCCGACAACCACCCCGCGACCGTATCCCGTCAAACCCCAAGAACCACCGGGCCCCACGAGCCGCAGACCGAGGTGGCAGACCGAGGCAGCAGTGGTTGACATCTGCTTGGTTAAGGATCGAATGCAGCTTTGCTTCTCTTCATCTTTGGGTTTTAGACTTTGTTATTGACGAAATTAATTACCCCTGGCTTGGTTGATATAACCTAGATTTATTATCTTATATATAGGACACTATGGTTGGTCATTGTGAGCATTAAAACTAGTTTTTCTCCATAGAATTCTCGAGACATCCCTCAAGATTTTTCACGCAAGTACCAAGAGTCATACGTATCTCATACAACTGTTCAATGAATAGTAAATTGAATCTCTCAGACTCTATATCTATTGGTACAGTACGAAAGAATGAGAACTAAGAGAGGGTGCCGTACCAATACACTGTTGATTCATAAACTGAATTACATATAGCATCAAACCCACTCTAGAGTCTTCCTACTCTTTAGTCCAAGTAACAACCATAGCTAAACAACATTCATCACCTGATTCACCATCACCCACCATCGCCCTACCACTCTAGAACAAAGCTAGGTATCTCGAAAGAAGTATCGAGAAGACACGAGGCTTTAAACGCAGTAACCCAACCACCCACGGTGCCAGGCTCATTGTTTCCCGAGGGTTTCAACATGACCTCCGCCTGAAAAGGACACCCGTCATAGTTCATGAGCGCATCGCGAAAGCCCGGCGGAGCAATCCAATGGACACCACACGCATTTCCTCGGTGAGCACAAAACGTCACACCGCCGCCTAAGCTTTCTTGAGGCTTACAAGGGGTGACGCCTGTGGTGATTCGGTAGGTTTGCATGAGACGCAAGTCCGGATGGTTAGCTGAGACTCCGTAAGACGCGATGGCAAATGTCAATGGAAGCGCCTTGAAGGAAGTGAGCATCAAGCACATTCCAATCTCCAAGCGGGTGACCTCAGATCTTGACCCCTCAGGGTTCTCTCTGTCGGCCGTTCCGGTTTGTATCACCCACGAAGGACAAAGAGGCCTGACATCATCCGAATAACCAGGCTCTGCAAACCAGTTCCGATTATTGCGTCCAAATAGCTCCACGTACAGATGTTTGAGGTGCCGGAACTCACGAAACTTTGAGGGTGTATTGATCTATGTAATAATATCCGTTAGAGTCCAGTTTGGTCAGCGGGAGATCTAGGAAAGGAGGGCAAAGGGGTGAAGAGTCGAGTAAATAATTATATAAGGAGGTGATGATAGTCACAACATACGTATTCTTCCATTCTCACGCCAATTCTAATCTCCTCCAATTTTGGACACACTCGAGTAAGTTTCTCAATATCGTGACGGCGCATAGTGAATGTAGATGCCTCATTTCCATATCCCTCACATAGACACAGAACCTTCAACGTATGCCCATGCTTTCCTACTGCCTCGACAATATCTACCGCATTGACAACAGCCGCATTCGAGTCAATCTCTCTGTGATAGAATACGTACAATTCTCTCAATCTGTCACATGCATTTATAATCTCTATCATTTGATTCGGGGACAGGGTAGCACTCAGAGTTGTCAGAGCTGAAAGGCGGCCAATTCTTAGTAGGGTAGCTGAAAGACCGGGACAAACGGTTTCATGTACCAGTTGCAGTGACTCCAGGGCACTGAACCTTACGACCGTTCCTAGAGCTACTATAGTAGTCCAATCGAAAAAGCCAAGGCGAAGGTGCTTCAACATAGTAATTGATACAACACCCCTAAGCATCCTCATGATGTGTTCCTCGGCAACGCCAACCCTGCGAAACGACAGGTGCAACGTTTCAAGGCTTCCAGCAGATGGGAGTATGAGATTCCTTGGGCCACCAATATTTGCCGTTTCGCTGTCGGCGGTGCCATCACAATACACCACAAGTGATTTGAGTCTAACGTCTTGAAAGCTTGACTCCAAATGCGGGGCACACATGGGACCGTTTGTAGAGCAGGAAACATGACGGAGGTTCGGGAGTCCGCCGATTATATTCGCTAAATAAGTGCTCCCAGCCGACGGCTCCCAAACAACGCTCTCTATATTTACCATATCCCGGGCAATTTCGTTGAGGAGCGGCCATAATACGGCTGCCTCTGGTGTTATGTTATATCCACTGAATATTTTAAGCTTCTGCACCCATCCTGGATCCACCATTCGATCTGCCGGCGTGCGGAGGAGCATATCGAGTTGTCGGGTTATTGGGATATTATTCTCAGCTATCGCTATGCGCACTGAGCGACGCTGTACACGAGAAAGCAAGGGGAAAAGTTGGAGGAGAAAGCTTCTATTGCCGTCAACGACGATCTCGCGATAGAGAACTGGAGCTGATAGTGCATAAAACATGCTACTGACGCGGCAGAGCACGGCGAGATTACGAGACATTTCAGGTACAACCATTATATCTCTGTTTGTTAGAGCCATGGGCTCCTAGATCGAAGGAGAGAGTTAGATAGCTCTAAAGGTATGCTGAGGCGTGGGGAGAGGCAAGGGGGGAGGGCGGGGGGGGGGGGGGTTGTGCATACGTTGGTTACGTGTGTAATGCATTTAGCAATGATCTCTATTGGTAAGTAAGGTATCATTCTTTACTTCTCAGTGCTCGAATCGAGGGTATATATATATGGATGTGTGATGATTATTAGGATGTTGATAAGATGTGAAGAGTGGATGTACATGGGACCGGCATGGGTACGCTGGGTGCCTAGATTTGCATGTAAGTAACTGGACAAGTAGTGTGTTTACTACAAGAGATCTATCGACAGGGACTGCTGCAGCAGGTAACTTGCAGCTCGGCTTTTCGGATCTGTGTAGATACTGTGGCTCTACATGTGTATATATGTATCCTCAGGGGACCCAGGAGTAAGGTTCCTTACGTCGATCTGGATGCCATAGGTATATACAAAATCGAACTCTTCCATAATACAACGTAAAGTACATTGACTTATGTACTTGTAGCTGAGTATCAATCTTTTCCCAAAAAACTTTGTTGTAGCTTCTGTAGCTAAAACTCACAATACATCTAGACAGGTGTACCGGGGAACTTCCTGCGTGTACCACTGGATAGCACATGTATTGAAAAGCTTTTAGTTGCGTGCACAAGTGTCCACGCCTGGCTCAAAAGAGGTGTATTCCACCCAGAGACTTAGATACATTATACAAGTACATGTATATACTAGAATACACTCCTCTGTCATATATGTGTCACGTTGCAATTGTCTCTTGGTTCTAATACAGCAGGGAACGCTGTGCAGTATTTTCTCAATCTTGCATACGTATCCCGATTCGATAATCTAATGAATTATCAATCAATCAATCAACTGATTCGATAATCGATCCCGGTATCCCACAACATTTCCATGGTTATACAAGTACCTTAATCCACCCGGTGTCATGGTCTTGAACTTCTCCTACCATATTAGTACACATCCCGTTTACATAAGTGTCGCCTAGGACAGGCGATAGGCCAGAAGACAACTGCATACATCGAAAGAAAACACGTTAAAACATCCAACACAACACAATTCATCCCTAGAAATAACAGGCTTTCATCCCCCACAACTACAGACTTTCATCCTCCAAAATTTCTCCGATGCCAGAATTAGCAATTCCCAGGAATCTGGTAAATCAACCAATTTAAAAATATTCTAACCCGTATATTAAGCCACTGCATATGTTCAACCCCTTTCCTTAACACTCTTTGTTCATTTCGGACACTCAATTTCTCCTTTCCTACCTTAACAGCAATCACAAGATATCACTCTATACAAATAGATCTCTAGCACACATCCAACTCCTGTGTCCTACTTGACAAAGCAAACTTTAGGCTACTTTCCAAAGCGTACCTAAATAGTCCAACTCATAACTCGATAAATACCACCAACACTAATAATCAATAACAAAGATCACTGCTGTCTAATTCCTAGGCCAATCTCTGCCTTACACACATATCGACTCACACCCAGAGCTCTCCGGTATAATATCTAATCGCCCCGTGATCACCCCATTCCCACAGACCCCGGTCGAGTTATAACCCAACATACCATAACATCGCCGATCGAGTGACCGTTCATGACCGCCATCCCCACCGTGTAACACCGCGACCCTCTGGGCTACTGCCAATATAGCCCACCTAGAGTATCATATAAACAATGTGACGAGGTCTACAGAGTATGTGGCCCAGATAGTTTACCGAGACCCTTGTGTCCCGCAGCTGGGCCGGCTGGAGGGGCCATACCATAAGCAGGGTCAGTGGGTGCGGCGTGGCAGGAGATACCGGGTACGTCCCATCCCAAATTCAACTCGATACCTAGGATCTTTGCCGCAGGGATGTGAATCTCGACATCAAGTGAACGCCTGGACTTACGTCATAAGGTTTATATAGTTGTGGGTCACGGGTTATCACTCGGTGATGAGTTCTGGCTGGAGTGGGCTGTTTGGTATGTTTTGCGTAGGAATAGGGCTCTGGTATGTGGTATGGCGAGGATAGTCGCTTCGATTTGTTGAGAGGGAGAGGCTTTGGAGGACTTGGAAGAAAAGTTTGGACTAACTAGAGGATGGTGTATATGCAGAGTGCTTGGTTGAGACTGAATCTACCTGTGTCCAGGCTACCGTAACTACATACATATTGTAGTGATGACATGAAGAACACAAGAAAGAAGAATGATCGAATTTAAGAAAAAGATTACAAAAGAAATATACATCGTAAAAAACCATTACCACTTCTACACCCCAATAAGCATCCACTCCATCCCAACCCCTATGTGCCATTAATACATATACAGAAAAGCGCGCCGGCCCCCGACCTCCAACTAATTCTTCATCTTCCCGAAATCCCCCGGCGCCTCCACCGGCCGCTGCACATCCGCCATCAACTCCACCACCGGCTCCCGCACCACCCCGCCGTCAACCCCCATCTCCACAATCGGCCTCCCATCCGGCCCCATCATTCCCTGACTCGACACCGGCTGCGCCACCCTCGTTGCATCCTTCTCGGGTCTCTTCCCACGACACAGGAAAAATAGCAGCGCGCCGATCGCCAGCGTCCCCGCGAGACCGCCGACCGCAGCGCCAACAATAGCACCCGTGCTCACACCCCCACCGCCGGATGAGCTCGGAGGCGTAGACGTATTCGTCGAGGTGGCAGTACTCGTCTCTGTTCCTGTTGTGCTCGTCCCCGTATTTGTTGGAAGCACCGTCCCGCTCGTCGTTGTAGTGCTCGTCAGATTATACAGACACTCGCCCGACCACCACGTATCATACACCTGCGCATCCGCGGTCGTACAGTTCCCGCCGCACGCCGGCTGGCCGTAGGAGCAGACACAGTTCTTGGTGAGGTCGTTGACGCAATTGGTGTTTGCGGTTGTGAAGCAGGACTGTGCGCAGGTGGGGATGGCGGCCGTGTTGACGGCGGGGACGGACGGGCATTGGGAGGCGTACCAGGTCTCGGCGAGGGTCCAGCAGGCGGCGGAAACGGCGTTGTCGGCGCTGGTGGCGCAGGATAGGGGGTTGGGCTTGCCGCAGAAGCAGTCGGTGGTGGGGGGGTTGGTGGGACAGCCGAGGCCGCGCCAGCGGCTGGAGGGGTGTTAGTCAGTTGTGAATTGTGGATTGTGGGGATGGGAGATGGGGATGGAGAGTGTAGATTGAGGGGATTGGATAGGAAGTGTGGAGAGAATGGATGGGATGTATGGGGGAATTTGGGAAGAGGTATGTTAACTGTAAGGCTGAATGGGAAGTATAGAGAGAATATTGGTTAGGGAGTATCGAGTGATGAGATTGATGTAAAAGAATGGAACTGAGTAGATCAACATACGTTAGACAATGCGTTGCACATGCAGGGAAATTTGAAAAGTCCACTGTCGTCGCCGCAGTGGAGCTCTGCCTGGGGAGTAGAATGGCACGGCCGTAATCACCACCACCCGCAGCCTTCCCCAGGCCGGAGACCACAGCGAGAAGCAGCACAAGACTGGGCTTCATGGCTGATGTACGCTGCTAGCTGATGATGCTGGTAATGCAGATTGGGGGGGGATAATGATGATGGCGTTGGTGGTGATAAGGTTAATGTGGACGTGATCAATCTAGTGGGGAAGAAGAAGGAGACGATGATGATGATGATGATGATGATGATGATGATGATGATTCCTCTGTGCTACGAACAGACAGTCCCTACATTCCTTTCTCTTCTTCTTCTTCTTCTTTTTCTTCTTCCCTGGCTGGCTCGGATCCCGCTGACACTTTTGACGGGACTGGGTGGGTGACTACGCTAGTCCCCTCTCGGATAGAATATTAGGCGGTGTAACAACGAGTGAATACGGTGTGCCAAGACCTGTTAAGGCAGGTCCCGTGGTGGCGGTTATAACTGGATTTGCACCTCGAGTGTTATTGCACTTGGAGAAGGCGGTCTACTCCAACGAGCAGGTACACCACTGTCTGTCTGTCTGTACATCACTGTAGATGGGTACATGGAGTAACTCTACATGTATGTACTCAAACTTGAATTTAATTCAATCTATCGCCCATCCTCGTTCTCGGCCTCTCCGTGGACAAGCTTCCCCCCCAGGGCTCTCCCCTCGCTCTCTCCCCTCAAATTGATTGCTAGGCCTACATACATGCAAAGCACACTGCCATGAGGTTAAATACCTGGTTTCCCACAACATCCAAGTTGTTTCGTCTCTAATTCCTTCCTTGCCCGTCCTCGGATGCACCCGAGTCCGGACCAAGACGTCTGACAGCTTTGCCCTTGCCTGCCTCGTCAAACAATTCCCGATCCGACCGTTGCTGTGCCCCTGTCGCACCGTCGTACAAGGAAAAGGTCTGTACCACTGCAGAGTCTACTTATGACTTATGACGCTCCAATCGGGTGAGGGTTCGTGTGTGATTCTGCCTAGCGATTCTGTCGGTGCATTGTTTTACCTAGACGGGCTAGCTGGGAATTCTTTCTGGGGGAGCAAGGCTGTCTCGTAGCTACTCTACATACTCTACATAGAGGTACTTTTCTGAGTGGGGAGAACAGTAATCGATAATGCGCTGTTGTTCAAGTCAGTAGTGTTCTTCTTTACGAACCTCCTTGATTATGATGGGCCCTCCTCGAGGCACAGCGGAGTTCAAGAAACCTCGATTGGGGTTAAGGGGTATGTATGAACGATGTGTAGAGTAACAGAATTAACATTGCACACGGGGTCTCACTGTCTCTCTTTCTTTTTTTCCTTTCTTTCTTTCTTTCGACCCACCAACGTGTCTGAGGATGGCGTGACGGGAGAGCGCCTTTACCTTGGCGTCGACAAACGTGGTCATGCAAAATCGAAATGGTTGTGTTACATATAGCATAGTGGGCACACCAGCCAGCAGCCGGAATAGGTCAGTGTATCTCTATTACATACTGAGAAACACACACCCATCGCGAGATGAGGTTTGTATTATGTTGAAGTACGTATGTACAGTCGCTCACCTACTGACGGCGGATCCTGTCTGATGGTTCTGTTTGCAGTAATTTGCCCTTGGCGTCCAAAACCTAACTCTTTTATTGGCCTCAAATCCCTGACCGCCATCAGACAGGATCCGCCTTCACCCCGTGAGTGACTGTAGCCATCATCCAGCAGTCTTCAAATTACCATTATCATGAACATGCGTTATTAACTGCTCTACTTATCCCCCACACAAAGCGCAGATAATCGTTACACAGCGACGTGGGTATAGCCCAACAGCCTGAACCGAGAAACCCTTGGTTCTAGAGTGGATCCCTGTCGCGTCTTATCTTGACTTCAGCCCTTGCCAAGCTTAAATTCACTCCATGTCACTTGGACTCTGAAATGGCGCCTACTACTTAGCTCCCTCTCTCTCTCTCTCTTTTCACCCAGAAAATACCAGAGTTTAGATTCCATTTACATGACACATGCCCCGACTAAATTAACATCGTAAAACGTGAAAGAGAACAAACAAAAAAATAAGTATGTCAGAATAGAAAAGCGCACTAAAAAATATATATGTCGGCCCAAACCAGGTGTTGCCAAGACTATTGGGTTGGTGCATCATTGCCCGGGAGCTCATGGGCAACACTTGTCGGTGACGTGCTCTCCCCGTGCACCTCCTGTAGATCAGGGAATCCCGGTGTTGTGTAAGTGGGAGCTGGCGACTTTGATCCGTAATTCGGGGGATCTGTCGAGTAGACAGAGTCCCTGTGGTTGTAAGCTCCGGCATAGCTTGGATCATATGGCCCCGCATCACGGACTACGTTATCCATGGGTGGCTGCGTGGGTTCTGCCGCCGCCGCGGCCGCGGCCGCCTTCTGCTTATTGCGACGTCTCATGAAGAGGAAGCCACCGAGGAGAAGTACACCTGCTGCCACGCCTCCTACTGTCCCGCCGACAATTGCGGCGGTGGGGGTTTTCGTGCCACCTGTAGAGGAAGTATTATCATCTGCGCCGGGGGTGGTATTGTTCGTCTTAGTGTCATAAATATAGTCCTGGTTCCATGCGGCTTCGAGCCCGCTCACATAGGTGGGCTTAAGTGTTGATCCTCCAGTAACGCTATAAAGGGTTCAGAGGTTAGCAAAGAGCGCAGCTCAAGAAACGAAATATCGGACCAGGGGGCAATTACTCTCCGCCAATATCCTTCAGGACAAAATCTGGAATCTCGTATGGAGAAGTATCATCGACACCAAACTCTGTAGTGACATTTCCGGTATTCAGATCGACAATTTGAAGCAGCTGCACACAGGTAGTGGTGGCATATCCGGCGGCAATAAGCATTCGGTGATTCCCGAGCAGATTGCAGCTTGTACCGCTGCGCGGGTCTGGGATGAGCGGGCCTTTAGTCCACACGAATTGCGGGACGCTCAGGATCCAGTAGTTGTCGATGAGAGGGTCGTAATCTTTGTCCAGCGGGCGTGTACCGCCGTATACATGGATCTAAATGTTTCGTCACGATAAGTATTATTACTTAAGAGGCTGGCTGGGGGACGTACCTGGTGGCTGGAGCCATCACTTGCGGACGTGACTACTGCGCAGTTCGACTTTCGGTCTGGAGGGGTTCTCCCTGTGGTGGGCTGGAGATACCATTTATCTTCTGCAATGTCGTACACATGGATATCCTCCAGCGAAACCTGTTGAGGTTAGTTAATAAGTGGCTTGAGTTATGAGGTACATTTTGGCTGTATGCAACTTACGGGCGTCTCCAAGTCCGATCGCTCCACTCCTCCAATCATGACCAGCATTCCCTTTTTCCCTACTGGAACGAAGCTTGCAGAAGACCACAATTTGGCCGGCGCGTTATGCCTCGTGACATCTCCGCTGGTAAAGTTATATGCAAAGACTTCATTCGGATTATCCTTCGTTGTCGAGGGCATTGGGCCAGAAATATATGTCATCCCCAGCTGAGGAACATTTGCAACTGCTCGCGCACCGCCGGGAATTGCCTCTTCGGGGAGGTTAGACGGCCAATCGATGGTGCTCATTCCCCATGTGGAGGGATCAAAGGTTACCAAGTCCGAGCCAATGCCGGCGACGTTGAATTTCTCGCGGTATTGACCTTGGAAGACGCTGTAATCCCGGAGCTGTATCAGTATACCACGGCTCTGGAGCATTTGTTGTTGCGCCTTGGAATTTGGACTTACATTTTCGAGCCATCCCCACCCAAGAAGTAATCCTCATAGGCAAAATTTGGAGATACTTTCCACTCAATCTCATACTGGTCGGTCTTGAACGCAGTGCTCAGAGGTATCGTACCGATGAGAATCTCGATCTCGAACTGGAGGTTGGTGCTATTCGAGAGATCATTGATGTTGGTGAAGAGATGGATATTTTTATCGGTGATGATACCTACATGCGCTTCTTGTTAGTCCTAGATATTTCTTTCCTTCGTTCCTCCCTTCTTTCCCTTTTTTTTTTCCTTTTTTCTCTTTTTTTCTTTCTTTCTTGATGTCAAGATACTTACTTGTTGCAGAGATATTCAACTGTAAATCCAAACAGCCACGCTCATCTCTCCACTGGCCGCTGAGGTAGGTTTCGGCGACGGCAGATTGACTGACAGCGGTCCGAACAAGTGCAAAGAGGGCCAAAGCCGTCGTGAATGATGAAGCCATCGTGGTGTTGGAATTTGGATGGACAATCCCTCACTCAGGTGCGGAGTGTGTGATGATGCTGAAGGAGTTTTTACAGGTGAAGATAAAGGTGGTGAGTGGCAGGCAACTTTAGAGGACCAGCGCGGCTCGTAGCGTGCAGTTGAGGGGCAGTGTTATGCTTGCCTACAAAGGTGCGACTGACTGTTTAAAGATTGCTAACAGCCAGCCCCCCTTTGTCCCGAAGTACGATGCTCTATGTTGATGAACTGGTAACCGTTAAACCTGTTTGCTTTTTCTTTTTCACCTGTACGGAGACATCCTATCCGTATGGCGGCAGTGAGATTACATATGTATACAACTCTACATGCATGATTGCCAACGTGATTTTTTCGGATACCCACCAGACCACACTTTTAGGCTTTGAATACTGGCCTAACTTTTGTGGACTTGAAGTAGTGCGCCAATGCCTAAAGTTTAAGATGGAGAACGAGTCTTGGGGGATGTGGGGAAGGTGATCGCATACTTACACGATATCTAGTTACATACACCCGTATTCTACACGATCTTCTCTCGGGTTAATGCTCGTCATATTAGACTCTCGAACACCCATCTAAATAAATATTCGAGAAGACTCGGACATCTACAGCCCAAGATTCTACTTCCCCCTATGTACATAGCCTTGTATGAATGAGAGCTGGTTGCACGAATGTGGATAAACTGCTGATATGTAGGTTCCAAGAAGTGTTAGGTGCTAGTACTATTGGAGACCGACAGGGATGTGCCTGTGTAACTAGAGTGCAGTACATACCGTATTCTATTAATCAACTCCCGCCTGGTTTCAAATGTGGTGTTACACAGGGGCTTGTTAGATTGATTGCATGTCTTGCATGTGGGTTGCTTTCATACATGTAAATATAGAGGAGTGGGCACCTCCACGCATCGGGTCTTTGGTGAATCCTTTTACCCTCAAAACCTATTTTAATTGAATAACCGAAAGCTTACACAGTTAACGAACTGTTGAATAAAAAAATATGTTTTCCTGGATAGTCACTGCCAAGGACGACGCTAGAGCTCTTTCCCATAGTCGCATTATCCTTATATTCGTTTCTCTCCCTCATTCTTCGCTCCTGCACTCATTCATCGTTGACACATCCCCTGTCACAGAGAGTGTTGATAGGTGCTGATCTTACAATGTTGATGACAATGATGAAGACTGCCCCGCTGCTTGGGAGCTTGATATTTTCGATGCTCTCATCCACTTCCCTGGCCAGTGGCCTGATCAACAGGCGTCAGGACGCGACGGGAGATCTCTGTCGCATATGGGATCATCGAAGTAAGTACACGCTGGCTCAATTAAATCCCCATATTTCCTGCTAACGGCTGTCAGCTGTGATGATTGATGATTGGATTTATGTTGATTTCGGTGTCTCAACGTGGACCGGCGATAAAGACAATGAAATTATGCATTTGAGTAAGTTTGTCTCCGCTAGAAACACTTTTGGATGTCTTTGGCCGAGCCCGCAGACCAACCTTCAGGCGAACGACCTATTATTGTTAGCGGAATATGGGATCGGGGGGGTTTTTTTTTTTTTGACGAAGAGCCTGTGGTCATGATGAAGCCATTGCTAATCATGTGCAGTAAATCCCTTTGGTATCAATCTCACACAAAAATTCGATACCAAGACCATTGGTCACGAAAACGATGCATATACCGAGATCGCGATAAACTTAGACGTACCCTCTACAACTAAGAGCGTAATCTGGGCGGATAAGGATCAGAACATCTACAAGTAAGTAGTGCCGCCAGGTATTCCACTTCCCCCGACTTACACAAGAATACAGGTGGGGAGGTTTCTATCCATTGAAGGCATTTTGGGGCAACTATTCGCAATTTGATCCGCGCGGCTCGGAAGTCTGGAAACTTGATAAGAAAATTGCGAACTGGACTCAGCAACCCGCACCGACGGGGGGTGATGAAGTTTCTGGGACCAGGAATGCAGCCGCTGCTTACCTCCCTGAATTGGGCCTAGGATTTGCCGCCGGTGGACATGTAAGCAATGGGACGGATAAAAAGTTTGCCTCCTGGACTGATGGGCATGCGTTGATGTTGGACTCAATGGTGACATACAACATGGGAAACAACTCTTGGACAAACCATACTACGGGGATGACTCCCTTTACTTTGAGCGCTCTTGTACATGTGCCCATTGGTGAAAAAGGAATACTTATCTCTATGGGTGGTATTGATAATCCCGGTGGATATTATCAGGCGGGTGTGACTGAGATAGAGGCGGTAAGCTGAACAGTTTCCCTTGTCAGAATATTAAGGGATATGGACTGATTTTCTTTTTTCCGTATAGAGAGATTTTGACAGTGTGAGCCTTTACGATGTCGAAAGAGGCGCTTGGTCAACTCAACGAACAACTGGAGATACACCACCAAACAGGCTTTCGTTTTGTGCAGTAGTGGCGGTTGCTGCAGACAAATCGTCCTACAACCTCATTGTTCATGGTGGGGCTTCCAATGATGATAATCGTGCCTTCTCAGACACATATGTCCTCACTTTGCCTTCTTTCCAGTGGATCAAAATAGATGACGGCGCAAAGAATATGGAACGCGCAGATCATACCTGCCATTTGTCGAAAAACAAAATGATAGTAATAGGAGGGAGGGGTGCGGACCAAAGCAACCCACAGATCGACCCGCTCCCAAAGAACGGAGAGTGCGAACCCACTAGCTTTATCAACATTTTTGACGTAAATACTTTGAAGTGGGAGACAAATTGGGATCTGGAAGCAAGAGAGGATTTCAAGGTTCCAACTCCTGTCGCCGAGGTAATTGGCGGAGAGTAAGTTCCACCCATGCATTCCGGGTAGGCGAATTGCTGCTAACACATTCGGTTTCTGTAGCGAAAATGGATGTGCTACCGTGCAAGAGCCAGAGGCTGGCTGGAAGTCTGCGCGTATTCGGGAATTATTCACTAATTACACAGCTGCGTCTGATTGTAAGGTAATCCGACCAACTAGGACTTCTACCGGCAGCGGGGCATCAGCTACCAGTACACAGGAGGGCTCAAGCAGCATGATTAGTCCAAAAGATTCGCTGGTCTATCTTGGGCTCCTTTCCCTGGTTGCATATCTACCGTTTATTTGATACCCATATAAATGCCTTTCTCCTTCTCATGTTTCCCTCTACGAACACTTAATGCACCTGTATGTATATACGAGGCTTCTTATACTAGGATTCTTGTCTTTTTCCTTCGCGATAAACCAACCATAATTCATATTGGACCAATAAATAATTATTATCTGGGGCGTCTGCAAAGTTTTATTCCGGCCTTGCTTGAGTCTTAGAATCAATCGGTAGCTAAGAGTGGGGTGAGTGGTAAGGAGGGACTCGACCGCCCTAGAACCCGAGACCATAAGTCTAAATTATAAGGAGAGGTAGATTTAGAGAAGTCTCGTGCAACGTTAAATGCGTATAATAGAGTGCAGACTGATATGACGTTGGCCGAGACACATGCATAAAGGTAATGTGGGGAATCGGTCTAGGTATCGATTTATAGTAGCAGATACACGGCTGCTAAGGCCCTTAGAGTTTTAGAATTTTGACTGAGACTGTAGATCTGCATGGTCTGATAAGAGCGTCGATTCCGGGGGGACTTTATAGGTTCGACTAACAGTTCATCTGATAAGTATAAGACCGGCCAGATCCCAGCCGTGCACTCACCGGAACTTCTGGGTCAATGACCACGCAGGTATAGATTGCCCTTTCCATCATCTCTTATCTATCTACCTACATGTACTTCTACATACTACCCGCACCCCTGGACGGAAGGCAGAAAGGAAGATGCGTGATCGACCGTACATAGAAGTATGTGTAACATGCAGACGGATAACCTGAATTATGTCTCGGATACCCGGCAGGAAACAACAGGATCTGGTGTTGTAAGATCACCGCCCTAGTGATATAGTGATAACCTTATCTCAACATCATTATCATGTGACTGAGTATTAATTTCTAGGGGCCGAGTGTATAGTTGCAACGGCCGTATAGGTTCTGTTGGTGGAAGAGCCTTAGAAGAGATGGTGGGTGTTTTGGTGTAATCTACTTTTCTTCTGACTTTGGGCAATAGCATGGCGTGTCGAGCGCTTACATTCGGTTGCGAATTTGATATTTTCGAGTCGGAATATTATGTGTGTGGAGCGGAATATAGAAGTCGGAGATATTGACTTCTTATGCATAGGATATCACTCGGTATGTAACCCTAACCCATGAGTCTGCGCTTGGCACTGGATCTGATATACACTTGTTTTTATAGCTGCAGTTCCCGTTCGTTTCGAGATTCTTGCTACCAATTTTGGGCGAGTCTGAAGCTCAAGGGCTCGAAACCGACACTCAGTTCACTAGCACTAGGATTATTATAAGAGAAAGCAATCTTCGGATTTGCTACACTCGAGACTGTTGTAAATTGCGCTATCCAACCAATACACGTGCATGAAACTATTATTCGTGAATTTTGAATCGTTATCCCCCGTATCCCGTCTCGAAGAAACCTCCAGCTATACGAACAGAAAAGAAGAAAAACACAGGTATGAAATGAAACACAGACACGGCCCTCCCGCCCCCACCTTATTTTCCTCGCATTTCCCCCATCCCCCCCACCACTTTTTCCCCATTCCCCTTCTTGGCTTTATATTCCTTCCATATCTCTAAAGCAACCTGTAGGCATTTCCACCTTTGTGGATCACCGATCTCCGCTGGTCGTGGGTGTTCATGTGCAGATCCTTCCACGCCGCGTGGGTTGTGATACCACACAGGTCGCATTTCCATGCCTCACTCCTATGCGACTCCGTAGTCCGCAAAACCTCCTCCTGGCAGATCCCACACCACCCCGTCCTGATATTCTTGTCCATCTTTAGCACATCCACTACCAAATCGCCGCCGACCTTCGTCACTAGCATCTCGGTGGCTATCTTTCTTGGGGATGACTGGCTCGCGGCTCTTGACTTGGGAGGTGCCGGCGCAACAGGAACGGCAATGCCGCTCTGCTTTGCCGCGGCCTCGTTGTTTCTGTGCTTCTTGCCGTACTTGTGGTTCTGGTAGTCGGGCAGGGTCATAGTCATGTTGCAGAACGTGCAGTGGTAATGAGTCTGTAGCGGCGCTGGCGCTGGCGGCGGGGGCACAGTCAGAGGAGCGATAGTGCCGCTGCCGCTCGCGCCGGAGTTCTGGGGGGTAGACCCGCCTTGGGAAATGTTGGCGACGGCTTCGTTGTGCTTGATTCCTTTGATATGGGTCTCCTTGTTGTTGAAGTGCATGCTGATCCCGCATGGCTTGCAATGGAACTGCTCTACCCTGTACTGCATGGTCTGAGGAGCACCGGGACGTCCAGCGCCTGGAGTCGGGTCCCAGCTCCGTAAGGCGGGGCCGGAGTCCTGGCTGCTTGTCGACCTGGCTACGTTCGAGGTGCTAGCAGACTTCCGGTGGGTTCCTACCGCTAATTTTGCCTCCTTCTCCTGATGTGAGCGGCCAGCCTGGTGGTACGGCCAGGCATTTACACTGATGGTTCTCTTGCACGTCTCGCAGTATATCGTATCGGTCACACGCCCCGAGGCGGCAGACTCCGCCGACGGAACAAACTGTTCCCTCGCCTTTGCGGCCTCGCGCTCTTTATGCGTGGGGCTCGCGAGATGGGCGTCTCGGATGGCCAGGTTCACCGACGTCTGGCACAGGGCACAGTAGTAGTTCTGCGCGGCACCAAAGACACCTAGGAAGCCGCCGCGGGGGGGTTCGGACTTTGGCTGGGGCGCGGCGATCGGGGGGCAGAGGATCGGCGCTGGGCCTTCCTGGCGGCGTGGGCGGCGGCGAATTCTTGCTGTTTGGCCTTGTGCTTGCTGCCGGCGAGATGGCTTGCCCGGGAGTCTGCGCCCATCGTCTTGTCGCAGAGCTCGCAGTGGAAGCGCAAGGGCTTCGGAGGAGCGGGGGCGGCAGCAGCAGGGGTAGGAGAAGGAGGAAGAATAGGAGGAGGAGGAAGAGGGTGGACCATCGGCATTGCAGACATGGGCGTATAGCCCTGTGCTCTTGCGTTTTCCATGTGGTCCTTGCTAGCCAGGTGGGCGGCATGTTCATTGGCGTGGTATTCCTCGTCGCAGATTATGCACTCGAAGGTGGCCTCCGAGTGCTGGCTCTGCTCGCTGATGGGGTAGTCGGTGTCGCAGAGGTCGCAGTAGAATGTCGGCACCTGGATGTGGACGGCGGTCTGGGAGCTGAGCGGGTCCTGCGCTTGGTGGCTGCTGCCGGGCATCTGCGAGAGGTGCTGATTGTAGCGGGACTGGGACGGTGGTTGTTGTTGCTGCTGCTGCTGCGGGACTGGGTGCTGTGTGGCTTGTCGAAACAGAGGATGCACCGCTGGTTGCTGCGCTGGATATCTTGTGCTGCCCGCCGGTAGCTGCCCGGGATAGCCCATGGCCGCTGGTGTTCGAGCTGGGTACGACACGGCTGGGGGAGGAGGAGGAGGAAGTGGGGCCCTGAGCAGTTTCTCTCGCCCATAGAACCTTGAACGTTGAGGTTCGTCAGATAGAGGCCGGTAGACTTTTCTGTCTTCCACTTCCCAATCTTCGTCTTCTTCCACTTCCTCTTCCACTTCCTCTTCCTCTTCCTCTTCCTCTTCCTCTTCCTCTTCCTCTTCCTTTTCCTCTTCCTCTTCCTCTTCCTCTTCCTCTTCCTCTTCCTTTTCCTCTTCTCCCGGCTTGTAGGCTGCACTCTCTTCCAGCTTCTCTCCGCCACCACCAGCGTTTCCATCGGGCTCCCAATCATCGTGACCCTCTTCCCCCTTCTCTGGCTTGTAAACCGCACTCTCCTCCTCCTCGTACACCTCGCCCCCTGCCGGATACTCCTCTGTCTCCACGTCATCTCCCGCCAGAACCGCTTCCCCCTCCTGCGGCTTGTACACCGCCCTGTGCTCGATAAACTCCTCGGAAGGCGGGGCGTACTGGTAGTCCCCGCTCTGCTTGAGCTTCAGGACGTGCTTCTTCCCCTGGGTGTGCTCGGCGGTGTAGAAGATGTTGACCTCCTCATCGCACAGCTCGCAATGCCACATTGGCGTGTTTGCATCGGAGTCGGCCTTCTTCTTCTTCACCCTCCGTGCCCGCTTCTCTTTCTCTTTGGGCGGGTGCTCGCTGGCGAGGTGCTCGGTGCGGGAGAAGATGCCCATCCGCTTATCGCAGATGCTGCAGGTCCACAGCATCGACGACGGGCCCTGGTCTGGGATCTCTGGCCAGTCGCTGGGGATGTTGGCCGCCGGGTCGTCCTTGGCTGCTGCTGCTGCTTCCTGCTCCTCTGCGTCTTCCCCCTCATCCCCCTTCCCACCCCCCTGCTTCTGCTTCTCGGATGCGGTTTTGGTGTGTGTTGTTCCGCCGTTTCCCTCGTTTTCGGCGGTGCCCCGGCCGGCGACCCAGACCTTCTCGAATAGCTCCATGTTGTTCTGCGTGTAGACGTCGCTCTGGCGTTCGAGCTCGTTGCCGTAGATTGTGCAGTAGAGGTCGGCCGTGTGGTCGGCGTAGGATGTTGTTGCGGAGGAGGACATGGCGGGAAGGGAAGGCTCTCAGCGGTGTGTGGGGTGCGGGTGCGGGTGGCTGGCCAAGAGACAGGTGGGGAAAGCAAAGAGGAGGAGGCAGAACGAGACTACATAAACATTGAACGATAAGGCCTCCAACCTGAGGAGAGGATCAGAATTTAAAAACAAGCTGAGCGAGCGAGTGAGTGGCCGAGGACTGCTGCTCATCATCATCATGCATTGCTCACTCGCCCCGCATTATCAAGGCAGTGGGATGGATGGATGCCTTAATAACAACCGCGTGCCAAGATCTCGATTGGGATAACAAACAGCATCGTAACAAATAGCACCACTCATCATGAAGCACGTCAAGCTCGGAGATAGCACACTTTGCATGTTGTAGAGACTGGTCTTTGTAGCGGCTGGTCTTTTTTGTAGAGACTGGTCTTTGTTGTAGAGACTGGTCTTTGTTGTAGAGACTGCTCTCTGTTGTGGAGACTGCTCTCTGCTGTGTGGGTTAGGGTTGAGACAGTGTGCCCCCGTGCCAAGACAATGTAAGCCTTTACATGCATCGGGGCCGATAAGGAAGGAAACCAGCTCTGAGCACTGTCGGGCTGACTGTGGGTTGATCTTGGACGCTGCCTTAAACGCACAGGTTGCCTTAATCACAAAATATCACTCGAGGTCAGACACGACCAGCTGGGTGAGGTACATGCGACTGAATGGGCTGGTTTACATACGCGCACTCCACAAGGCCTCATACCACGCCGCCCATGAGACTTTCTTCAATCTGCTGGGACTAGCTGTTGTTTTTAAGGTCTTTGCTACCTGTCATCTGGCTGTCTGTTGGTTATAAAAGGAGTCTGTTAATTCCTTCTTCTCTCGTGGATGCCTCAATTCAATCATACACTGCCCCTCCCGTCTCTTATAAATTCGCGGACGTTAACTGCGTGTACCCGGGGTCCCGATAAGTGATGCAACGTTTGGCTTGGCAACACCGAAAGGCACAAAGGCTTCAACGTTTTGATACTGATTATGATAGATACTTTGATAATACACATGATAAGTGAGTCTTGAGGATAGAATCCGCGTTTTTTAAAGTCATTAATTTGGTGTTTTTTAGCCTACAAAAGGGCAACTTCCGACAAACAACAGCGATAAAAAAACAAGCAGCAGCTATTCGTGATAAGTCTTACCAAAACTGTGATCCTCACCCTCTAAAGTATCATAAATTCGCTTCGTATTTTGTTGGCTAGTTTCGTTGTTGAAAAATAGGAATTATATGATCGTTGCATCACTTATCGGGACCCCTGGGTACATGTAACCCTAACTAGACGCACAGAGCCCATTGAAGGCACTTGCAATCTGATCTAGTCTTTTTGGCAGTAATACTAGGGCTACAGTACATACTTGGATTAGCTGAAGTGGGATATATCAAGCACTTCGGTACAGGATGGTATTCTACACTTCAATTCCTATATACATGTATAAGCATCTTCCAAACAATCTATCCTACAACAAGACACACAATATGTACTCAAGCCCAGCGAGAATCAATCAAACAGATGCACCAATCTCCTTTGATCCACAAACCTCGGGGTCTGTCCAATCCTCTTCCACAACTGCAGTAGCGCCTCCACATCCGCCAGGTACACCGCATTTCTCACAGGTCGCCGCCGGGCGTGCACATGGAGAAAGCCCTGTATATGCCCGTCGACGAGCAGAACCTTATACCCAAGCTTCTTCTCCACCCGGAACATCTTCAACCTTCTCAACCTTGCCGTGAAACCCGCGAGGATCGTGGCCCAAGTTCTTCCAGGGCGCGAGAGGCCAATGTAGAGGATGGGGCACCGAGTCAAAGTCAGCTTCTCGAGCGTGGCGGAAACAGCGTCGGAGAGGATGACGCTCTCGACAAATTCCGGGCCCTTTCTTGACGAGAACATGATCTTCGACAGTGAGAGCTCACGGAGGTGCTTGAAGTGCACTCCTTCCCAGGGGGTAAAGTCGAGATAGGGCGACATGTAGAACTCTGACAGGATCTGCAGAATCTCCGCAGACCTGGCAGGGAGCACCCAGGTCTGGAAGAACTGGCGGAGGCGGGCGGCGGCCCTGTTGTGTGATTGTGGCTGGTACACCTCGATGACAACGAGCTTCAAGGACTTGACACGCCAAAACAGCTCTCTGAAACTTGGCTCCAGCTCGCGGAATTGCCACGCATGGACGGGATCGATCCCGTCGATGGTCAGGGAGTCGGGGGCGAGAGACTCTCTGCAGCTTTTGTCGATCCAAGACATGGCGCGGTCGAACATCTCCCGACGGACCAGATTGCGCTCGGTGCCTCTGAACTGCTGGTGCTCACGGATGAAGATGAGGCTCAGTGAGCGTATCCCTTCATAGTTGTCCACATGCTTGAAGTCCTGTAGCCGGAAGGGGAGCTGCACAACCGGCAAGCCATTGTGGTAGCGGATGCGCGAGAACCTTGTGCCGTAGAAGCTGTTGAGGCTCAGGACTAGCTCGGTCACATAGGGCCTGATGGTTGGAGGGCACATCCAGAGGCCCCATTCTTGCGGGTCCCGCGTCTCGTGGATTGGGCCAAGCTGGATGGCGTAGAGGCTGTGCGCGAGCTTGCGACGGAATGCCTGAGGACTGAGAAGGGCGCGGAAGTAGGGGGAGACGGAGGAGAGGTTGACAATGTCAAGGCGGGAGGGGAGATGTTGAGAAATGGCGAGGACAATCTCGGCGGGGCAGGAATAGAGGGAAGGTGCGTGACTGTCAGCGGCCATGACTTGGATGTCGCGCATAATAAATTTTAGTGTAGAGCAAAGTATTGATGTTGAGTCTCACATGTGCCTACGCCCTACGAAGATCCCTGAACTGATGAGTCATATATGCTTCGAGTTGTTGTATGCCGCCCTGGAATCTTTATTTGGACCCATACATCTCCACAAAGAGATATTTTTGGTGAAAGATCGGCAGATATCTTAATGGCTGCAGTGGATTAGGATATTGCCCTCGGGTGATATGTAGAACCCTAAAATATAGGTGATAAAATATCCCTGATATTGAATATTGCGTACATACAGCACTTGGGTCGAATGGAAAATGACCGGCTCAGCAAAACGTGGAAACAAATAGATTTACCCTCATATCATGCCGAATACCAATTGCAAGCGCACGACCAAGGTGAGGGAGAAAGAAAAAAGAAAAAAAAATAACAAAAAAGGATTCAACGTATACATCATACAAAGAACACTTCCACTCGTTAATTCGCAAGAGACACCCACCAACACAAAATACGTGTGCACTGCCCATCGACGTTGTTGAGTGTATTCAAGGCTAGTGAAGTACAAAAATCCACAAAGGTCAGGGAGCTGTAACGATAAAAGGCATCGCATACGATACTAATACAGCCGACGGTTACGGTAAAAGCGTAGCCCAGCCCATGAATGTACTCCTGCCTTACAAACCCCCCAAATTCCGGGGTCTGAGCTCTCTTGGGAACGATGAATGGCTGGTAATGCAGAAATAAAATCTCCCAAACCTGGGACACTACTTCACCGCAGATACATGCAGAATAAACAACTGGAGCAAGAGCGATGACCACGGCCCACAACACAAGCATCAGGGCTATACCGCCTAGATCTCTCCGTGCTCTGCCGCTGGCACCCCACTCAACCTCCTGGCTAACCTCTGTATTACCTCTAATAACCGGATCAACACCTTTCATGAGCGTTTCATGCTCTAGCGTTTGTTTCGCCTTGGTTTTGACACTAACATCCGGGCTGAAGCTCGAATTCAGTTCATGGCTCACCCCCCGGCTCCGCCCACCATTGGGATGAATTCCCTGGCTGACCTCCGCGTGTAGATCCTGGCTCGCTTCTGGAGTTACTTCCTCTCTACCCAAGGAGTCGTCAGCCGTAACGCATGGGTGGGATGGGACTAAATCTCTAATTTCTTGTTCGAGATCCGCTTTTTTCATCTTTGCAAAAAAGTCCATAAATTGCTTTTCGTCTGGATCCGACGACCCTTCTCCCTGCTCTGGCTTCGTTGGGCTCGGCGAAGAAGGCAGATCAAGCTCGCTCGGAATCCTGGTGCCTCGAATGTAGTCCGTTCGAGCAAATGCCCAATCCATATAGGCCATGTCTGGGTTTGGAGGGATGTCTGTCCGATTCGCTGCGGCCTCGGAATCATGAAATGACAAGCCTACAGGGACTGGAACATCTTCATCATCCTCGGGCTAGAGAGATCTTGGTTACTACTCCTGGCCAAGGGAAACAGGGAGTGAGCTTACACTGAGGAATTCCTTGATTCTAGCCGTCCTGGCGAGCTCTGGCTGGTGATGACCCTCACGGAGGCATCTAATGACCCGCTCTTCAATCATATCAAAGAAGGGTCGGTTGTTTTTCAAGAGATTGTCCAGAAAGCCTATTATCAACTGTTCCAAGTATACTTCCAAGGTGAGAGATCCGTCAAAAAGAGTTGGGATAAGTATCGTGCAGAACTTGAACAGAATGTAGGCCACATTGTCGTCTAGCTTGGATACCAGCCTTGCCGGTCGGAGCTCTAAATAAGTGTCCACAGTCTTTTTGATCATTTCAGTATGCATCTTTTCCCACAGCCGGTAGGATATACATTGGGGATTATGCCCCCTGTGCAAGGTATGATAAACCATAAGAGATGTTTCCCAGAAGGTACCAGGCTCGGTAGACAGGGGGGGAAGTCGGAAGGGGGGGATGGTGGTCTCTGGCTCGAAAGGCTGTAGGTTGAAGTGGACGTTTGGTCGGACATGGGGGTCCTCCGACAACCCTTCTGCGAGCGGTGCGAACTTGGGCTTTAGTTTATGATCAAACGCTCGGTTTTTGGCAAATTCGTCCAAGGTTCTGAGAGCGGCCTCTTTTGAGTGAAACGTAACTAGGCCCTTCTCCCTGACGTTGCCTAGAATGATTGCGTTGATGGTATGGGTGTCTTCTGGTGAGAGTACAGATATCTGAATTTCGAATTCATCGTCGGGATGGGCGGGTGCGGCTCCAGCATTTCCGTAAAGAAATATAGTATTCTCTGAAGAGAGTGGTTTGTTTTTGTACTTCACGATTGCCGCTGGATGGGGAGCGTTCAGCAGCATGGACATGCTGCGGTGTTTCTCGCTCAACTGGAATGGGTTCAAAAGATCTATAAAACCAGGCAGACGGCGGGTATCTCTGAGGCCTGGATGACAAAGAACAAGAACGATCCTAGGAGATATGACATAGATCCAGTGGAGTGGTCCAGCTTCGTCGGTTCGTCCTTCGTAGAGGCCGAATGAGTTGTCTGACATGAGAAACTCCTCGCCGGGGGCGGCCTCCCAGATCACGAGGAACATCTGCATATTGTTATAGTACGGGAGTGACTTCCACTCTTCGAGCTTTGGGTCAACTTTAGTAGCTTTAGCCGTAGCCTGGAAGTCGCGAATCAGGTTCTTGGAAAAGGAGCCCGGTCCAAGTTTGTCGAATATAGTTTCCATTGTCTTGGCTTCAGCCTTTCTACCTTCCTCCATAAGGTCATCATGCCCCTTCCGGAGGTAGTGTTGGAGGACATGGAGCCATATGTGCATGTCCTCGGGGGAGGTCGAAAGCCCGTATTTTTCACAATAATCTTTAATCCATTCCTGCAAGTTGGCGTTGTCGGGATGCGTTTCATTGTAGTACGTTTCCCCTACAGAGAGCTGGTGATAGTACATGACAAACATGAACTTGCGTAAGTTCTGCAAATACTTTCTCTTCTGCTTTATGCACAGTGGTGGCGGGATCGCGCCTGCGCTCGAGTTTTTACCGCGATTGTTGAGTGCATCCCTTATTTCCTGGAAGGATCTGCTCGCCTTGCCCTCGAGTTGACTGAGTTCCGTCTCGAGCTTGTAGGTGGCACTACCCGGTGCGCTATCGGGGTCCTTAAACAAACCTTCTTTCGCGTAGGCCTGGCTTGTAGAAATAGGGCATTGCGACATCGGTTATGTATGAAATTACTCATGTATAAGGGATGACTCATAGAAGGAACAGGGATTCAGACAAGGCTTAAGTGTCAGGGATTATGTAATCAGGGGATCACGTGGTATTAGAATATCTGTATATATAGAGCGCTCAAACACCCACATTGTCGCTGGAACTTTAGCGGCGCAATAGTATCTTCTTCGCACTACAAAACACATCCTCCTTCAAAGTCACGTGTTCAAACCACACTTAAGTCATTTTCTCCCATACACCGAACTTCATGGCTGACGAAAGGACGGGTAAGGTTTTTTTTATCCAAATCGAAGCAGTGAATTTCTGGGTCGTTAGAACGGCGAGATCTATATGGTGGTCGGTGTGGTGTGGTTGTAAGCCTTAATTTAGGGACACCAAAGGGACTCTCCTTCAAAATAAGGGATAGTTTCTCACCCCCCCTGCAAAGCAAAGTTCTTTAATATCCACCGTGGCACGAAATGGCAATTGGGGACCTTTGAGGCTGCTGTTTTATTCTTCGGTTTGCCGGTGGCTTTGGTGGTGGGGGTGCTACTAGTGCTGCTCTCACCACTGACTGGCGCGGCAGTGCCACCACTGGCATCCGTGGTATCCGTGATGGGTGCCTTAGCTGCGAGATTGGCGTCCCGGCGGGGATGGTTTTTGTTTTTCTTCCCTTTGCCCATCGATGCTTGTTGTTCTATCGGTAGATGTTGCGATCTGGGTTGAGTTGGGCGTAGGGACTGAATCCAGGCATCCAACATATATATATGCAGCGCCCGCATTCGGATCCGGAATATTACGTACTTAGTAATCAAATAATACTCGCATATCCAGAATGTATTAGCGCAAGGCTGACTAAACGCCAGCGTGACCTCGTTGAACCGCAAACTTGAAGTCTAGGACTCTGCGGAGGGGTAGCTATCTATCACAAGTGATCGTGATCCAGTAAAGTATTAGAGACAGGTATCACAAGTGATCGTGATCCAGTAAAGTATTAGAGACTTATATTCTGCTAGATAATCCAATTAATATGCGTGAGACAAGTGACGAAACAACGAGGACCATTGATAGTATACAAAATAGAACGGCGGCAGTAGTAAGGAACAAGGGGAGCCATTGTATATACAAAGTGGTCAATACTCTTCAGAGGCCGTAGTATCTACGTTCTTTTCATTTTGTTCTTAAAATACTTGTCATTTTTTCTTTTCATCTTTTTCTTGGTTCGGGTCCAGGCGTTGTTTCTTCTCACGCGGGTGTACAGAGACCGCCTCCTAGGCTCCCGGGAATCATTTAGCGTAGTCTTCAATGGGAATCTGGTGTGCTCTGGGCTTGAATCAATTATTAGGGAGGCTACGAGACTGAAGGGGTGTTAGGTGGTGATTGTGGGGAACAGACAACCACCTCACTGACAGGATAATATATATCAGAAATAGCAAAGTAGAGTTTGAGAAAGTGATCAATAGGCCCATCAGATAACAACGCCTTGCAGGGCGCGTCACCATTACATTGAGATCAGGAACCAATTTCATCCGGGAAAAAGGAAAAAGCATCAAAACGAAGCACATGGAGCTGACGAGGAGAGATCTGATAAAACCTCGAGAGCAGCCAACGAAACAACAAACTCCTCGCCCGCTCCGGGGGGTTCTTCGATATCCCAGGCGCGGAAACGCCCGCTAAAAGTGGGGAAAGTAGTCCTCCCATGGTGTGCTGTCATAAGAACCAAAGGGAAGGCTTCTAAGGCTCAGGAAAGACTCCACAAATAGATATGACCGCCCACAGAAGACAGGCAGAATAAACATGAGAATAACAAGTATCTGCAATATATCCTCCAGGTCTGCGTGCGTATAAGGTACATCAATCCGCCGCATCGCGTGGACAAGATCGTGTATACAGAGTGTGAACACTAGATAAAGAGTACTGCCGTGGCTGCTCATGTACAGCGCCTGTTGCCTGTTGTACAGTGCCCGGAGAAACAAAGCGTACGCGGGGATGACAGCGATCACTACGGAGGAGATTCGCCAAAGCAGGCATTCCACGGGCGATGGAAAATGGGTATTCCAAGCAGCTGCATGGCAGGCGCCGTACAGGAGGAGGATGAAGATGGCAGGAGACATATTTGAGATGCCTACATTCTCTATGACGTCGAACGCGTCGCCAGCGGAGGCGTGTCGCACCAAATCAACCGGAGGCAACTTAGGTCTCCTGCCAGCTTTGTAAGCATCGGCAGCATGTCTGAAGAACGCGAGTTCATCACTGGACATTGGGTAATTTTGACCCCAACTGTTGTAGATGCGGACGGGTCCGAGATCGAGCACATGACGGTGCGGGACCGCCAAGCACGCAGGGCCACCAGGATGGGGGGCCGCATGTGGCTTCTGTTTCCGGTTGTAACCTAAGAATATGGCGCTCTCTGTCGTGGGTAAAGGCTGGATAGGTGTGAAATCCTTAGCTTTCAAACCTCCTGCGGTACTCAGGCACAGTCAGTTGCAGGCAGGCAGGCAGAAAAAGGTACGTTAGATATAGACCGCAAGCCATGGCTCTCGGGGGAAGGGTGCGGGTGCGGGTGCGGGTCGGGGTTCGTTCGATGCCCTTACCATATAAACCCTCCTCGCCTCTTCTGTCCCCATCCATCCTCACTTTCAGGTTGCCGTCTCGGTTCTGGTGCACAACCTCGATGCACAACTGCGCCGGGTTACTGTTGATGCTGAGTGCAATCGGCTGGCCCACGTCCTGCGGCTTGTTGAACCAGAAGGCGTACATTCCGATGGCGCAGACGACATGCATCGCGACGTGAATCTCCAGCAGCGTGACGGGTAGGCCGCTAGCCTTGCGCACAGCGCACTGCACAAGCATCCACAGTGCCTGAAGGCACACCAGCGTCTTCCCCAGCATCTCCGCTTTGCCCTTGTCCTCGACATCGCTCCAGTGCACAAAGCTCTTACGTATAATCATCTCCTCGCCATCCCCCTCCACTATCACCTCCCTTTCCTCGGCACTCACCACCTCCTCCCCCTTCTCCCTCTCTGCTTGTTCAAGATCCTCGCCTTGTGTGCCGGCCGGGCAGCTGCTATGGGCTCCTCTCCCTCTCCCTCTCCCTGATGAACCGGCTTGGATCGGTCTAGTTCAACCAGTTCTAGTACAGCTCCCGTCGTCTTGGCTGCCTCGACCACCGCAGCCCCCTGCGACTCGTTCTTTTCTTCCGCATCGTATTGCCATCCGGTCTTGGTCCGGGCTAGCGTGAGGTAAGCATCTGCACTGAGAATAGTTTTGACCCCTCCCGGTGCCCCAATGGACACCGGTGTGACCGAGACCCCGCCCATGGTCACAAAGAACGCACCCTTCATACGAAGAGTGTCTCCCTTGCTGCCGGGCTCTATGCCATAAAGTTTGCACCACTCCCGGTGAAACTTTTGCGCCTCCCGCCACTGGTAGAACGCGACTGCGAGCACGACTTCTGGTGCCAACATCCCGATGACGACGAACAGAAGCCTATGTTTCACCCTCTGCCACGCCGAGGCCCCCGGCCTGACGTTTGGATGGATGGCTGTCCACACGCAGAGACCAAGAGTCAAGACCGAGGTAAGGATGATGCTAAAGGTACCCCGCCCCTTGGGCTCCTTCCTCCATCCCAGGCCGGCGACGGGGGTGACGGTGGTGTTTGGAGTGGGAGCCGCCAGGGAATATGCGGCCTGCCAGGCGAACGAGGCGAGGATGGCCGCGTTGCTCATTGAGGGTGGCCCCGTGGTTATAATAATCACTGCACAAGTTCGATTACGATAGTTGTAATATGGCGTCGGTGTCTAGGGTCGGGGTGGTTCGGATAGTAATCTTTGTATCCGGCCCGACTGGATTTCTATATATGCGGCTGTACTATCAGCAGACAAGTCTGTATCTCTAGTGAAGGCACCTACCGAAACTTGCAAAGGGAGTGATGCCGTAATTATAATATTGTCCCCTTATCCGCTGACTTTCGGCCACCTTGCTTGAGTTCTTGCGCTTGGGTCTTCAGAGTCTGCAACCTGCCGGGGAATAATAACACACCGCGAAAGAATGCTCACTTCGAGATTGGTGACACCCGACGCAACCCTAGCACAAAGGCAGGCGAGGGTGGGCCTATATATATAGGCGTTTGCTATGAGGTATCGGTTCGCTCAAACAGCCCCTCCGACCCTATGCGGCCCGTCTTTACTCATTTTGAAGTGTGCCCCTAGGGCAGATGTAATTGGCCTGGTCCTCCAAGTGCTTTCTTGGCATACATGAATCTTTCTCTCGGCGGTGATACATAGAGTACATGTAGGTAGGCGCAGCAGGTAACAGGTTTCCGAAAATGCAGGCCCTGATCTTCAATGGAGTACTCGGGGCAGGCAATAAGAACCTGAAAATGCAAGCTGTAAGTGGGTGCCCAATTTGGTGTAGCTTTTCGCCAGCCGCGAATCAGAGGTTGTTACCATCAAAAGTCATTTTCAGGTTCTTCTTACCTGCCCCGAGTAGAAGCGGGCCCGTCGTGATATATTTGTTGGTACATAATTCGGCAGGACAAATTCTGTCGGACCATTAGTAAGGGTTCCATTGCTTGCATGACCACTGTGAGCCTCGTCAGTCCGGGTCTCGGTTTTGAGACAAGACTCCAACACACCCAATGATCTTTTTTTTTACGGGTGGACCCGTGCAGTGCTGGCGAAAACAAAAAAACAAATCTCCCGCCGACTGCCCATGAGGATCCCCACGTGGAGATTTAATGGAGCTTGTCCCCCGCAACTGGTGCCCGAGCCACGTGCACAATGTACATGGAAGAGCTACAGTCGCTCACCTACTGACGGCGGATCCTGTCTGATGGTTCTGTTTGCAGTAATTTGCCCTTGGCTTCCATAACCTAACTCTTTTATTGACCTCAAATCCCTGACCGCCATCAGACAGGATCCGCCTTCACCCCGTGAGTGAGTGTAGCATACCACAAGCTTTGCACAGGTCATACCAAGACCCGATAAACCCTATGATTCGGATACAGTCGCCAAGAGAGTGGGGGCGGAGAATCTAAGGGCCCGTTCGGACAACCTTAGGGCCCGTTCGGACAACCTTAGATTATTTCTTCGGGTTATTGGACAGACTGGATTATCAGGTAGCGGAAGTGATAATCATAATACTCATAATAAGTGGATAATCTACATGTCCGGATAACGTTAGCTCTCAGGATATCTGTGTTGTGTGGGAATAATTACCTCCGAAGGTGATTGTTTTCTTGGCGGATTATTGGGATAATCAGGAGTTCCGAATGTTGGATTATTCAATTGCACGAACAGCATAGATTATTGTGATAATCCAAAAGTCGATAATCCGTCAGATTATCGCCAATAATCTAGATTATTGGGTTGTCCGAACGGGCCCTAACTGAAGGGCTTGTCCGGACAAATTAAAAAGAGGCCTGGACTCCGGTGATTGATTTGATTGGTTGTTGCCAAGGTTCATGAAGTCTCACTCGATCGCCAAGAATGGTAGTCGGTTGGATACCGAGTAGGCTATGAAAGCCAACAAAAGCAAGCAAGTGCGCACCGACGGTGACTGGCCCTTTGCCTTGGCTGGCGATCAGCCCGAAAAGCCGTCATTCGTGATCAAACTAGATTTGCTATTTGTCCAAGAAATGACAGTAGATTAGAATCAGAGCCTTGGCGTGCATGAGTGGCAACTAATGAAGTAGTAGAGTATTGCCAGGTACGTTGTGTTGCACCGAGGCCTGCATGGAGCGGAAAATCCTCGAATTAAAGCCTGAAAATCGTTTTTGCAGGCGATAGACTTGAAGTTATCCCCCGATTCCCAGCCCATTGATGCTTGTTGTTCTATCGGTAGATGCTGCGATCTGGTTTGAGTTGGGCGTAGCCGCGTAGGCGAGTGGCTCGGGCATGCAGCATCCGCATTCAGATGTAGAACATTGCTTACTTAGTACCTAATCGAACAATTGTGGTCTATGTATCGACGGGGTCCAAGATGGCACGCATTGTGATGTTTTCTACACATTACCCGTGCACATACCTATATGGAGTATCAAATAGTGTTATTATGATCATGATATACTACTTCGTTTCTATTAGGAACTCCGGATCGAGGTGGGAAGGGGAACCCTAGCTTTAAATCCCTGCAGGTTGCTCTTGGCGAGAGGAAATGATAATCACTACACCTTTTTGAACCATTGTCGGTATAAGGAAAACGGAGTTGACGGCCATCTTTATGGGGGGCGATTAAATAGTTTGTACAGGTATTTAAATAATTATTTTCAAGAAAGCCAAATAAGAGGCCCAGGATATTGCGTATAATGTACACTTGTGCGGCCGACACGGGGAACTGGAATCTGTGGAGTGACCACTTTTACCGCGCGCTTTCTGAGCTAGCGGTGGGTGCGGGGACGGCCATATGATACCCGCTTGCAGGGACCGTCATAGCGCGGTTGTGGGTCGTCGGCGTGATGTGTAAGCGCGCGGAGGCGATAGCTGGGGTTAGCCGTCGTCGTCGTCTTCGCGAAGGCAAGATGATAATCTCACATATATATACGTTGGGTATTGGAAGTGGGGGTTTAGTGGAAGCTCATTTCTGAGTGGCGGCGGCGGGGGGAGCGGTGCGTGGTGGTGCATGGTGCTGGTTCTGTTGGGGAGAAGTTATAACTAGTCCTGACACATGATATCCCACTATAAACAGGGCCAGAAAACATATCACAATCACAGAATAACACTCGACGAGATACTTTAAGACCACTATGTACCAAGAAATATATTACCCTACCGCCTAGCACCTCTAATAAGCCATGACCTGCTCAATCACAATAAGGTCCTGATTCGAGAAAGACAACCATAACCGCCGCGACCTTGCACCAGATGCCCGAGCTGACTCCTACCTCACGCACCATGTCTCCAACCATGACAGATAGCCTATATAACATCTAAAACTAATATCCAATTACTATAACCCGACGTACCAAAGTGGTAACAGCGCATGATGGAACAAAGAGTAGACGGCATTAGGTCCTGCGAAGCGAATAATGCAATCAATACATAGAGTAGTTCACTTTGCTATCTTAGACAGTGATCTGTTTACCATCCACTAACGGACTAGGCCCACTAACTCTTTACCGGTATTGGTTTTTTTGCTTATTCGGGGCGGGGTCAGCATTTGACGGATAACTTGAGTTTGGATACGAAGGGACCTGTGCGATCCTTCTGGATAACGGCGCTGACGTCAACTTTCAATGTGGGAAACGTGGTACCCCACTTCAGAGTGCAGCATGTGGGGGAGTGCCGTGGATGATCAATTTTCTCTTGGACAGAGGCGCCGATGTGAACCTGCAAGGTGGAACGTATGGTACCGCGCTCCAGGCCGCAGCATATCACGGACGCATCGGCAGTCTAGGCCGGCTTTTGACTGGTGGTGCAGATGTCAATGCTCAAGCAGGTACATACTGCACGGCCCTTCAAGCGGCTTCTTACGCTGGACATAAGGACATTGTACAAGCCCTATTCGTAGCAGGGGCGGATGCTAATTTGGAGGGAGGACGCTATGGGAACGCTGTGCAAGCCTCTGTGTCTGTCGAGTACGAAAATATTCCAAGCATTCTCAGGTTACCTGATCGACCACATCACAAAGATATACTCAAAATGCTCATTGATAAGGGTGCAGATGTAAATCGCAGGGGCGGGATGCATGGCAGTGCCCTGGCCGCTGCTCGTAAATTGGGCCAAGAGACACCTATCAAGATTCTTCAGCAGAATGGTGCGACTGATGAATAGTTGAGGGGCGAGAGATCGAGCCCATGTTCCTGGTAACCAACTTTGAGGGTATGCATGTATCGATCCATCACTGGGCTAGCCTACCGAACTGTCGTATTGTCTAGGTCTAACATCACTGTGGATCATAAGTGTATGGAAATGGTTTTCTTCGTTGCTATTGTTGTACACTACAGTCATAATGACACATGGGCTATCTGAAGTGGTGGCTATGCGGTGACATCATCAAACAGGACCGCCGGAGCAGTTAGAATGGGTGTGTACTGTGACTAGAGTTGAGTCCCGATAATAATCTTGCAAAGTCTTCTAATCGTATTGTCTGAGCACTCGATATGATAGCAAATACAAGTAGGGGGAAGTCTGTTCTGCCCAATTCGCCGGCGGTACCGATTCAACGGGATGTTTTACTATAACGTGCGCACGTCAGAAAATAAGAACGGTGACAGCAGTTAACGATTGTCTATGTGTAAAGTTTTTAGGAGCGCTATATGTATATGCTTATGTACTAGTCTTTTTACTCTATGAGATGATATGAAGAGAGGATTGAAGTAGAGGTCTTGATTAATTCTATTTAAGCCCTGATATATCGATGGTACTTTAGCCTCATTTTGTTCCTTAAAGAAAGTCACGGTAATGGTCAAATTAATTATGGAGCCTTTCACAAGTGGCCTTCTCAATCTCTTTTCTTCCTTCCGATACCAATCACCTTTTTTCAATGCTAAGTAGCTACTGTTAGGCCTAGACTTGTTCTAGCTCGACCCTTTGTTCTTTTTGTTTTTGTTTAATTCATTAATTGCATGTCGACACTTTGTTCCGCCATGTACGCTAACTAGGCCTTTCCACCATGGGAGCATTATTTCATTGGGTCCGGTGGTATCGGTTCCACAATTACACAAAAGTCCGATGAATGGGATGCCCATCCAGCGGACATCCGGAATATCCGAAGTGTCCATCAGATGGGATACCCAATTGATGGACGTCCGGTGAATGGGTAGCATATGCGAATGGGACAGAACACTCTGTGTGTACGCCGGAGCGATTACATCTGTAATAGTCTATAGCTGCCACACTAACGGCCAATGTTTGAATTAAACAAAAAAAAAAAAAAAACGGCCAATGTTAGGTCACAGGGTATCACTCGGTCTATAGGGCGATCTACAGACGGCGTACGATTTTTTTTTTTTTTTTGTTTAATTCATTAATTGCATGCAACTTTACAGTTATGGCAATACCCCTGAACTGCCCCTTCTCTTCCGCCTCCTCTCACGTATTTCTGACATAGGGAATGAAAACACTAGAGCCCTTTTTGTTCTATTCCTCGCTTCCATCGTCTTTCAGCGTCCCCCACCCATACCCTAGTTCCCTTTTCTCCTCTTCTGCGCTCTCTTCCTGTCCGTTTCTCTCGGACGGCGTACGATGCAATCACGCTTGGTCCAGTAGATTCTCCGACTCCGAAAAGGATTTTTTCCGCAGGATGATTGCTCTGCAGGGGTCTCAGCTACTACAGAACTATTTATTATTTAACAGTTGTGGGTCTCCAATTAGCGCTAGAGTCTCAGATTTCCCTCTATTTACATTTAGTATTTTGTGAACATATGCTTTTACACCATCACCCGATATATAGGGCCATACAACGATGTTTAGACTTTGATAGAGAAGCGCCTATCGATAGGTGCATTTGACCGACAGTGAAATCCATTCCTATACCTCCAAGGTCTAACAGCAAAACAAGACCCCGGAGAAATTAACCTTCTAAATATAAATACACTTGCAAAGACCAAAAAAAACCCCAAGTACAAACCGAAATCGCATGCCAACTAATAAAACGGATAACACCCCCAGAATTATATTAGCGTCCTACACTCCGCCCCACACCAGGAGTACACACGAATAAAAAGACTACCACGGCAACCGTTCACCTCAGCTGCAGCACCGGCCGCGCTGTCGGGCTGAGCACAGCTGCCGCAGCGGGGGTCCGCATTGACACCCACCCCCAACCCCACGCGGCCGATTTTGCCTGTGTGGCGCGCGGGCACGTGATGCCGCGTGCGGGCAGTTGTGGGGACGTCGGCTGCGGCATGATGTCTGGGCGAACAGTGGGTTTTCTGGTCATGGAGCCAGCAAAAGTTATGAGCTGCAGGACAGATGAGGAGGATGTGTCTACGCCGAGGAGATGCGGGCCTAGACGCTGGTCGCGGGCAGGCTGCCGATGGCGGCGGATGGGAGTGCGGCTGGGGCTTGTGTCTGTGTGGCGGCTGCGGCGGCGTTTCCGTGGCGGTGGTGGCGGTGATGGGGAGCGAGACAGAGACAGAGACGGAGACGGAGACGGAGAACTCGGGAAGTGTTCCCAGTCGATGGGCGGGATGCCAGAGTTTGGGTCGGTGCGGGGGTCGACGAGCTGGTCGTAGGGGCGGCGGTTGGCTACGGGCGTGGGTATGGCGGGAGGTAGCGGTGAGGTGGGGGAAATTGTGTAGGTGAATGTGAAGGGTGATGATGGCCGGGGCGGGGGGGCTGGGGCGGCGCGGGCGGGCAATATGTGGCGCATGTGGATTATGAGATGAGTTGGGGTTGGTGTTGGGTTGAGTTGAGTTGGTGAGACGACGGAGAGAGAGATTCACTTGGTGCACGGGAGGGGTCTTTTATATATACATTTTTTTACACGTACATATATGATGTATGTATTCAACGGTTTTCGTGTGTGTGGGGGGGGGGGGGGGGTGGGCGGGTTCGACACGCGCAGTGCGGAGATAGAGGAGAGAATTGCCGAAGAGATCCTCTGCCCTTAATTGTCACTCATTCACTGGCTGCACTAGCACATCGTACCACTGCTGCGATCGAGGCCCCGACAGGCAAAGGAAGTTTTGTAACATCTCCCCGACAGTGGACCAGGTTCCCGGGAGAGATCGCGGCTATATGCGAGAACAAAGCCGGATTAATAATTACGGATTATCACTGGTGTCTCGGAAAAATTATGGGTATTCCCCGAGACTGAGAGCTGACCCCCACGGGGCTGTCCGGTTAAAATGCTGCTGGTGCCGTCATTTGAGGGGGGGGGGGGGGAGGGGATGGTTTGTCTATCTGGGGCATTTCGACGTCCCCCCACATCGATCGACACTCACACTCACATCCACACACACCCCCCCCCCCCCACTCTCTTAGAATCGGTTAAAGGAGAGAGAGCTTGATCATGGAGTATCACTCGCCAGCCTTGTTCAAGGGTTCCAGCAGCAATTGGATGGTACTAGGACAGAGCGGGACGTTACACAGTACTCATATTCACCTATATATTCGGGAGCGTTCCGGTATTTTAGAGGATTTATCTATATAAGAACGCAATTCACCTCACTTCAACCTTCAGCGACAATGGATCCACTCAACGATCACGGATTGTCACTCGACAGACGCTTGGATCTTCGATTCAAGCAGGCCTTGTGGTACGAAAGAACTATATATGTACTTCTAGAGTATCAGTCAATTCATCGTCAATTTTTATCCATTGGCTCGAGCTGGGCTCAAGCCCTCGAGCCATTTATGAACAAGCCGAGCCCAAGCACTAATATCACGAGCAGGCTCGTGGACCACACTAGCTGCTCAACCACGACATCGCCCTCAACCCACGACATCAACTATGACAACTCCACAATCCCGACCCCCCCACTATACTACTAAAGCAGCTCTGCAGCAGACTGAGCTCCGGCTGCTCAACCTGAGCTTCAATAATGAGGTTACCTGCCTCCCAGTACTAGTAACCATGAAATATCACTCGATAGGTCCCCTCCGCTTCGCACTCCGATATAAAGGCACAACCTCACTACCATCGAAATCCCGCACCTCGACCTTCTATAGCACCCCTCCTACGTACGACATTATACAGTCGTCCCGGTACGAGACTACAGTATGTATGCTCGTCCTTACCACCACCCACCCGCTCTACCATCCGCCCGTTCTCCCTTCACCGCACGGCCATTAACCTTTCCACAGCTGACCATGTCGTGAACGATCGCCCTTACCCCCCGATAGCAGTCATAGATTGTCACTCGCACCAAACACATGTATGTACTGCTGGAATTGTGTTCCGAGCCTAGGAGCTAAGTCCTATAAATATTTATATGAGTGTCAGCATATATGTCAATATGTAGTCATATATAGACTGTTCTAAGCACGCTATTCTTGTATAAATAGGGCCCCCAGTATTGTAGTCAAGCAAGTCAATCAAGAAAGTCAGAAGTCTTCCGCCTTTATTACTTTGATTATTCTTTATTATTCTTCACTACTATTTATTTTCGGCATGTACACATCCTTCCGTCAACGCCGCCAATACTTGACAAAGTGCAGGGTCACCACATAAGTACTAAAGACTTTGCTTTGGCTTCTTTTTGCCAACGCTTGTCTCCACCACGCTCTCTTGGCCTCTTCTTCACTGTCATTGCTCGAAACCCTCTGGGCAGAAAGTCCTCACCAGAAAGTTGCAGATAGTGACGCCGACGAAACTAGGGAAAACAGTAGGTTCGGCCCTCTCCTCCACCTGGGGCTCTCCAAGGCCCCTTTCCTCCTCCTCCTCCTCCGAAAACCCCTATACTATGGGCACAAGGCCGCTGGCCACTGGTGCGATTTGTTGTGTTTCTTTTGTTTATGTACTTGGAAAATTTCTCTTTGGCGGGGCTTCTCTTGGCGTCAACTTTGTAAGAAGAGTGCGGTTGGTGTCACACCATAGTCACTATACCTGGAGGATCTGGGTTTTATTGGCGATAGGTTTTTATGCCATAGTCTATGACTGCGTGCACTGATTGTAACTAGGATCAAATCAATTTGAGTTGGAAAAAGAAAGAGAGGAAAAAGAATACATATTGTATGCACAAAACCCCACCACAACCTCCCTCCCCCCCACAGTACGCGCTCTTTCGGCATCTCTCCTACTATAGATTTCGGCCGGGGATAGTTTTACCTTGTCTATATGCAGCCTCACCGTGCTGGGAATCACTAAACCACGACCTCCACCTTAACCATATAATCTCACTCGCCCGCGCTATTGTAAGTAAGCATAAGTACCCAACACCGACCCGGTATACACGCGTGTTAGGGTTAGTTGTGAAATGAGGTTTTCTACCCCGTATATATAGGGGATCAGTCTTAGCACGGGTTAGATTTGTACGTAGTGATGGGCACGAGACGAGATGAGACGAGACCTGGCTTAATCTCGTCTCGTCTCGTCTCGTGCCCATCACTATTTGTACGTGTACATGTGTAATACATGCTACCTTTCAAAATAAATCTTGCCAGCTATCAAGCAGCGGAGGAAGCGGTGCATCTTATCAATCATCAGTTCCCCCTCCCTTCTCACGTCAACCTTTTCCGCGCTAGCTATTCATCCACCTCTTTAGAACACTACCTTCCGATTCTGTGGGCTTTTATAGAAGTCTTGTTACAAAATGGAGTCAGAATCCGAGTCCTGGATGCCAAATAGTAATGGCGATTATTCTCATGAATCTACACAGAAAGCTTCGCTAGGAGCGCGTGGAGCAGGCGACAAGTTTAGATTAGTTCCTACCGCTAAGAATAAGTGAGTATTTTTAAAAAAAAAATCCTGTTACACATAGAGGAATTCTGAACTGACAAACATCGTTTACATTTAAGGGAAAAGTTTGAGATTGCATCATTGAAATTCATTATAATTGTTAATGATCAGAAGCACCAAATTCTGACCAGGGCCGTATGGCGGTTGAATTTCTACCACTACCTCTGGCTTGCCTACTTTTCCAAGTGGGCAGTGATAATGGTTGTATCAACATACTATATATTTTCTTTCCTAATCGCTATTACAGAGGTTTACCCTGGGTCGATCAAAAAGCCGGCTAGTGTTATCGCGATTACAGCTGTGGCTGCCCCTTTTAAAGGCTTCCTTCATTTAATACTTTACCGGCTATCTGATGTTCCAAAGCAATACTACACCTACATAGTATGGCTACTGTGGGCTATGGGCATAATCGAAACTTTGTTTAAAGTGAGTGAGCTACTCTTGATTGCGAAATGGATTCCAAACTCTGAAATCAATACAGCTCTTGACAAATGGAATGTTGTTGGGGAGGTCCTGAAGCAACTAATTGTTTCAGTAATGTGCGCTTGGGGTTTCCATCGCCCCCAGACAATTTACCTAGGGAACGAAGGCCAACACTTTGAAAAAATTAATTCTAGATATGTTGCTCCATTGCTGAGCCGGAAAGAGAAATCAGAATGCTTGAACTCAATTTACCCGTATACGGATTATTGAACCCCCAAAATACATGTACTTTAACTCCAGAGTTGATATCATTAGTTTGACGAGGCTCTTGCAAGCCTATCATTCTTTGAAGCTTTATTAATACTAAGGCTTATGATATCTGATAAGGCTTAATTAGACGTTTATACATCAATGGCCGCCCGCCTGCCCCGTCCCCCCCCCTCCCTGCCTAACCACCTACCTACCTACATGTACCAACCTACTTTCCTACGCCTACCTGCGCCTCCCTCCCTATCTCTAAGCCTACCCGCCTACCCGCCTACCCGCCTACCCGCCTACCCGCCTACCTGCTTACCTGCTTACCTGCTTACCTGCCTACCTCAGGCTGCCTACCTGCCTACCTGCCTACCTCCGCGTGCTGCCTACCTACCTGCCCCCGCGCCTACATGCTACCCGGTAATCACACCATGTTAGGCTCACGACGGCGTTATGATAGACAAAAATTTAACGGAAAAGAGTATACCCCACTACCTTTTAGAGAAATCTTGCGTGACAAGTGGGTCCATCTTGCACCGCCAGCCGACATTTGCAGTTAGCTTCTACAATTTGACGTATGGTGAGCTAGTACTAATCACTACATGTTGTGAAAACGTATGAAGGGATATAGACAAATTTGCAAAGGGATGTACCTGCATGTCCGGATCTAGACTCGTACCCAGCCACTTCTCCTAGAGGGGCCGGAGCTATCCCTTCGTCTGTATTCAGGACTTGTGGCAATATGTGGTTCACCATACAGAATTCATGCCTAGCTGGAAGCGGTGGTCGGCGGTGCAATCGAGTAGTTCTGTAAACAATTGTCGTTAGCTTTGGTGAGGTCTTTTTCTGGAGGTAGGGGGAGCCCTCCGACGTCGGAGAGGCCGCTGGCAGAGGTCGGGGAGCTGTCGGGGAGCTGCCGGGGCCCAAGTTAGTTTTTTTATCTTCAAACATGGAGATTAAATTATAAAGCCTTTTTAGCCTCCAACATGAAAGTCAAGGTTTGTTCTGACTGCGATATTATAATTGAAACCCCGATATCACAATTCAGGCTCCGATATCACAATCCAGAGCATGGTATCATATTTTAGACAACATGGGAAATTGTAGGTGTCAGAAATCTTTCCCGACATTTGTCGGAAGATAATGTTCTAGTCCGGGCTACAGTGAGTAGTGAGCTGCTCGTAGGGGATGGGTATGAGACTACAGTAATACAAATGGTTTCTGGCCTTCGCCCGGTACTATACCCATGTATATCAAGAGCACAGGGCTACTGGGGCGAGCACAGGTGCGAATGGAGCTTCCTGGGCCAGCACGGTGAAGCACTACTGATATGGGTGCAGGAGGTGAAGGTGCTATGAGGAGAGATGAGAAAGCAACAAGTATCACTTGATGCGTGCAAAAAACTACATCGGCTTACGCCAGCTGTTTATCCTTTTTGCGACACCACTCATATACAATTTCGTGTTGAGCTTATGGATAAACAGTCGGAGTCTTATGCCCTTACCTCCAGAGGAATACGTTCATGGTACAGTAAGTCGGACAACCCTCCTCCTCTGTGATATGGGGCCTATTCGGTCTGTGTGGACAATAGGACGCACCTGCGAGGCCCTCAATTATATATCGTAGTGCCGAAACCCATTACAGGTCCGGGGATTGAACCCCAGGCACTCCGACATATGTCAGATGTTTATACTACTACACTAGGTAGCAATAGCTGTACATGTGTCCCAGAAGTTGATGGTAAAGGGCGGGGTGGGGCAAACCTTAATTATACCCTGTAAACCTTAATTTATATTCCTATACCGGTCAAGTGAAGTCAGCAACATAAGTAAATACGTGTCATACTAGCGATATCCCTAAGTTACGATATGTGGGTAATTCAGTTGATGGATAATTTCTTATTGACTGTAACTGGGTTCGTGTTTTGGTGCTCTGGTCACGACTATCACCCAGTCACGGCGAGAGTGCCCCAGTCATGACCACTCACCAGTAGAACGCCCCAATCAGGAGCGGTCACCAGGAGGCACACATCCACCGCTGGAACAGAGCATCTCCTGACCACTGAAGTCAAGTTGTTATTGGTCAAACCCTAGAAGACTAAGCTGCCTGGAAAAATCAAATCACAATCCACCATTCATGAGAAGTACATACATACTAGCAGTTAGCTGAGCTCGCGAGCGCGAGTTCCTTTTACCACATGTAGGTACTTAACTCTGCCTTTCGTGCCTCCCCCCCCTTTCTTTTTTCCCACTCAGGGTTCTCCCTCGCCAGTGAAGAGCGACTTAACCCGTTGCCAGTTGATGATTCGCCCATATACCATCGATACCCCCCCGGCCCGTTGACCTCCTCCTACAGATACCTCCTTTAACGCATGTATCGATCTCTTAATACCACCCAGTTAATGCAATTTAATGATTAATACAATTTAATGATTTACCTCACCGTACCAGTTAATTACTCAATACCACCCAGTATATTTTTTAAATGTTTATAGTTCAGTCTACGCAGTCAAAAGAAAGAAAGGCCTTCACCGATTTGACATACCATACCTTTTAAATCTGGGCAATTTGGGTGCTGGGCTGGTTGCTATGCAGGGCCAGGGTTTCCGCTCTCGACCACTCAGAGGGCGAGGAGCTGGTCATTAGAAGAAATTGTCTTTATAAACCGTCCCCATTAATGAAGGATTAAGAGGAACAGCATGTACGGCCTTCCCAACGTCAGGGTTTCCTCTTATGTTGCGCGCTATTATCCCATGGCCTGGTAGAAATTTAAAATTCCAGGACTTCCTATTTCAGCAGGCCCTCGATACCGACTAGAATTTCGGTCACGTGTAGGTTAAGTAGTGCGTAAGTGAGAGTAGAAACTGGTATGCCTTTTGCTACTCTCTACAGAGTCTGGTAGAATTATTGCGAAAGTCAGAGCTAAAAGAGTGGATTTGTTGGTCTGTGCTCGCAGCAAAAACCTTTTAAGGGCCAATAGGACTATCGGGTCACGGAGAACCCACTTTCGCAATAATTTTACCAGATACTGTAGGTCTATTGCCAAGTAAAAGCTGCCCATTAGCGCCTGGTCGTGAAAACACACGAAGGGATGGTACAAAATTTTAGTATCTTGAAAAATGTATCTCTAGGGACAGATAACTAGCTTCACTTTCTGAGACTAAACACGGAAGATTATCATTTCTTACCCTATATTCGGGATAAATACCGGCGTCACCATACTAATCGTTGTTCTACATGAGGGGTTGTATCCTTGGGCCGCATGTATTGTTCTACTAGCTCCCTATCCCTTCGTGCGTTTTCACGACCGGGAGCTAGTAGGCAACTTTTATTCGGTAGTACACCTAACCCTCACTCCGTGAACCTCTTTTGCTGTGAAGTCACCTTCTGTGACCCCTCCGATACCTATTCTGGTGTGTCGGCAATCTGTAGGTAGCTAGATTTTCTGAATATCACCACGCCGTCGTGGGCCTAATATGTCTCCGATTTGGCTATGACGAACGAAGGGATGGGTGTCGTTCTAGGAAAAGGGTACCTGTGTGGCAATGCAACAAGGCCTCACCAGTTCGCTACCGCACTCTACAGGCTCCAATTTATGGAACCGATGTCAGAAAAATTAATTCTGGGCTCTCACCAAGGTCCTCTGAGCTTTATGAAAATTAAGAGTTTATCGGTTGTGTGGTTCGTCGGAATAAGGATTTGGCTGTGCGGACGGTTTTCCTAGAACCACACCCATATGTATCAACTCTTCTTTTCTTGGTGGGTGGCTTGGGGTGGCGGGGTTCCAAGCATTATACACAATACCTCCTTCACCTTTGTGCCTTAACTTCTCTGAGAGACTTCTAGTATCGGTGCCTTATATCTTGATCATGAACTTCTTTTCGCATTACTTCTCCAAGCATTACGAGGCTCTCGGAAGGATGATAAATGTTGAACTTTGTCCTCATAAGATCAGTTTGCTATATGTATAATTATAAGCTTTGCCTACGTACATGCACCAAACCAGAGATATATAGTGGCCAACTACTTAGAGTGGTAGCTCATTCTTCTTCTTGGGTTGTTGCCCCTCCTATATCGATCAACACCGACCTGTATCGTCACGGAATCAGGCTCCATTAACCACTGAAGCTCCTGAAATATACTTTCATACTGGTCGATATTACTTTCGCTTAGCCATCTCTGCACAGCTCCTACCATCCTATCCATATCATCCTCACATCTTGCTGCCATATACGCACTGGTCACCCGAAACCCCATGTTGGATCCATACAGAATGGGTAGAAAATGAAATAAATCCCAAAGTTGGACTTCATCTATCACCTCACATAGGGCCTCCACACCCGCGAATAGCCCGCGCAGTCTGAGAAGGACTGTTTCCTGTGGAAGCGCTGGTTCAGGATCCGGAGGTAACCCATCGCCCCATTTGGTAAACTTTATATGATTTGTGATAGTTTGGGGGACCTTGCTGAGGAGTGTGGCAGGCGGTGAAGGTGATCCTTCAGGGAAATAGAAGTTGAGGAGAGAGATAGCTTGGGAAATAAGAGAGTCAGAGTAATGGTAAAGCTTATGCGCAAGATGATTGTAGTTCACTAAGGCCCGAACCAGGTCACCAGTGGTAATGGGCTGAGCTTTAAACGTATCGATGAAATTTCGCCTATGTTGGAGTAAGCGGTTAGTATCTTTGTGACGTTCACTGTATGCTTTCAAAGAGCTAGCTCATGAAGAAGACTGATTTTAAAATTTTCCTCCTTCCACGCACCGCCATTAACTTATATACCCACCGAATAGCAAAATACACAGGAACATGGCTAGAACGAGGGCAACGCTTACACAAACGGGGCTGACAAGATGGAAGTGGTTCCTCTGGCCGCTTCCTGACTACAGAATGCCCTCGCATTCAGTTCACGGACTATTCTTGTGAACCTCGCATCACCATGATGCACATCGAATGGCTCGAAAGGACTATCGGCGTTGGATGCCATAGGCGTTGATTGAGAATGTGTAGAGTGTATCAATGATTTGAAGAAATGTGTACTCTTGAAGTAGGCGAAAGCCGGAGGGTTGCACGTAGCAATGGTTTAGTAAGATGTGATGAGCTCATAGTTCGTTCAATTTCTTAGCGTTTCCGAACACGACCAATATTGCATGACATAGCAAATTAAAGGTGGATTTAGCGCTTTTTTGTATGGCATGCAATAGAAGTCGTGTTCGGAAACGTCATGAAATTAATAGTAGGTCGTAGGTACTCGCGGAGACAACTATAGTTCAACTTAGGGGCGCTGGGTAAAAGAAATTAAGATATTGTGAGGTTACGACTTGCCAATGTATTTAGCAACGGAAGATGTCAGGATCGCAACCTGGCAGAAATGAAATCTTAGGGCATGTAGCACATCAAGCCTTCAGAAGCTGCAACGGTGTGTCAATCAATGTAAATACAATAGTTGGGGTTGGGGAATTTGGTTGTGAACTTGGTGCTAGCGCGGTGAGGATTGATTGATACAAGTACAAGCTTGAATATTTTGGTCTGAGCAGAATATTTTAGATCGTGATATTGGGGCTCTAATAGGATGACAAATATCACAAAAAGTGGTTGCTCGAACACTACCTTCAGAAAGAACCTCATATATTGGGCTAAAAAGGCCGAATGTCGTGATATTCGTTGCAACAGGACGCGGCCTAAGCGATAGACGCACCATGGGGTGTAATACAGGTACATCCGTGTAGCATAAACCCATTGTTAGCATACGTGCCTGCACGTTTTGGAGCGAATAGGAGTTCTATAGATTTTGTTTTGATCCTACTTGATTCACTAACAGTCTCGGGCTCAGGCTCTGACGACAGAAAACAAGCTCGAATTCGCTATGAATGATGTAGGTGATGATGACAGAAGATAACAGAAGAGACGAGACTATGATACAGGACTAGCTAGTGTTGACACGGTTTCTCCTTGTGACCTGATTTGACCCGAGGTCTTGACATGATTCCACGAACGCCTCACCCGCGCCAAAACGTCGCTGGCTGTTATTGTATTTACAGTATCTGGTAAAATTATTGCGAAGGTGGGTTCTCCGTGACCCGATAGTCCTATTGGCCCTTAAACGGTTTTTTGCTGCGAGCACAGACCAACAAATCCACTCTTTTAGCTCTGACTTTTGCAATAATCCTACCGGATACTGTACTACATTACATAAGTACTAGCTTTAACGTTGGAACGGGTATTTCATAAGGCTGATTGGCAGACGAAAAGCCTTGTTTAAGCCTCTGTCACAAATAAGCCCAAATTTGGCCTATTTTGGGCATAATCGTGACCGTTGCTCAGGTTTACATATGCAGATATCAGGCTCTATTAAGACTTTTTCTAAGGCTTCCCATTAGCTAAGAATTAGAGAAATCCGTCCGGGCTTGCACCGGAACGGAGTGAAAGAAAGGTTTCGTGGGTTAGGGTTAGGCACTTGGCAAATATCAAGCCGTCTACGGACGTACTCATCTCCATCACCTCCATCTCTCCGTCATCTCTCTCCACCTCCGGACCATACAGTATCCGGTAGAATTATTGCAAAAGTCAGATCTAAAAGAGTGGATTTGTTGGTCTGTGCTCGCAGCAAAAAACCGTTTAAGGGGTCACGGAGAACCCACCTTCGCAATAATTTTACCAGATACTGTACACCACACCCACCATGCACTGTCCGCATGTGGAATTCGTCTAGGTAAACTACCCTTTTTACAGAGTCTGGTAGAATTAATGCGAAAGTCAGCGCTAAAGGAGTGGATTTCTTGGTCCGTGCTCACAGCAAAGGTCGTTTCAAGAGCCAATGGGACTATCGGGTCACGGAAACCCACTTTCGCAATAATCCTACCAGACTCTGTATAGGCGGGTACCACAGGCGGGCACGACAAAAGGAAAGGGGTTGTGGGTGCGTGCGGGTGACGGTTTGTGACTGCACCAGATATGTAAAAAATACCATAGTAGGAACCCGTAGTTCCAGCGCGCACCCTAAGCCCTACCACACACACCGGAGACACTCGCCCCGTGACACCAAAACCTAACCCTCACTCCGTGAACCTCTTTTGCTGTGAAGTCGCCTTCTGTGACCCCTCCGATACTTATTCTGGCGTCTCCACAATCTGTAGGTAGTTAGATTTTCTGAAGATCACCACGCATAGTGGACCTCGCCCCCATCGAGTCATTCACAACCAAAACTCCCACCGGAGAACAGCAACGAACACCGTCACTCTACCATCACCGCCCCCAAGTAAATCGCACCTTTTTATCTTCTTAGCCTATTATCATAGCCAAACAACCGATATATAGCAAATATATCACTCACAATATCCCTTCGTGCGTTTTTAGGACCGGGCACTAAAGGAAGGTTATGCCTCAAAGAGGTATTTTACTGGCTAGTAAACCTAACCCTCACTCCGCGAACCTGTTTTGATGTGAGGTCACCGTTTGTGACTTCTTCTTTAGTTGTTCTGGCGATTCCAGAGACTGGAAAGAGTTAGATTTAATGGCTATCACCACGCCGTCATGGTCCTAATATGTCTCCATCTGCGGAACACACGAAGGGATAGCTCATGGTCAGAAGCACAGCAACTGTCCCCCCCAGATCCGTAAGAGACATGTACTAGCAAGGTCGCTTAGAATATTGGTCACTTGGTGATCAATAAGATAGAGGTGAGAGTGAAGGTGGCACTTCAAACCCTCTGCGAACTACACGTGACCAATATTCTAGGCGACCTTGCTAGTACAGCAAGACATCCGAGATATTGAATCATGCGATAGCGAGTTAAAACTAAATCATTGCAGAAGCATTAGATGAATGACTATCTCCCCTTTGGAATATCATACCAGGCAGGCGGGCCTCCTACCCGCATCGAGCTTCTCTAGATATCTCGCTGCCCTTCTCGAGCTCTTTCTCTGGCGCAAAATACGTCGAACTGGCACTGTTATCCACAGTAATCTCTCCGCGCGGCCTGCCTTTCAGGGCTCCCGCGTTAGACAGTTCTTCCCACCATCGGCACGTTCCTATCGCTATAGTGAATATGGTGAAAGCTCGCCACCTCTCAACTCGTTATCTCCTCCCATCCTCACTCCCGGTATCAAATCCGAACTCCCAGCGATGGTGGGCAACATTATTCCAGCATTCATTCCGAACGCCGTCCCCGGTAGCCCCCGCATCTCTCCAGCTCTACGGATGAAGTTTTGTGAACAGTATCAACCTCTTTTGGCAGCCCCCATTCCCTCCCTGAGCGGATCCCTTCCATAAAATAGCGGTGCAGTTTCAGATGCTTTAAGGTATATCCTTAGTGTGGTCCATGAGCCGACCCGGCTCGAGCTTTGGGCTCGAACTTTCGGCTCGAGCTTTGGGCTCGAACTTTCGGCTCGAGCTCAGCGAGCCTCACCCTCCAGCGAGCCTGAGCCGGCTTGAGCCGTTTTCTTTAAGGCTCGAGCTTAGGCTAGAGCTTGATCTTAAGCTCAGTTTACTCGCTCTGAACTAGGCTCTAGAAGCCATCAAGGAAGCCAGGAGGAGATTTATGCCCACTAGAATGCTGAGTTAAGTAATAAATCCTTTCTCACGGCATTACTCCATGACATTAAGCTTATATCTGCCATTTTAGTACACTTAGTGGAAGAATAACCTGTTTTTCTCATCATTGACCACCGGCTCGAGCCAATTTATGAGCCTGTCACCAAAGCTCCAGCCTTGCGAGCCCCTGCTTCTCATGAGCCGAGCCAGCTCGAGCTTGTATGCCGGCTCGACTCGAGCCGGCTCATGGACCACACTATATATCCTGTACTCACCCCTCAGAACCCCTGTGGAAATTGTTTGGCGGGGCAACAACAGACCCCCGAACCCGGGAAAGGGGGGGGGGGGGCATTCATCCCTAAACCGTCATCTTAATACTCACCTACCAGGAGCTAACTCCTATACAAATGTACCAAGAAGCGTCGCTATCCCTCACGGCGGTTAATAAATCCCCTCCCAAAAAACCAAATCCTCCGGTGCAGGGGCGTCTCTATGGATAGCTTAAGTGAAACTGCTTATTGCCAAATACTCGGTGAGGTCCCCGAAGGCGAAGCAAACGTCTCATGGTAGCACAAGGTATACCCTTCAATTTGGCCGATGTACACCGATAAATGGCATATTCCTTGACTCGAGTCAAAACAACATATACCCTTCGACAGGCTTCCAAAACGGAGATACTCGATTCAATCGTAACAGTAGATACATCGATAACTGGTACATTAAAATACATATATTGAACAGGGTTTTCCATATATTCTATCCCTCCCTACAAGAATTCAACCTGCAGGAACTGAACAAGGAGGAAGGCGGGGGGAAGTGGAATAGCATTCAACAGCATTGGTTGTCTAGGCCTGTCCTCGCTTTGAGAGATGGATGATATATCACAGCGGGATAATTCACATACTCCTCCGTTTCTCTCGGAATCAGGTCGTTCAAGTCAGGTTGAGATTTCACCGGGTATTCTGATTAATTAATGGGCCAATCAGTACAAGATGATTCTCAAATATATCCTGTTAGTTTGGGGGATTGTGACTTTGGGGAGGATACAGAGGTTCATCGACCCGCTGGTGGTCGGGGGGATAATTTGAAACGTGGTGAACCCTCGGGGTTACGGTGACAGTGACAGTTGAACAGCTCTAAGAATTGAAACGGAAGAGAAATGCTAGGGAGGATTTGATCCGGCCATGAGCAACATATGTAGTTCTCAGTTGACTTTTGAAAATGTTAGGTTCCCGTATGAGCGTGAAAGACATACTTTTGACTGGGAGTTGATGCCAAAAAAATTAGAGCTTGCCCTTAAACAAACCGGATTGATTGTTAAATACAAAAAGCAGGAGTAAATTCCGTGATCCTTGTAAGGTAGTGCGAACCCCTGTCTATATTGCCCTGGAGTGATCGATGGTGGGTGACACATGCAGCCGCAAGATCTACCGACCTGCAGGTTGGCTGTGGGGTGCGGGGTAAAGTGTGGCGCGTTACCCGACCCTAAGCCCCGAGCCGCATTAATGTATCCACCTCCAACGCGCAAGCCACACCGTCAACAATCAATCGTCTAAAACGGGTCGAAATTAAACCTCATCTCAGCTCTACCCCCCCATGTTCTTCATCATCTTCATCATCCCCATCACTAGTCTCGTGCCCAGCCTGTGTTTTTTATTTCTCGGCGCACAGTCTGGTGTAATAGGTGTATGGCCTCGTACCCAGTCTGGTATTTTGTGGTTGCTGTGCCAAGACCTTCTGCAAAGTAAATCACGTGACTGCCAAGACGTTTGGGATGGGATCGAGCTCACCCCGGCGAACCTTAAGGGCCCGTTTGGGAGCATCATAACTCCGTTTTGCAAGAAATGTTTGTGTCTGGCATGCCTCCGTTAGGGCTTTGACACAGAGTTCCTACTTTTCAGCTCCGTTTCGTTGCAACGCTCAAAACCCCACCAAATCATTACCGCCCGGACGGGTAAGGAGATAAGCTTTATTCTGAGCTCTAAGACTTCGAAAAGGCCTAAATAAGGCTGATGTTTCAAAAAAGCAAAATATAAGCCTGTTTTGGCCGAAAGTATGATATTTGCTTACATAATATTGCCCCCAAATAAGCCTCTTTTAAGACTTGTTCCGGTATTAGATTTATTAAATAAATAAGAATAGGCATTTATAGTGCTGGATCTGGGTTAGGGTTAGGAACTTAGTAAATATCAAACTGTGTTCTTCGATCTGTTCTTTAATACCCGCCCTTCTACCTCCCTATCTCCTCCGTCCTCTCTACTCTCCGTCCCCTCCCCCCCACCTCTTACCCATCAAAATCAATATCAGACATAGGCTAATCAGAGAAGCAGCGAATCAAGCTGCGCAGCGAATGAATTAGCAGCGAATCAATTAGCAGCGAGTCAAGCAGGTACGTAGCTAAACACCAAATCAATACCAAATCGTCGACTAATCGCACCAAATTAATCAGTAGCAAATCGACGCCCAAATCGCCAGCAAACTACCACCCAACTGACGACTGACGGTGCACCAATCGACGTAAGATCAGCACCTATTTAGTATGTAGGCAGGCAGGCAGGCAACCGGATGATTAAATAGATTGCTTAATCGATGTACATATTAAATTCATTAATAAAATCTTCATTTCCGAAATTTACTATGGCGAATAAGTATAAAAAGAAATAAGGCCGAATTATCGAAAAAGGCTTTTTTAAGCCTGATATTAGACTTAAAACAATACTTGTTCGGGCGGTAAAGTATCCACCCTCACAACCAAACTACACTGCTGTTTGGGAAACCAAAACTCCGTTTTCAAAAATATCTGTTTGCACCCACCTAACGCAGCCGTTGCATAACGGAGTTGAAGTACCTCGATAGTAGGATAATGACTTGTATTGATGATGACTGTTAGAGGACGAGGAGTCTGTCTCGCTCTTATCCCCTAGCTCCTAATCTAACACTGGGGCCTAATGCCAAGCCTAGTGCCACTCTGCCTTCAACCGGCTACACTACTTGACACCTTGCACCGCCACTATAGTACTCCAATCTTATACAGATAATCAACCCTTACAGGAGTTTCATAACCACGAAAACTGCCAAACGGGCCCTAAATCTTTAAGTATTTCGAGGTTTTAAAATATCTCCGAACCCCTAGACTCTCCGAGAGCCCCCCGACTCACTTGGACATTTCTCGGAGGAAGTTCGAAATATTTTTGGCACTTTTACCCTAGACTGTAGCTGCACGCAGATAAAACAGTCTGGGAACGAGACTACATCCCTTCGTCTGTTCCCGACATGTTAGGCCCACAACGGCGTCGTGATAGACAAAATCTTAACGGAAAAGAGTATACTCCACCACCTTTTAGAAAACCTTTGCGTGACAAGTGGGCCCATCTTGCACCGCCAGCCGACATTTGCAGTTAGCTTCTGCAATTTGTATGGTGAGCCACCAATCGCCACATGTCGTGAAAACGTACGAAGGGATACCTCCGGCTGTGTCATTAATTAATTGGCTTCACGTGCACTCGCTCTCCCCTGCAACTGAAACCATCGCGCCACTGCTAGATAGTGCGATCAAGGCCCGGCAGGTGAAGTAAAGTCCCCGACAGCGGACCAGGTTCCCGGGAGAGATGATCCCGGCTATTCGAGGACATGTAAACCGGATTATAATCTAGGATTAATTACCACTCGTGTCTCGGAAAATTATCGATATTCCCCGAAACTGCACCGAAATTGCTGCTAGGGCGATCGCGCTCACCCTCGAGAAGCCGGATGAACTGCAAGCTGGTGCCGTTATTCGAGGGGGCTCTTTGTCTATGTACATGTATCTGTGGAACTACGCCCCCACCCCCCAGACCCCCACTCTCTTAGAATCGGGTGAGGGAGAGAGCTGAGCTTGATCATGGGGTATCACTCGCCAGGCGTGTTCAGGTGACCAGGCACTCTGCACGACTGCCGCCGGTATGCTGATGACTTGCTTTAAGTTAACAGAGATCCCCATTGACTCTGACCCTAAAGATTGTCAGCTCGGCACAACGCAAGACCAATACCACGATATTACGCTCAATAACGACGCGATATCGCCCTCAACCACGACATCAGCTATGACGACCCCACAATCCCGACCCCCCTGACTCTGGCCGATAACCACCTGTGACTTGGTATTCTCTAGCTTGTTTATACGATAGGGATCATAAGGTCGCGCTCCTCCCAAATTCGTTTATCCGGCGAAGAAGAATTAGCCGTGTCATAGAATATCACCCGACAGGCCAGCACGCTAAAAAGATATATATTTCTTTTTTGTTTAGTTGATTAGTGGCATAAGAGGATACCATAGGATATGCCGTCGCTCTCAAGGGACATTCATATTGCCTCCACAGGCCACATAATCATGGAGTTGGGGAAGAGGCGGATAATATCTAGCTCGATTGTTCTTCACCGGGTATGTCCACCACAATGATATAACCATTAATTGGGGAATGAATTTTGATGGAAACATGGACCTTGGTTGTCTCGGAATTCTGGGTGGTAGTCCTATACCTCTAGACACCTGGGCAATAACTAGAACATCTTGACTAGCCATGCGAGGCGAGACACAAGTGTAGTTCGGAGTCCACAACGTACATCCGGAGTAAATAGGTCCGGGGATGTTTTCAGCTTGCCAGATTAAGGGCTGCCCCCACATTTATCATGGCAGAGTACAATGAGATCACGCTTTCGAGATCGGGATCGCAAAGAACTAAATGGAAGAGTTGTTGGGTTACCATTACGAGGATATGGATTCGGATGGAAGGCTTTATCACTACACCAAGTGCAAAATACAGAAGAGTTGAGAAATAAAAAGTAATGCACACATCAATTGTAAAAAGATCACCGCAGTGGACGGAATCTGAAAACAGCCCAGCCTGAGCACGAAAGACGAAGAATGAAAAGGAAAAAGAAAAAAGAAAAAAACTGAGTAAAAGGGAGAAGACAAACAAGGCAAGTCACCAGAAGACTAGACAGAGGCGATCGTCCCGCCCAGATATTTAACCCCTCCTAATGAGGGGATCTTTCACCTCACTCAACCACCCTGGCACAAGGAACTGGCACTGGAACAGAAGGGGGCGGGTTCGGAACACGATACCGCGCGGGAAGAATATACCAAACAGAAGCCAGGGGGCCTGATAAAATTGAGCGGGGTAAAGTGTGAGTAGGAAGAAAAGTCCAACATCAGAAAAGGGAAAGCAAAGATGTCATGAAAAGGGAAAGAGAAACACATATCCCTCGCAAGAATGGAAACCACACAATCAATGAAGTAACAAACAAACAAGAATCGCAACTAACACTAATGGGCCGGGATGTTGTTAACATTACTGAATGGGCGGTGGAGCCGGCCGAGAGGAATCGAATTTAACACGTCTCGGCGGGGTACCTGGTCCATAGGAATCGAAGCTAATCCCACCGGCAGGAACGACCCTTTCGCTAGAATCAAATTCCCTAGATCTACCAGCACGCGCAGGAATGGCCTGCTTGGTAGAACCAGAGCCCATATATCCACGAGCACGGTCGTTGAGGACAATCGGCGTCCCCCCTACTCGCTCCTCGACAATTTCGCCTGCGCCGTAATGGGGCACAATGATGGGCGCACCTTCTTTAACCCCGCTGTAGGAATGCACGTTGTAGGGGATACCAGATAGAATGATCGGTGTGCCGATTTCCCGGGTTATGGTTGGAGAAATCATTGTAGGGGGGTTTTCGAAGGGAAGTGTACGAGGAGGTATCAAGTGAGTAGAACAGAGGTGGGTATTTCTTATAAAGGTGTAGGAATCCGGTGACGTACAGGTTTGCGCTGCTGCTAGACGGCCTCCTAGTAACCCTTACTCGAGTGCTCAACGCAGACTGGTTGGTGTTTGTGCCAATTTTTCAGGTGAGCGCAGGAGGGTGTTCATGTGGCTGCAGCGGGCATCTATCTGCTATTAAACCTCGGCCGCGGACTTGAGGTGTCCCGATGATATGTACCGGTTCTGTACGCAGCTCACTCACTCGAACAGCTACCCGGAATTTCATGAGGTTTCCGAACACGACAAATATTGCATGTCATATAAAATATTGGTCGTGTTCGGAAACCTCATGAAATTACGAGTAGATGACGTCAAGCATCAACTGTTTGAGCGAGGGAGATACGAGGCCCCGGAAAGGCGTATATGATCACTCGAACAGAAAATGATGATTGGTGAAATAGTCTAATTGAGGACGTAGGTATCATGGACAGTACAGAAACCGGTTACAAACAGCGTAGATCCTTTAGTTTCTCTTGGACTATTAATATATAGGGTGAGGATATCCGCCCATAGCTTCCCCCCGCCCCCACCTTCTCCCATTCTCCACCTCCCCCATCCAACCAGACCCAAATCAATTCCAGCATCTCACTCCTACACACTACCTCTCTTCAAAGCCAACAGCGACGACACCTCCACCATGGTCCTCTACTACGTCTACGTCCGCCTCAACTGCCCCTCAATGGGCGACAAGAACTTCTGCGACTATCGCTACCTCCTGGCATGCGCCTCACGCTACCAGGCCGACGAGTACTTCCGCGCTTTCCAGGAGCGCATGCGGTTCAAGCGGATCTCTGCCCAGTTCTGGGAGTATGAAAGCGAAGAGAGTCTGAGGAATACCATCACGAAAGCAGCCAACATCGACAGCTCCATCCACAAAGGCATCATGCTCTCGAATCTCCCCAACATGGGGGAACGCAATGGATTTGTGCAGGTCCCGCCGGAGGCCGCCCGCGACTGGATTAGTGGGCGTGCCTACTTCATACGCAATGTGCGGCAGCCGGATATCTACTGGTATCATCCTGCGGGAGGAGGTGAGGACCGGATCTTGGCGTCGAGGTGGCAGAAGACAAAGTTCTTTGTGAGGCTTGCGGAGGCGGATGAGAGTGAGACGGGGACGGTGCTGATTAGGAATGACCGGATACGGATTTCGACGGTGTCGCCGCAGGCGAAGGGGATGGTGGTGAGGATGGGGGAGAATAATAGGATGGTTATGGTTAAGCCGTCGGCTGCGGCGGTGGCGGTGGCGGGGAGTGATAAGGACTTTAGGTTTAGGGACTTGTTGGGAACATTTGGAACAGAGTGGGAGTGTAAGAACGGGGAGCCGTATGAGTATGTGACGTGGGGGGATCCGTCAGTGATGCACTTGGATGATTGGGAGCTCTGTTAATGGAGGGTCTTATGGGGTGGCTGTTTCTCTTCGTTACGAGTGTAAAGTCGATTTATTCAATCTGAATTCACACAAGAGATTCACATCGTCAGGATTAAAATGCCGCTGATCAGCTTCAGCGGATAAAGAACTCGCAATGGTCGCCTAGTGGCAAGTCGATTCATTTTCTTCAGGGTCACCGTTACCTTTCTTTCAGTGATTGTGCATTCCTAGATTAAGTCCTGGAATATCTTGAAGATAGCTGTAGGATATCTAATGAGTGTATTTGAAGTGCGATCACAGGTTATCCGGCAAACAGATATTACACATTGAAAGAGTACAGACATATGCTTTTTCGGGTCCGTCGGACACATATTTCGCCCCTCCATTGCTCAAAGGCTAGTGATAAGAACACTGACCCACATGCTGTTAATTGGTCCATCAATTGGTGGGTTGATGGATTGATGGATTGATGGATTGATTGCTCAATTACTAATCTACTACTAGCTGTTCTTATACTGTCTACATCTGCGTAGATAACAGCTCCCTACACCGCTCCAGCTAGTACGGAGGTGTATACGCTTTTTCAAAGGAGACCTAGTATGCTGAAGAGCCAACAATCTTCAGACCAGCAACGATACGAACAACTGTTTTTATAACAGAAAGGAACAATATATGTAACACTGGTCGAAATACGCTATTTACCGCCAGAAAACACCTTATTTGCGCCATGAACTAATGCGTAAATGACCCCTACCGGTGCAGCAACAAAAGCGGCTGGAGCTAGGACAATAGGCGCAGCAATAGCCAATCCAAGCTTCTCTGCAAACGTCATGTCAGCAGGGTTCTTTAACCGCTTCAGCAGGCCCTCGAGAACTCCAGCTTCTTTCTCCTTTCCTAGTCGCCTCAATCTCTCAAACTCATCAATGCCCTCAGCAAAGATTGTTTTACCGACAGTAGTCTCGCCTAATATGCCACCCGTTTTATGCATCTCGTCATGCACCAGAAGGTTGACGCGAGGAACAGCTAATAGTGCTGTAAGGATGCCCGCTGCCGCATCAACGTCGTCCTCGTACAGCCTGACTGTTGAATGGATACGGCTCCAATGCTCCTTCAAAATGTCGGCTTCCCGTTTTTCTTGCTCGGCGAACCGCTTGATGCTCCCTGGATACCACATTGTGGTCCCTACAATGACATTCCCCATTGCGCTTTTGCCACACATCTGTTGGAGGATTGACAGTGTTTTCTTCTGACTGCCGGAGAATCGCTTCTCGCTAATGTCGTGCAAGAAAATAACGCCGTGGAGCGGGAAGCTATCATCTTCACGAGCTAGATATAAGAGGTGCGATACAATATCTTCGAGTATGTCGATGTTGTCGCGCGCAGAATCATCGAAACCGGGAGTGTCAATGAGTATGACAGGTCTACCGTTGAGATGGCACTTGTACGGTGCGGCTTTCGTCGTGGCTAGTGCACAGATGATTAGCAGGTTGTGAATATAACGGAGAGAAGTACTGTACCTGAATCAATGCCGCTGTCGACATCTGGTTCCTTCCCAGTGTATAGATTCGTCCCACCGAGCAACTTAATGAAGCTGCTTTTACCTGAGCCCGTCTTTCCCAGCAACATGAAAACTGCGTGGGGCAGGGTTTGGCGCTCTGTGGAACACTAGAACTTAGCAGGGGCCCGTGTCTAAATATTGATACAAGGAATAGAAATTGAGGTGAATCAGGAAAAGAAATAATGAACACTACCTGAAGACGAAGCACCTGCCCTAGGGCCATCGAAATCTTTTACCATTCCCATCGTTGAGGCTGCTTGTATGAGGGGGCGGTCGGTAGACCTTTAACTGTGATAAGTGGGATATTTAACCTGTGTTATATGGGTAAAATACGTAGCTGATAGACGTAGTAGAGTGAGTGAGAGAGAGGTACGAGAACGTTGGGTGAAAGATGTACTATATAAATATATATTCCTTGATCGCCCTGAAACGAGAGAGACGGTGATGTACCAACATAGAAAGGTAACAGCAAGCAAGGAGTGTGCGGTACGAGCGCGTGGCTGCCTGAAGCAGTTGCCTGAACTTGGTTGCCTGAAGCTCATTGTCTCACATCAAAACGCTTCCAATATACTCGTGGCATAACTAATCGTAAAGTTCTAACCAAACTTTAGGTAAGGGGTGCCCGCATATGGAAAAGGTGGGATGCGATTGCTACATATTGAATTAACAGACGAAAATACGATGTAGTTTCCTTTTTGGGGTACTTGCTATCCGTCTACATCCTACTCCTGAAAAGCCCACCTGGCTGAAAGGAGTGGTATTCGGTAGGTATTAAACTCTCTAGGCGTTGCTTAATTGTTCAATAGTTCCGAGGTCTCCTAACCAAGAGTACGCCGACAAAGCCTCCTCCGAACGGTCGGCGTGAGTGGAATAAAATTGAATTCATATGGCTACTCGGGCCGCTGTTACGGCATATTCATGTATGTAATCACTTTCAGACCCTGAGTCAGTTTGTGGTAGATAACACAATGGCGGAAAATGTGATTAGAGTACAAGTAGTAGTCTTGCCCTGTGTACAAAACAGGGTGATTTAACTTAAACGGCCATCCACAATTTAGAGCAAACTCAAGGTCTCCCAATGATAAACTGTGTACTCGCCTTATGCAAACCTGTCACAGTTGTAGCAATACCCTAAGGAGTTCAACTTCGTAGCATATACGTTTAAAAATTGTTTAAAGAAAGCTTGGTACAGTTCAAGTAGAGCCGGGTCAAGTTTATATGGAACTATGTCAAGCTTTCTTTAAATAATTTTTAAACGAATACATGTTTAGGTTAAGTTCCCTCTGTTTACTTTAAATTCGGAGAACTTAACCTAAACGCCAGCAGGTACAGGTTAACTTGTACCCGTTTAACATAAAAACGGTAAACCTAACCTAAACTCTGTAACGATTAGTTTAACAGAGCTTTTCATGTTAACTAATTGTGAATCGGGACGGGTTTTTGTAATAAGCAAGTAAGATTTTTATTAGTAGCCAGAAATAACTAAAGTACACCCTTGCAATTAATTTACAATTATTTTTTGCAATTGCTTCTGACGAAGCAATCTCTTCGCTTTGTTTTCCTCCTCCACCCCTTTGCGTTCTGCTCTTGGTACCTCTATAAGCTGCTGGCTAGGCATGTGTTGTATCCTAGCAGACCTCCTTCGATTCTCAAGCGTAGATGTGTTGCTCAAGCCAGTGTCCGTACGTTGTGCAAGGCGAGAAGGATCTGGATCTCCAACACTAGAGGCCTAGGTTGACATCATCCCCAACGCTTGGGCAGTATTATTAATATAAATTTTATCCTCTTTCCGCCAACGTCGGTTTCATTCTTTGGATTAACGCTAAGTTCAATCTTTGTTGTCTTGGCATCAACTTCAACCTTTTTAGTTTTAGTGTCAAGTTCATCCTTTTTTGGGTTAACTTCCTTTTTGATACGATTCTCTTCGGTGGCAAGTTTTGTACGCTCCTTCTCCGAATCTTCTACTTCTGAGGCTCCAAATTCCGAGCTAATTAACTTTCTCGAGCCTCTGTATCGGTGTTTGCCACCGTCAAGCCCTGCCAGCCTACGCTGAATAGCTAAACTTGGAACAACGGTCTCCATAACATCCCGTGAAATTATAAATTGAGAGCTTGTGCCTAATTCCAAGCTGGATATTCCGCGGAGAACCGGCTTTGTTGGTGGAGGTGGAGGAGGCATTGTGATTTGGTACTGCTCAACGTTCAAATTGCTATATGTATTCCTTTTGGCCCTTTCCATAAAAGGTGTTACTGCAACCTGTGTAACGGTTGGTTCAACTTTCATGGTCTCGTAGTCCTCCTTGTAGCCAATTCCACCCCAGTCCCCTCTTTTAACAAGCCCGATATCTACCATATGGCGACCCTTAATCATTTCCTTCCAAGTGCCTTGGTTGAGTGGATGCGCATGAGGCCGAAAGCGAACTAGTAAATAGCACATGCTGTATTTTGAACTACCATATATCTGTAACTGAATCTCAAAGTATTTCTCAAATTCTTCAAAAGAAATTGTGTCGTCAACTCTAATGCGCTTGAGTGGAATCAACTCCTTGTTGTCGATAATATTATATGTGACAACAGTTCCTCGAATCAAGATGGTATCATTGATTGATATCAGAGTTGGCTTTTGGTACTTATGTGCCAAAGGTTTCTGGAGTGGAGCAGCAATGGGAGGTGGCGAGATTGACGTAAGATCCTAAAACAAGAATGAATTCAGTAATGCTTTATAACTCTTTCTGTCCGTAAATGTACTTACAATCATTCTCTCCCCTTTTAGTACGACTAGAGATATTTTACGCTTGTCGGCGCTCTTCGCAGCATCCATTACTTCAACTTTGACCCTCTTCGGGCGAGTGTCCTTGAATAACCATTCTTGAAATAGGGCGCTCGGCACGTTTCATAGTTCTGGAAGATTCTCATTATTTCATTATAGTATTTGTCATCGGTGTATGACTCACTTTCCTATTAGTCATTCCATCACTCACACATGACTCATTGTATTTCTTTTGTACTACCTTTCATTAGTATAAATACGGGGCATTCCCCCTTAGCTAGAATAATCAACACGATCAATTACTTTACTTCTCCTACACACTTTCTCTAACCATTAGTATGGTACCAGTCTTGAAATTTGTCCCCAACATACCTTATATGTGTCTTTATACCTCTTGTTCTCAAAATGCTGCGTCTCCTCCTCTCTGCGTTGAGCCCGTTTCCTGTCACTCTAATGGACTTGGCTTCCCTTTCCCGATGGAGCTTCTTCTCCTCCAGCTGCTGTACACTTTTCCTCTCGCTGTCTTTCAGCAACCTAGTTTCCTTCTCCTGTGCCCGCCTGTCAATCTCCTTATCATCAGCCTCCCGCTTTTTCTCCTCCTCTCTACGCTGAGCTCGCTTCCTTTCACTATCTCTCATACGCTTGTCTGCCACTCTACCAGCCATGGAGATGAATCATTTGATTCATTTCCCACCAAGCGAATTTCAGGAAACGAATCAATTGATTCAGTTCCCGGGGACGCTTGTGGAAAAGGCATAAAAGATTCATTTCCAATGCCTAAAATCTCTTTTCTTGATTCATTTCAGCTTATTTACTACCTATTCTGGACAAGCGTGCGTCGTGATCCTAAAATGTCTTTTCGGATGTCTTGATGCCTTTCCTTCACCCTTTTCCGCTGCTGTATCGGGGACCAGAAATGTATTTTCCTACCATGAATAACACAAGGTACAGAGCTTAATATAATCAATAGCATAGGTGATAAGATATGGGCTATCTAATCGCAATCACACGGGTTCAAACCCGACTCTTTTTTATTTTTATTTGTTAAGTATAAACTTATATATAATTTTCGATTCTGGGTAATGTGTTTATTAAAATAACATATGAGACTTAGGATTCATTTCGGGATTCATTTCCTATAGTAAAAAGATTCATTTCCTTGTTTACTTAATGAACACATTTCCGATGATTCATTTCGCATCAAGGTTTTACTTGAGTATAAGATTCATTTTTTGATTCATTTCAATAGTTAGTAGAGCATTCTCACAATTATGCCTGTCATTCTCCTGCTGTTCATCCCTTTTCCTGTCCACAGCACGTTGCTGATACAACATTTTCTGTTTTACACGTTCCTTTATCATCTCAATTTGCTGTTTACCCTTTTTCTACTGTTCCTTAATTTCTTGCAGTTGCTTTTCGTAATTGATTGATATTGACTTCGTGTAATGGCAATATTACCTGTTGGTTAGGATGATCGATTGGACCGTGAAGGGAAGGTATTGCGTAGTTGAATCAGGATTTGTAATGGGGTTTCTGTTATATTCTTTTGGTTTCCATTACGCGAGGTATGAGTCATCAACGAACTAGAGGCTGTATATATAAAGGGGTGTTGTCTCGTGCCTTTTCATATTTTCCTTCCTTTCCTCTTCTCCTCACGCAACTTCTTGTAGTTACCCCGCGCAACACCAAAACTTTCGAACAACAATAACTTTTGGCCTGCATTCTCGATAAAAACTTTTACTCGAACACGATCCTGTATGTCAATAGACCGCGTAATCTATCGGTATCTTATCGCACATCGGTTCGTACGCGAAGTTATTCACGCTCTAGTCCCTGAGTTGTGAGCTCCCACCTCTTCAAAAACCCTCGCTTAAAGCCTCGCGACTGCTGCGAAAACAACAACCAACCTGGCCTCTCCAGACCCAACCAACCCACCAAACTTTGCGGGCAGGAAGAGAACTCTATCAGAAGTCTTTCCCAACCCAATCTGATCCGGAACATCCGTGATGTCCCAGCAAGCCTCGTTGAGCTCCTGGTTCGCAGGGGCCCCCCCACCAGGAACCCCGGCACCCCCTCGCTTTCCCGACACCCAATCAACACAACAAACACAGTCCACCACAGTAGAACAGACCCAACTCGGTAACGAACCTTTTTCCATCTTCGCCGAACATACCCAATACAATGAACCATATGCCCCAAAATATGGTTATATCCACCCTAGCATCGTCCCTGAAGAAACCCACGCCAGAATGGACATGAACTACATCTCTTGGGTAGTTAGAAACGCCCTCACCGTAGCACTCGAACCCCTCAACCAAACGACTGAACAAATCAACAGGGACCTAAAAGCCACCATTGAAGTCCTATCCACCCAAAACGACTCCCTCAAGCACACCGTCGACGTCCTGGCCAAACAAATGTTTGAAATGACAAAAAACCAGGACAAAACATCGGAAAAACTCCACCGCCTCCAACAACAGCTCACCAACCTCTCTGTCAACAGGCCCAGCAATCAAGCAATCAATGAAGGAAGAACCGGTGCAATCGCCGCCGTCGCTGCTGTCACCATCACCGCCCCCTCCGCCCCCACCACACCTGCCAACAAGGCCAACAACCCCAACCACCCCAACCATTCCCAACAGCCAAAAGGGAAAGCCAAGGAAACACTGGCCCCACTGGCACCAAAATCCTATGCGTCCGCCGTGGCAGGAAACACAAACCCCGAATTCACGACTGTCACGAACAAGAGGAAAAGCAAACCCAAAGCAGACCCCCTGTTCAAACCTGAAATCACCAAACTAAACCGGGAAATAGTAATCGAAATAAACAAAGAACTCACAGCCACCCCATCGGACATCAGAGCCAAAATAAATGCAAAGATCCAGGACCCCGACTGCCAACTTAACGCCGCTCGGAAAACAACCAAGAACAACATCATTCTGGAATCAAAGTTCGCAACCCCAGTAACAAAGGTCCTCGAATACAAAAAGGAAATCGAAACTGCCTTGAACGAAATAAAGGTACCCTTCGTCGACATCCGAATTAACTCTAGATGGTCAAAATTCATCCTACATGGCATCCCCACCTCTATAGGCGAAGCCTTCGACGCAGGACAATGTCTAGCATCGGAAATCAGAAACAACTACGGCAACACTTTCGAACTGGCGCAAATCCCGAGATGGCTATCAAAACCAGAAGCCCGAATCGGAAAGTCGCACTCCTCCATGATCATTGCCCTCCCTGGACAATTCACCAAAGAAAACCTCGGCCTCCGATACCTTACCCTCTTTGACAGGAACTGCAAAATCGACAGTTACCTCCCAGCAAACCCAGAGACCCAGTGTGCCAAGTGCCTTGAATACGGCCATAGGCAGGAACGCTGCTCCAACAGCGGAAGATGCGGACACTGTGCCGAGGAACACCAAACCAAAGACCACCCATGTACAGAATGCGCTGGAGGTCTCAGATGCTCACACACACCCATCCGATGCTATCACTGCAAGGCCCCCCACAAAGCAACAGACGCCAACTGCCCAGAACGAACCAAAGTCTGAATCACAAACAGACCCGGACCAGACACAAACGCAAGCCCACTACCAACTCCCGTAGTTATCCCGGCCCAATACCCCCCACAAGAAGACGCAGCCATGGATAACACCCCATGAGTCACATCAAAAGAACCACGGCCATCGCACAGCAACTGAACTGTGCGAAAAACGAGCTCACAACAAAGTCAGTAGTGGAGGAAGCAGAACAAGACCACAACACACTTTTTCTTTTGTTACAGGAACCATGGAACAATAAGGACGGCCACCCACCGGAATCCCCCTTTTCTATCTATTCACAGCCAGCAACAAGGGCACCAAAGTCGCCACATACATCAGAAAACACGCCAATCTAAAACCAAAACACCATTACACGCACAACAACTTCATCGTCTCCGTCACGGTGGAAATCCAGAACCAAAAGACACAAATCCTCAACATATACTCACCAGGACGAAGCGGACCCTTCGCAGAAATCTCCCGCCAAATAACTACCATTCAAAATTGCCTCGTCATGGGAGACTCAATAGCCACCACCAACTCTGGTATGGACACAGATCCCACGACTACACCAACACAATCAGAGCAGACAAATCTGGATCCAAGAGACTTAAAAGGTGGATCGATCGACAAAAGCTATCCCTGCTCAACGAACCGGGCTAATTCACACACTTTCCCAGAAACAACAATAGACCAACCATCATCGACCTGACCCTGATCAAAGGACCCATCCTGGACCATGATGTCCGCTGGAACATCGACCGCCACGGCGCAGGCTCCGACCACGGGAAGATCATAGTACAATTACGGATAGAAAAACCCCCCCACATTCCCAGAAGACTATGGCACCGAACGAAATGGGAAAAACTGGAAGAAAACATCTCAGGCCTCCAATTCCCCCCCGAGGCGTGGGACTCCCAGGGTCACACAAAGCAATCAGTCGACTTCAAACTTGAACACATTGACAACCTAATAGACCAAGTCACCCCATGGAGCCAAGGACACATCAAATCCAAAAAATGGTGGACCCCGGAGCTGAAAAAGCTCAAAACAACCCTCAATACAGCGGAAAGGAAAGCCAGGAAAACCCAAAAAGATGAGGATAGAGAAACATTCAGGAAAACGAGCAGGAAATGTACATCACTGATCCGCAAAGCCAAAGCAGAACAAAGGGAGAAGGAACTCGCAGAGGCTAAAGGAAGTACCATCTGGAAGCTAGTCAATGCAGGGAGAAGAAGGGATGTTACAATCCCAACCATACAAGGTGAAGAAACGTTTGCGGGGAAGTGCCAAGCTCTAAGAGCTCAACTCTTCCCCACAAATTGGACGTCCCCCAACAACCCCCCACTCCAAATCAGACCCCCATCCTTTGACCTTAGTGACACTTTCCAGGAAGTCACACCAGAAGAAATTACATCCGCAATGAAATCATGTCCAACACACTCGGCCACCGGCCCCGACGGCATCCCATACCCATTCATCCAGGCTACGATCAAAGCAAACATCCAACTATTTCGAGACATGTTCTCAGCCATGTTGCGCCACGGAGTCCAACCAGACCGATGGAAAGTGGCAAAATGTGTACCAATCCCAAAACCAGGAAAACCCGACTACTCATCGGCCAAAGCCTACCGACCTATCTCCCTATTACAATGCTTCAGCAAAGTACTGGAAAAGATAGTGGCAACAAGACTATGCACCGCCGGATCCATCCTGGAGACACTTACCAAAGACCAATTCGGAGGCAGACCAACAATCTCAGCGATCGATGCCCTCCTCCGCACCCTCACACCCATTCAACAAAACCTCCTAATCAAACGAACCACAGGAACTACCCCAGACAGACCAGCCCTCCTCACAAATGATATACAAGGAGCCTTCAACTGCGTGGATCATCTCTTACTCGGAGAAATCATGACCCAACAAAAATTCCCGGCCTATCTAACCAACTGGTGCAAGGAATTCAACACCAACCGAATCCTCCAGTTCCAGTTGAATCATGAACTGGAAACCCCACAACCATACAACTCAGGACTGCCCCAAGGATCCCCCTTGTCCCCAGTTCTATTCATGATATACGCAGGAGTCATAACAGACCCCAGCAACTCCAACAAAGAACT